TTTTTCCCCACCCTGAGGGCCACACTGGCACCCTGTGACAGGGAGCTGCCAGGTGTAACTGACAAACTTGGTCCCGTTTGTACACAGGGCAGGACTCTTCAGGAGAAGACCCAAAGACACTAGTAACGTTTCTCGGGTTCGATGAAACAGCAAAGCCCACAAAAATGAGGCTGAGGGTAAACACACGATACTGAGAGGAGACCAGAGGCTCAGCAGGGCTTGTCCCAGGCTCCTGCAGCCTGCACCCCACTCCTAGGACCCTTATCTCTTGGACAGGTGTCCTGGGACCCACCATCATACGAGGGGTCCTGCCGGGAATGGTGGCGAGGGTGGCGAGGACGATTTGGTTCTCGCTGTTGCCTTTGGAGGGAAGGGGTCCTGGTTTCTCTGCACTCTATGGAGAGAGACAAGCGTATGAGAGGCCGGAGGAACTTGGTTATCTGGGGCTTCACTTTGGGGTTCATTTCCTGAGCCCCAATATGCTTCACAGTCATTGGTGGTCCAGGCCATCCTAGCTTTCCCGGCCTTTCCTCACCATACTTGTGCAGGTGGTGAAAACAGGGCACAGTGCCATGAAAGAGACATGAAGTGTCTGTGTGCAGACAGTCTAGAAGGATCTCCTAATTGCTCTTATGTTGGCTCAGGGGTCTTCCTAGATCTAACAGAAAGTCCTCATTATCGGGGGTCCTGGGGTAGCCTACAGATGACACCCCTCAGAGGCACTCAGAGGCCTTGCTGCCAGGGTGCAGGGAGGCAGGGGAGCAGCTCCTTTGCTATGACCCTGCCTGGTTTGTGCTTTCTCGCCGTGTAACCGCCAATCCATAGCTTAACCTCTCTGTGCTTGGTTGCTTATCTGTGAACTGAGAGTAACAGTGTGTACCCCAAAGTTGTTAGTGGACTTCACAGAGACAGGACAGTGCCTGGCACATAGGAAATGCTGACCTGTGTCATATAGATTGAGTGGGACTATACGGGACCCATGGAGGGGTGCTGTTGTTCAGAGGACCGTCTCAGCAGCCAGCCATCTGTGTTGCCCCCCACATTCCAAGCTGTCCCAGGCCTAAGCCATCCACACCCCACAGCCTTCTCCTCAGCTGGCTGCTGTATTCTGTGCCAGTCACTTCCGTTCCCATGTGGAAGCCTCCGTGTGCCATCCACAACCATACGCAGCTGCCGGGTGAAGTGCTGGGCACCCTCAGAGGTGCTTGGCATCCTGAGGCCCCGAATACCCCCCAGGTATTCTGTCGGGGCCTCTGGACTGTGGAGAAGGGGACACACCAGCCTTGGTGGGGACAGATGAACTGGTGTGGGCTGAGGAGTGAGAACCCAGCCCGTGGCAGAGGCTAGGGAAGATTACTGCCCTGACTGGCTTCCAGAACTGTCACCTATGCCACAAAGGGTCCATCCCAGACCTAGCATCTGTGACTGAGAACAGTTTTCAAATCCTAGCAGCTCAAAGTAGAGGGTGAAAAAGTGAGAAAATGAGTCAGAGACTCAGGCTAGCCCCCTTACCTGTGAGAAAGTGAGTCAGAGCCTCAGGCTAGCCCCTTACCCGTGAGAAGGTGAGTCAGAGACTCAGGCTAGCCCCTTACCCGTGAGAAAGTGAGTCAGAGACTCAGGTTAGCCCCTTACCCGTGAGAAAGTGAGTCAGAGACTCAGGCTAGCCCCCTACCCCTGATGCTGGTGCTCGGGGAGACATGGGTCTCACCCTGTAGGATCTTATGAAGCACATCTGTGCTGCATGGTCTGCTGGGTGTGTTCCCCAGTCCTCGGACTTCAGCCCCTCCTGAGGGGAGCTTGTCCTGCGTGCATATCTACAGAGATCTGGCTGTGTCTTGCTGCCCCCAACCTCAGCAGCTGCAGGAACTGGTTTCCAGCCCTCCTTTTTCTCTGCTCTGACTTCCTGCAGGACCAGATGAGTGACAAGGAACATCAGTTCTATTAACCTGCTTCCTGGGCTTTCCGACGTGGTGGCTTTGTGTTCTCCCCTAACGAGTGGCTGCAGCCTCTCCCAGAGAGCGACAGGAGCTCTCATGGGAGCATGGGAGCTCAGCAAGGGTCGGATGTGTGCGGAACACAGGCAACTTGGCTGATGGTCACATTGATGTAGTGACCATGGTCTAGGGCAGCTGCTGAGCCCTGCTCATGTCACCCAGGGGTTCTGGGTCTCTGTTCAGTTCCCTGGTCAGAGGTGATCTGGACAGTGCAGGCATTGTCTCTCCAGGGCCTTGTTCCACTTTCCACAAGCAGAGCTGCCAACCGTGACTGTGTCTTCACTGACCTTTGATGGCTTCCTCAAACCTCACACACAATTGAACTTGTATTTAAAGTTAGTCAGCTCAGAACCAGCCCTGGGCATCCCTCGGGAACTTAAATAGACCTAGGGCTATCTAATGATAGGGTACACACGTGTGCACACATGTGTGTGTGCGCGCACGTACAAACACGCACACACACACACAGCACAGCATTCTACATGGCACACAGTTGTCAGGCAAAGGTTGCTAACATCAAACGGGTGACATTTAAATGGACAGAAAGCACTTTACAACTACAGAAATGCTGTGCAAATAGCATATACGCGATTAAGAACTAGAAAGCAGGGCTCATATTTCCATCAGTCCTAGGAGGCGGTCTGAGTGGTTACAGCTTAGACACAGATGGTTTGCCGGTCAGGGGAGGAAGGCGTGCCACCAGTAGAGTGAGTTCTGAGTGCTGCCAGGGGCATTGCAGGTGGGTTCTGTGCCCTTCTAAAAGTATAGCAGAGGATCTAGGAATTAACCATTTTCGAAAATAAAACCAGGGAAGCTCTTTTCAGCAGACCCGCTAGGGAGCGGTTTGCTGAATTTGGGAGTCCTTGGTGGGTGTATTAGAGGAGGGCATTTTAGTGTGAAGGGGACCTGACTAAGTGTGGGTAACAGAGGAATCCTTTTCTGGGGTCACATGGGGTCTTGATTCAGTGCCTTGTGCCTTTAATCAAGGACAGAATCTGGATCCAGAGAAGCACCCTTCAAGATGTCTCTGTGTGAAAAGTGCCCACAGTAATTAGAACGTGTGTCAGTAAGTGTGGTCATCAGAGGTGAAATCTGAATGCCACAGTCCACCGTGTCTGCTTGGCACTGAGAAGCCTGCTGCAGAACGATGGAGCCTAGAGAGAGAGAGGTACCCCAGACGAGAGAGGGAGAGGCACGTGGCCGGCCCTACAGCCCTGCATTCCGCCTGTCTCTGTCGACTCCAGGGTCTTGTCAGTGCCCGTGACAGGAGATGATTTGCAGGCATCCTCCTGGAGCAGGAGAGGCTTGAGTGGTGTTTGCTCAAGATCCTATAACGTAGCCGCTCTGGCTCCCACATCAGCACAAGTGCGTTCCCATCCTCCCCTCCTGGAACTCTGCTCCCTGCTATTTGTCAAATGTGTTCAGTCCAGATAAAAGCAGAGCCAAATCCACAGCAATCTGTTTTAAAATATCTCAGGAGAGGATAAGGCGAGCATGAAGACTAATGACCAGGTTTGTTCTCGAAAGGTCACCGCAGCTCTCAAAGCCCGGCTGCAGAGACCTTCCACCATTGCACAGTATCTGCGCAGTAATCACAGCACCAGCTCTATTGGCTGAGACTGCAAACCCCAAGCTTGGTGCCAGATTCGAACTGTAACAGAAGAAAATGAGGCCAGGGGAGAGCAACAGAGGAGATTCATAAGCACCCAACACTAGCTTCTCCAGCGAGTCCCCCTTATAGTTCTTGCAAACCATATGCATGCAGAGGTTCTTTAAACAGAGGCAAGGCATGCCTCCCTGGATCAGGGAGCAGACGACCAGGGGTCAGAGCTTGAGCCATGGGATACGTATTGATACGTATTGGTTTCTGTCGCTGCTGTGAACAGAGCAGATGACCAGGAGTCAGAGCATGAACCACGGGATACGGGATACGTATTGATCTACCCCCAGAGACTCCAGGGTAGGGACCAGTGCCTGACTCCACAGAGGACAGATCACCACCGCATCTCAAGGTGGCCTTGTGCCCTTCATGGTGCCCTGCTCGGAGATGTCTTAGGAAGAAAAAAAATGCCTCTAGGGCTCCAGGAGCCTAGTGGGCATGGACTCAAGAGGAATGTCTAGTTTTGACTTAGAGCCAGGAGGACGTTGGGGTGCACCATGTGGTGGTGGGGGTCATTCTTTTCCTACCCTGGGATAGAAGCAGACAAGACTCCTGTGATCCTATTTCTAGGTAGCTGAGGCTAGCTCTGTCCCCTACCCACGGCAGCAGAGCCTGGACTCCTTGTCTGCCTTGCAGTCCTGGGGAAACATGAGCTTTGGGCCTCGAGCTTTGCTTTTAATCAGTGGACCTGATTTAGAGAAGCATGGTTTAAAGAATTGAGTGGAAACACGGCAGGGTCCCTCCCCCTCCCCCACACTCAGGTTCATACCAGGTGGATGTGGGGTGTTTTCCAGCTTGTTCTCACACTCATGCTGCTCCTCTGGAACTCACCATTCACATCAGGCTAGCTCTGGTGTTGAGTGACATCCGGAATGATGTCACAGTCACGGACATCCCCCTGTCTCCTGTGCAGGGCACAACTTAGGATTTTAATATAAACACAGTAAGGGGACAGGTTCGGTAGGCACAATGAATGAGCAAATCAGAGAACCAAGTGGAGACAGTTTGTGGTTCTGGGTGTTGCAAACATGGTCTGTGATTGTGGCAGCCACCTGCTTCTCTCTGGGCATCCTGGCATCCCTATTCCTGGAGCAGGAGGTCTGGACCCCGACACCTACCTTTCCATTACCACTTCCACTCTGGCTGCAGCCGCATCCCAGCCTTGGAGTCACATGGGCGCTCCCTGGGTTCCGAGGCCACGGGCAAGTGGGAGATTTCTTCTCACAGAAAGACCATCCCAGGACTCCCCCTGCTGCACGCTCTCTTGCCCGACACACAGCTGCAGTCAGAGGTAGCGCATGGCCTTGGGCTTGCACTGACATGGATTCTCTGCTGTGTTGTGACAGGTGCTGGCATTGATGGAGTGGAGGAGATCAAGCGCCATCCTTTCTTCGTCACCATAGACTGGAATGTAAGTTCCTTGCCGAGGTCTCCGCTCTACACGCCACATGGCGAGGAGAGGGCGGAGGGGATGATGCAGCTGCCTGGTGCACACGGGGTTGGGGGGATGCTACAGCTGCCTGGTGCACACGGCCTCTCTGTCTGCACCAAGAGTCTGGGACAAACACAGACTACCCGCCTGTGGGTGAGCATGCTCGGGACCCTCAGCATGGCTGACTGTCTCCCAGAGAGGTACAAACTGGTGAGCACCTGCCCACAGTCCTAAATCCTCATTAGCACCTCTGCACACCCATCCTCTTGCACCTGTCCAAGCCATACTAATGCCAGCTTCTGCCTCAGCAGAAGGCACCCCAGGGACAGACAGGCTAGCAGCAGTGCTTACGTCTGACAGCCTCTGGGCTGTCCTCCCTCTGGTGTGCCTTCTGATATCCATGCTGTGATACACAGCGCGCGCGCGCATACACACACACACACACACACACACACACAAGACTTTCATTTCCGGAGTTGAAGTTAATCACAGAGGATCTTTTAGCAGAATATTGAAACATCAGGCTGGGTGTATATCAGTGGCAGAGTACTTGTCCAGCATACGTGAGGCCCTGGGTTCTACCCCCAGCATCAGAAAAAGAAAAGAAGAAAAAGAAAGAATGACTGAAAGAGAAGAGACTGACCCGCAGACTTCTCATTGACAGCAGCTGTCTTCCTGTTACCCTGAGGAATGAATAGAACAGTTTAGCATATGGGGCATGGAAGCCAGGCCTCTGGGGTGGCCCTCCGCTCCCTGATTTTTCTCGGCCAGTGTGGCATTTCCCTGTTCGATTCAAGCCTGCACATTGAGGGCCTCTGTCCCAGGGACTTCCTGGGCTGGGGATGACCAGGATGTGGTAGAGCCTTACCTTGGGGGTCCAGTGATCTCACTGGAGAGAGAAGCTGGGCACAAATGACTCAGTGCTGGGTCACAGGTTTTGCTGCATAAAGGGAGGCCGGAAAGAGGGCGGGGAAAAGTGGGAAAGTAGAGGCAGAAACTGCTCATTCGCTTTCCGATTGCTCAGACCTCAGTAATCACACAGAAACCATATTAATTATAATACTGCTTGGCCTATTAGCTCAGGCTTCTTATTAACCAATTCTTATACATCTTAAATTAACCCATTTCTATTAATCTGTGTATCATCACGAGGCTGTGGCTTACTGGTAAGGGATCAGCAGGCATATTTCTCCTTCGGTGGCTACATGGCGTCTCCCTAACTCCGCCTATTCTCTCTCTGTATCTCTTCTAGCCTGGCTGTGTTCTGCCCTGCCATAGGCCAAAGCAGCTTTATTCATTATCCAATAAAAGCAACATGCATATTGAAGGACTTCCCACATCAGGAGATCATGCCCTAACCTACCTGTTCCCCTCTCTCCACTGGCCATCTTCCTGGGTCTGCCTTTCCCAGGCCCTCTGCTCTATGTCCCCCTCTCAGTCTTCTCTTCAGTGTCACCACAGGACACCTGCCGTGGTCTCCAGACCCTGGCCTTGCTCTTCTGCTCCCCTCCCCATTAGCTTTGAATCTGCCATGTGGCACCACCGGTTTGTGATGAGTGTTGTCCCTTTCTGTCTCTGTCCTCAAATGTGAGCCAAGAGAAATCAGGGCTGCTGACTCACAAGACTTGACCCAGGCTTCTAAATAGGCCAGGGAGCCACCAGAAAGATGCCTTTGAGAGAGTGAGGTGGGGTGGAGAGGGGAGGGAGAGAGAGAGGAAAGGAGGGGTGAATAAGAGCCCTTGATGAGTAAGGAGGAGCAGCAAGAGGTCAGGGATGGAATTCCAGAAGTCTCTCAGGCCAGGATGATGCCTGTGAAGGATCTTCCCCCCAAACCACACCCACACACACACACACACACACACACACACACACACACACACACACTCTCCCTTTCTCTGTAGCGTATACTGCTGTCCTTCCAAAGACCCAGCCAGGAAATAGAGAGGGAGTTGCTAAGTCAGGGAGGGTGACTTAGCAGGCAGGGAGTTGCCTGGGTGGAGATAGCTGGAGTCCTAGGCTGTACCTGGAAAGGAAGGGAAGTGCCCAGCCATGCCCACAGGCTGTGGCTCAGAGGTAGCACCCCTCAGAGGACCTGACTGAGAAGGAATTCTGATGAATGACAATCTAAAGACATCCTGGAGCTGGCAGTGGCCATGTGGGTGTCTGAGTTTTCAGGTTTCAGGATCTGAGTTGCAGATGGGACTAGAACCCAGAGTTCTTGCTCTATTTCTGTTGCTGTGATGAAATATTTGGACAAAAAGCAACTTATAGAAGTCAGGCTAGTTTCCCCTCATAGTTCCAGGGTACCGCCCATTACTGCTGGGAAGTTGAGACAGTTGGTCTCCCCTCATAGTTCCAGGGTACCGCCCATTACTGCTGGGACATTGAGGTGGTAGGAACTTGAGACAGTTCGTTACATCATATCTAAAGACTATACTTTCAGGGATCATTTCTATAGTTCGTTACATCATATCTAAAGACTATACTTTCAGGGATCATTTCTATAGTTCGTTACATCATATCTAGCCAAGAGCATGGAGAAAGAGCACAGGCATCCCCCTTGTTTGTGAATAGCTCCGTTTCTCTACTCTTAATACAGTTTAGGACCTCATGCCTAGGGAATGATGCCACCCACAGTGGGCTGAGTCGCCCTTATCAGTCACTTAGGACGGTCTTCCACAGACACACCCACAGGCCCACCCAATGTGGACAACCCCTCATTGAGACTCTGTACCTATGTTATTCTAGGCTGTATCCACTGGCAGTTAAAGCTAACGGTCATAGTGGGGCAAGGCTGGACTAGGTCTGTGGGATCCCATCCGCAGCCATATGCACCTTCCATAAACTACACCAGGCTCAGAGCTCGCCTTGGTCTCTCTGTCATTGGGGAACAATGCCCCTTTGGTGCAAACAAAGACACTGGATTCCTGTACTAAGGAGTGGCATTTCTGTATTATTTGAAACTAATTCAGGCTAGAATAATGTGGGGAAGGGCTTTTTATTGTTGTTGCCTGTTTCTTTTGGCATTCAGTTTTATTTCATTTGGCTCCAAAGAGGCCCTTCAGGGTCACCAAGACCACAAATGTTTACTCTCACCCTGTCCTTGCCGGACGGTACCCTGCAGAGCCTGGAGCAATGGCACCTTCTTTTGTCTATGGCTCTGATAAATAGTCCAGCATGGTAGAGGAGCCCAGGAACCTGCTTTCATGTTCATTTATCTAGCCATAAGCAGTGCTTGTAGCATGGCTGGATGCAGCAGAAGGGAGGTGCCTACAGTGTGGTGATGGGGAAAAGCCCTATTATCCTAGAGAGATGAGGAGATGTCTGGTGCACCCTGGAGTACCTACAGTGTGGTGATGGGAAGAAGCCCTACCCTAGAGGGATGGGGAGATGTCTGGTGCACCCTGGGGTACCTACAGTGTGGTGATGGGAAGAAGCCCTACCCTAGAGGGATGGGGAGATGTCTGGTGCACCTGAGGTGCCTGTTCAACACCACAGTGCTGTGTGAGTATCCAGGTGAGAGAAAACAGAAGCATGGGGAAGGTAAGTAGGAAGAGATGGACCCAGGAGGAAGGAAGGAGGGGCCCAGCTAAGAGCACAGGTGTGAATGGCTTCAAAAGCGCCATGTACACACGCACACATATACACACATATGCACACACACACCATGCTTCAAGAAGCCTGTGGGCATGTGTGCACCAGGCTATTGGACTTAGTTTTGTACTGTCCTGTGCACCTTCTTGGTGTCAGTAGCTCAGATCACTGAAAACCACTGAAGTCCCATGTTCTACAGGACTCTCTTCACCAGGGGATCCCCTTCCACACCCCTTGGCAGTGCGGGCATTCAATAGTGACAAAGGAGACATTTGCCACATCAGATCCGGCCTGTGGAGTCTATCCAAGTGTAGCCTCAGGATGCAGCTGAGAAAAGAGCAGGCTATTTATCTTTCTTTCTATTGCCTTCTGTGACCCCCAAATTGCCAGCATATATTTCTGTCTTTTTTTTTTTAGAGTAAATTCCTGTCATCCACCAGCTGTCCCCTGAGGATCTGGTGACCTGTTGGCACAGAGAGTGTCATCCACCCAGAAGTGAGGGTCACCAGTGTTAGCTGAGGCAGGCGGAGGGTGACAGGGTCTCTGTGGTTTTCCTGCCTTTCCGTTTGCCCTCGGCTTCCAGCACATTAGTGCTTGCTCTGGGTCGGCCCCCCAAACACCCGTGCTGCTCGCCTAGCTAAGTGAAAAATTACAAGTTAATTATAGACCAGGAAGCTCGTGCAGAGGACGGTGGAGCCGGCAAATGTAAGCTGTGTTTGCTTTTCCCTCGGTGGCTGAAGCAATGCTGAGAACTCAGGATTAGCACAAACCCAAAATAAACATAAAAGGTGACCTCACAGGCTAAGCAAACCAGTCCAGATTGGCATCCAGCCAGCCGACTTCTATCAAGCAAACCCAGGGCGGGCAAAATGGCACGTGGACAGGCAGAGAACAATACTTCACCAGATTCAGCCCCAGGGTGGTAGGTTCCTGCCAAATTGCTTCTTTCCAGGCCACTGTCCGAGGCCCAAGCCCAGACCCTCTGCATAGGGGCTGAGCAGGCATGGCCGCCGTTACTGCTAACTATTAATACGAGTGAATCACACATGTAGTGCTTTTTACATTGCCAGCTTGGGACATCATCTGTTTCTCTGAAGAGAAACTGAGGCACAGAGTATCTGGGTGGCTCTGTGGGTGGCAGGATGCAGCTTGGTGGCCTTGGCTGTCCTGTGCACTGGCTGGCACAGGTGGAGGATAGTGTTCATGGCATGTGAGGACATGAGGTGCATCCAGTGTTTCGTTAATGGGTTTTCATCGTGTGCTCTTGCTCCCGCTGCTGCAGGAGGATTTCTACCACTTCCTCCTGAATGCACCAGGAGAGCTCACCCCTTCAAAATCCCCCTGAGGACTGCGGCCACAGTGCCTCTTGTTTGAGGACTTGGTGGATGTCTTGGGTGACATAGACTTGTTGAGGTTGTGTTCTTTCTCACAGACACTGGCACAGCCCATCCATAATGCCCTGGACATTGTCTGTTCTCCCCATCCCTCTCATTCTGCCACATTCTGTGCTTGCATAGCTGCTCTGCCATCGCAGGAACGGCACACCTCTGCCCGTCGCTCAGTGGAGCAGATGAATTTGAGAATGCTGTAGTCGAAACTGTACATCAAGCAGATGCTAGAATCTGCAGCCCCAGGGTGGAGTTGGAGTCGGTTTCCTGTCTTCACTTCTGTTTGTGCTGGTGTGCCTGTCCAGCTTCCTCCACACTTGTGAGGTGTGTGTGACCCTGGTGTGCCTGTCCAGCTTCCTCCGCACTTGTGAGGTGTGTGTGACCCTGATGGATCTGCCCAGCATCCTCCGCACTTGTGAGGTGTGTGTGACCCTGGTGTGCCTGCCCAGCTTCCTCTGCACTTGTGAGGTGTGTGTGACCCTGATGGATCTGCCCAGCTTCCTCCGCACTTGTGAGGTGTGTGTGACCCTGGTGTGCCTGCCCAGCCTCCTCAGCACTTGTGAGGTGTGTGTGACCCTGGTGTGCCTGTCCAGCTTCCTCCACACTTGTGAGGTGTGTGTGACCCTGGTGTGCCTGTCCAGCTTCCTCCACACTTGTGAGGTGTGTGTGACCCTGATGGATCTGCCCAGCATCCTCCGCACTTGTGAGGTGTGTGTGACCCTGGTGTGCCTGCCCAGCATCCTCCGCACTTGTGAGGTGTGTGTGACCCTGGTGTGCCTGCCCAGCATCCTCCGCACTTGTGAGGTGTGTGTGACCCTGGTGTGCCTGCCCAGCATCCTCCGCACTTGTGAGGTGTGTGTGACCCTGGTGTGCCTGCCCAGCATCCTCCGCACTTGTGAGGTGTGTGTGACCCTGGTGTGCCTGCCCAGCATCCTCCGCACTTGTGAGGTGTGTGTGACCCTGGTGTGCCTGCCCAGCATCCTCCGCACTTGTGAGGTGTGTGTGACCCTGATGGATCTGCCCAGCATCCTCCGCACTTGTGAGGTGTGTGTGACCCTGATGGATCTGCCCAGCATCCTCCGCACTTGTGAGGTGTGTGTGACCCCGGTGTGCCTGCCCAGCATCCTCCTCATTTGTGAGGTGTGTGTGACCCTGGTATGCCTGCCCAGCATTCTCCGCACTTGTGAGGTGTGTGTGATCCTGATGGACCTGCCCAGCCTCCTCAGCACTTGTGAGGTGTGTGTGACCCTGGTGTGCCTGCCCAGCATCCTCTGCACTTGTGAGGTGTGTGTGACCCTGGTGTGCCTGCCCAGCATCCTCAGCACTTGTGAGATGTGTGTGATCATGATGGACCTGCCCAGCCTCCTCAGCACTTGTGAGGTGTGTGTGACCCTGGTGTGCCTGCCCAGCATCCTCAGCACTTGTGCGATGCGAGATCTGTCTCAGTGTCAGTGCCGAGCTGATGTCATCTGAACATGGAGGGACAAATGAAATGATTGAAAACGATGAGTTGGACCATGCGGTCCCATCTTCTTCCCCTTCCCTCGGAATGGGCATGAATTGTTCTAGAATCTCAGCTCTCCCCATGCTGCCTGCTTCTTCCTTCCCCTCCCTTCTTTCCCATCTCTGCCTCTTGGTACCCTTGACTCATCACCATCCACAATGCCCATCACAGGTGCCTTGCCCAATCTCAAAGATGTGTGCACTGTCTTTCAATGGCCTCATCCAACATCGTCTCCACAGAGGATTAAAGAGCACACTTTGGGTTTGGAAAGCAGGTTTCAGCAGCAGGTCTGCCTGGAAGGACCCACTGACAGTCCTGGAAGGACCCGTGGACAGTCCTGGACTTCTGTGTGTTTTCCTGATGGCCGTGACAGTGGGAAGAGCTACACAAGCAAAGGTTTTTTTCTGGGCCTCGGTTTTCAGAGTCCCCAGATTGCTGAAGTAGGCTCTAAGGTGGCGATTCCACAGCCACAGTGCTCGGTGTGTCTGGGCAACCCATAATGCCTTCTTGGAGATAAAAATCCTATAACCAAAAATAAGTTAGAAAACTATGGCACTAAATAGAAGGATGTTCAACAGATCTCAAACCTCTAAACCTCAAACTATACCTTTTGTAACTCACATCTAACATGTAAATCTGTATTGCATACATGGTCTTCTGTGGAACACGCACAGTGAGATATAGTGTTTATAGTTATAGAGATGGCACATACAATCTACATGCGCCTCATCTTGGAAAGCGTGAGAGCTGCTTCTGGCCTCTGATCTCTGCTTTCCATTGCCTGTTCTCAGTATCTGTCCCTCTCTTCCTGCAGAAGCTGTACCGCAAGGAGATCAAGCCACCCTTCAAGCCGGCAGTGGGCAGACCTGAGGACACCTTCCACTTTGACCCCGAGTTTACTGCAAGAACACCCACAGGTATGTACCGGTTCCTCCCAGTTGGTCTGTTCCGATCTGACTCCAGAGAGTGGAGGTCACTCCCTTAGGGAGTAACTTTTAGACCCATGTGGCCTTCCTGACTTCTGCTTGGCACTAAGGGGTCATCAGCAGAACCAATTCGCACTATTCCTCTTGTGACAGACACACACAACCATTCAGGGTTCTGTGAACCCCTCTCTGGCTGTGAGATGGTAGGCGTGACAATCCTCCCAGGGACACACAAGCAAGACACAGAAAAGTAGCAGGTGGCTCACTTCAGTGATCTGTGGGAGAAAGTGGCTATCTTTAGGGCTGTGGGCTTAGGAACTAAATGTTATTTCTGTGAACGCTGGGCCCTGTTTGATGGATACAGTGCAACTAGATCCCAGCACAGAAATTTAGCTTCATGGTGTTTGAGATCTCTGGGGTCTGTGGCTCTGCTTTCCATGATTGCCTGAGACCACCGTGATGGGGCAGCACTGGAAGGCTGGTGGCTTAGCAAGAGGTGTGTGTTGTGTCACAGTCAGGGAGACTGGGTTCAAGGTTAGGTGCTGGCAGGGTCTGTGCCTGGCTAGGACTCTCTATGGTTGGCCACCTCCCGTGTCCTCTCACGGCCTTTCCTCTGTGACTGGGGAAACCTGGGTAATGCTGTGTTACACCAGTCCTGTGGGAGTAGGGACCACTCCCTGACTTCTCCCGTGAGGACCCTGTCTGCAAACACAGCTGCCTGTGGGCAGGGCAGCGGGAGCCACTGCAGTGGTAATGAGCAGAACAGACCCTCAGCCCCTGTCGACTCGGGAGCGAGTTCAGCCAGCTATTGTGGAGCTGCTGGGGTCTGTGCATGGATTCTTTGGGATTTCCCACTACTTACAAATAGGAAATGGTGTGGTTATTGGGAACTAACCACAAAACAAGATTGTCAACCATGAGTTTCAAGTTGGGAGAAATGGAATAGAAACCCCACCCTGTTCTCCCTGGGTACAGGCTCTGCTAGGCAGGGAGATGGACATGCCCTCCTCTGGATGATGATGGACTGGCCTTTGGGACTGCATGGGCACTTCATGTGGGTCTGGGATAGCTACTCTTTGAGCGAAATGGCATGAAGAGCCAGGGCAGTGTGTGCGTTGATTCTGGACATTCAACCCCAGACAGCGCACAGATGGCTCCCTCTGACCTCTAGGCCGCCCCTGCCTAGAGAAGACTGGTGGAGACCAGCACCACTGAGGAAGAATTGTCCTTGAGCATGGTCATGCCATGGAGCAGTCAGTCCCATTGTCATGAGCCCGTGCACAGAGGAGCATCCCTATCCAGGTGCTGAGTTCAGGAGGTCAGAGCCTGGAGGCCACCTGAGTGGCTCGCCAATCCTGCATCTAACCCCAAGATGAAGGAACACAAAAGCAGTTTGTTGTGACTGTGAGCCAGAGCAGACTCCACCCAGACCTCGGGGATGGCAGGGTCCTCACTGGGAAGGGTAGCATTAGTTACGAGTCTGCCATGGAAACCTGCATGTTTAAAATGCTCCAAGCAAGCTAAGCTGCACTGCTGAGTGCAAAGGGGCCAGTGCAGGGTCTTCCTGAGGATCACGTGTGCTCTTGGAATTCCATGGGGAATTCAAACTCCAACCTAGTTGGTTGTTGTTGCCTTAAGTAAACCTTGTAAGCCTTTTGTGCATAGAAAAAGATGTTTTATCTTAATATTAGCCCAAGGAAAACCCATCAGACATGGAGCATACAATCCTGTGTCTAGAACTGGCTTATATCATGCCCTAGTATTGTGGTTTATTCAGATACTGAGTTAATAGACCCTGTCAAGCAGTTTGCCTTTGGGGGAGACAGTAATGGAAGTGCTGAAGATGCAGAGAAGTCACCCTGATTTTCCCAGCAGGGAAGCTGAGTAGACCTTTAAGTTAAAGAAAGAGCAGTGGAGTGATTCTGACACCATCTAGAAACTGAGGGTGTTCATGCGGTAGACTTTCCGTCTTGGTTAACATGAAGCCGCAAGCGACCTTAGGTTTCCTGATCAGAAGTCAGCTGCTTGGTGGAGCATGTCAATCTAAGGACTGAAAATCTTTCCCCCTGGCCAGGAGCTCATTGGTGCTTTTACAAGTTGACTTTTAGCTCCCCTTGTAATTTCGCTCTTCTGTATGAACTAGGAGGCACTCAGTACCTCTCAACTGAGTATAAAGCATTCTGAATTCTGTGCCTGCTACCTGCCTTTTACTCTCCTGCCTCACACATGAAATGTCAGTTCCTCCGGCCTCTTCCAAAGACCTCTGCACTCCAGCAGGCCGGACATCCTTGCATCTCCGCTGACTTCTTGGCTCTATGCAGAGAGATGTATGCGTCTTTACTGCCCGGAAAACATTGCTGACTCTGGCTGCATTTTTTTCACGACTAAAAATGCATCAGTTCAAGTTCACGTGACGTGTTCCCTACATACATGCTCAGACACACACACCCAGTGTGCTGTGCACAGACCCCCGTCTATCTCTCAGACACACACACCCAGTGTGCTGTGCACAGACCCCCGTCTATCGCTCAGCACTGCCAGGCTCAGCAAACTCCTAACCCCCCGAGTCCCTGAGACTGACATACCCATCGTTAAACCTTTTCCCTGGTCCAGTCTCTCACTGTTAAGAGAAGGCAAGAAAATAGACCTCATAGCCAGAAGCGTGCTGGGTAAAGGAAGACAACCAAAGCTCCTGACACAACAGAAGCCCATCCATCCCTAGGGCTAGGCTGAGGGAAGCAGCCGTCTACATTAAACTTCACTCTGCCATTGGGTGTCTCGCTGCGCATAACTTCATGTTCTAAAAACAGTCCTGCCATGCCTTGCCTTGTAATTAAGTGTCCCCAGTCTAGCAGATTAGGAATTCATTTCCAAGCAGTCACCTCGGTCACATTAATTCAGGGTCACACGAGTGTCTGTCTGTGTGGGAGACTGAGCTCGTGCAAGGCAGTGAGTCTCAGGTCTGTTCCCTTTCTGTCCAGGAGCATCCAGGAAGCTTCCTGTCTCTTCTGGTGGGCTGGCATCTCTGCCCCAGGAAAGCACACGGTGGGGGCTATTTCCACCTAACTACAGCCAGGCCCTGTCTGGGATCAGAGCCCCCCTCCTCACTGGCCTTGCCCCTGGGCTGTGAAGCAGCTGCCCTCATAAACCTGTACCCAAAGCAGAATATGAAGGAACAAAAAATACATTCCTGGACAGGAGCTTCTTCCTCCCCACACCCCTCCCCACCATTGTTTCTATGTCAAAGTAAAGGACTGGAAGGGAAGGAAAGGGCACTCTGTCTCCCCAGGGTAAATGTTTCCAGAATGTGTAAATATACACTTGTTCATCTGTTCATTCTCATAGATAGATAGATAGACAGACAGACAGATAGATAGATAGACAGACAGACAGATATATAGATATAGTGTAAGTATGTATATATGTACATATGATATTTAATGTAGTATATACATTAATTTTTAAATTATCATACAAGAAAAAACTAAGGTATCTATTATAAATATTATTAGTTAATGTGTTATTTATGTTATTTATTTATATATCCTGATATATTACAGAATTTGTTATAGATTACATATTCTATTTACTTATATATAAATATATTTGATGTTTACACAGCTGAATCTTCATTTACAGTGGGCAAGTTCTCGTTATTTGGCAACATCCTTTTTCTGTCTTTTCTCTCTCTTCCGTCTTTTTCTTTTAAATTTTAGTTGTTGTTGTTGTTTCTGTTGTTTTCCTGAGTCGGGTCTTGCCGTGTAGCCCAGGTTGGCTCAGCCTCCCAGGTCTGCCCATTCCGACAGGAGAATACCACCACACTTGACTGGTGTTTGACATCTTTGTCTTTGCTTTCAAACTGTTAGGATTACACTTTTGTGTTTGTCCCTAACTGTGTCTGGTTGTCATAGTCGGTCACCTAAGGGATGGGGCCAGCTAAAATACAAACTGAATTCAGATCCTTAATACTTACAAATAGACCAGTGGGCTGGCTCAGAGGGTAAAAATCCTGATAACATAAGTTTGATCCCTGGATACCCACAAATAACTGAAAGTGGGGGCTGGCATCTGTAATCCCCGCACTCCTGTGGGAATCAGAGAATTACCCAGAGGCTCCTGGGCCAGTGCCTTATTGACACTTATTGCTGAGCTAAATCACCCCTATAAGAGTAAGCTAAGAGAGAAAGGGTTTATTTGGCTCACAGTCTCAGAGGGTTACAGCCCATCATGGCTTGAAAGGTGTGGGGAGAACAGGAGGCCAGCCTGTTGCGTTGCATCAGCAGTCTGGAAGGTGAGAGAGCAGGAAATAGGGTCTGGCTACAAACCTCAAAGCCCGCCTCCAGTGACGGACTTCCTCCAATAGACTCCATCTCCCAGAGTTCCATGGCTTTTCCAAACAGACCAGCTAAGGACCAAGTGTTCAAACACGTGAGCCTATGGGAGACATTTCACATGCAGACCATGGCAGCCAGATAGCCTAGAGTATGCAGCATGGCAGGAACAAGACAGGCAAGGTGGGAGGAGAGAAAGAAAGACTCCTGAAAGTTGTTCTCTGACACGCGCGCGCGCGCTCACACACACACACACACACACACACACACACACACACACACACTATCCAGCAGTAAAGCATTATGTAAAGAGACTGTTACTAATTGTGGTTGTGTGAAACACGATTAATAAAAGCTCACAGACTGAAATGGAGTTCAACCTGAATGAAGATCTGAAAAGCAAAACAGCCAGCCACTGGCTCTTACCTTGACCTTAATCCAAAAATGGCGATCTTGGCTTCAGGAATCTCAGAATGAGACTGAGACTGAGAGCTGCCTCCTCCCGTTTTATAATCCTCTCTAGTGCTGGGACTAAAGGTGTGTACCACTACCGCCTGGTTTCTGTGGCAAGTTAGTGTGGCTATTGGGATTAAAGGTGTGTGTTATTGAGACCTGGTCTGTAAGGCTGGCCAATGTGGTTGTTTTACTTTTCTGATGCTCAGGCAAGCTTTATTTATTAAAATACAAATGAAATGTCACTATAGTTGCGATGTCCTTAACACTGGCATGTAGGCTGGCTGTGATTTTTTGCTGTCATTAATAATGCTAAGGACATTTTCTACACTTGTACTTTTGTCAGTAATTCTGAGGACTAAATCCAAGGCTCAGGCTGGCTCTCCGGAGGACGTGTGACTTTGAGAGTGCAGGGGCCATTGCCCCTCCCTCCTCTTCCAAGAATCCATGCCAATTCGAGTTCCCTCCTTCAGCCCTGAGATCGCTGTCCTTTGGCCAAATCTAGATGTTCAGGCTACTTGTGCTTTTATGGCACCCTCAGCTTTCGTGTTATCCCATTTAATAAGCATGCGCCCACTCATCCCAGCCTGAGCATCTCCAGACATGGTGCCCATAAGATGGCTTCCTCTGCCCCTTCCTGTCTGTCACTAATCCCCTCCCCCACCAGCCAGACCTGGAGGGGAACCATAGCATAGCAGTCCTGCTTTGGAACAGCCCTCATGGACTTAGAAAAGTCAACACTCTTCTGCTGGACCGTGGGCAGCAGGGACTGGAGGCACGGAGCAGGGCAGCCTTGGCACATGCTGTGCAGGTGTGGAAGGGGCTGTCTGGCTGTGTGCTGGGCCTTAGGCAGAAGTCTGGGCTGTAGGTGAATGTGGAACTGGGGAAATTCTTGGCTTTTCTCTGATTGTCTTTAGGCATACAGCACCTGCTTAGCCCAGAAAGGAGGTGCTGAACTCATGGCAGCCCTGCTTTCTGGCCTCTCCCCCTAGAGTTTCTGGCAGCATTTTGCTTTGTTCTGTAGTAGGGAGGGGTGTTGGGTTCTGTTGAAGAATATCCAGTAACTTCCAAAGTCAGTAACCTAAAAACACGTGATCAATGATTATCTGAAAACTTCCACGTGATGCGTGTTTGCCGGATCAGACTCTTGGCAGCACCTGAAGTAGTTTCGTGTGTTTCTGCCTCTCTACTCATATGTACCCTCGCCAGCACACATGCTGCATGTGTAGTCACTACACACATGTACACATCATGGTCTTTCCCTGGCTCTCATGAGGTGTGAACCCTGCACTGCTCATCCACAGACTCTCCTGGTGTCCCCCCAAGTGCAAACGCCCATCACCTGTTCAGAGGATTCAGCTTCGTGGCCTCCAGCCTGGTCCAGGAGCCCTCACAGCAAGACATGCCCAAGGCCCCCATTCACCCCATTGTGCAGGTAAGTTTGCTTACCTCAGGAGCTCAGTTCAGGGCCCCAGTGCCTGGCCTTGGAGACCCTGAGGATTTTTATTACCTCAGTGTTGGGTGCCAACAGCGGGTCAAAGGCAGACATCCCCCTGCCCCTAAATGTCACTGAGTGTTGCTATAGTGATCTTCCTGGTGGTTTGAACAGTTACACATTCATTTCTAAAAGGGAAAATTAAATCTGAGGAGAGGATCCCCATGGATGTCTGTGCCCCTGTCTTCTCTGTATCAGCTGTGGGTGCCATGTTGTCGGGGGGGGCACTGGGGATGCCGTTTAGACTTCTGTATTGTATGAATATAGCTAGAACTCCGAGAACTCTGAAGGATTTGCAGTAAACTCACTTGAGTGCTCGATGTCTCCATTCAGTGGAATCAGATAGCATTGAATTGATTCCCTGACATCTGTCTCCCTGGTGGCTGTGCTCAGTGGGGCACTTGTTCTCAGTGGTGAGCAGGCGGGGGCTGTGCGCGGGGGGGCCAGAGCTGACTTCTGGTTTAAACATTTGGGCTTGGTGCTTTCATCTGAACACTCACCCTGGAAATGGCAACGTAGCCACATACAAGTGTGTCTGCCCCGGCTCCACAGAGTCTCACCACCATAGGTCTCTGGGGGAAACAAGTGCTCAGTAGACCCATAACATCCAGGTGTCTGAATGTTAAAAGCCAGTGGCCACAGGAGTTCTAGAACCATCTATGCATAGCTCTGTGACCTTGGGCAAGGAACTCTTCATTTCCTCGAGCTCCCAAGTTCCCAGGGTGCCCTAGATCCGTGTGTCTGCTGCCCACGCACCTGATGAAGAGCTGCTAACCACCCTGTCTTGGCCTCTGCAGCAATTACACGGGAACAATATCCACTTCACCGATGGCTACGAGATCAAGGAGGACATCGGGGTGGGCTCCTACTCGGTGTGCAAGCGCTGTGTTCACAAAGCCACTGACACGGAGTATGCTGTGAAGGTAAGGCAAGGAGCCCTGGCCTCGCCGAGCAGTGCCGCCAGCTGGAACGCGGGCACTGAGCAGGCTCTGCCCAGCCATGGTTTCTGAGATCAGTGTGGGAGACTTCAGTTTATTTTGATATGAGTTAAAACTTATTTTGCAAGCTGGGCATGGTAACACAGCTGTAACTAAAGCCCTCAGGAAACTGAGGCAGGGGAACTGAGTGGTCCCGATGAGCCTGGGCTACGTAGCAGGACCCTATCTCAAAAAACAAAAAGAAAAAGTCTTTTCAAATGATAAATATTTCAGTTATGTCCAACATGGAACCAGTCATCTTTAGTAACTAAGTATAGCATGCCAAGAAAAAATAGCCCTAAGCACACAGGATCTAGGAGACAGAAGTGGGCAAACAGGCATAGCATTTATCAAAGGAAGGAAAGTGGGGGAGGGAGGAAGGAAAAAAGATACAGCTGCGAAAAAATAATCAAAGAAATAAATAGGAATGGAGAATAAAGGGGGCAGCTAATGCTTTTCCCCAGCCACCAAAACCTGCGGGTCGTGCAGAGTGACACCGGAATCCAGTTTGTCGAGCTCCGGGTAGTCATCTTCACCTCCCGAACTGTTGTAGATTAAATCTTTGACCTGAGCATCCAAAACGCTAACTTCTAGAGCTTTCTAGTTAGTAAAAGCTAAAGCTTCCTTCTTCTGAAGTCAGCACCTAACATACACAGAAACACACACCATGCCTCACACACTGCGTGTTCTCTCTCCACGACCGTGAGGCGGTCTAACCTCAGCTACCCACCCCCGACACATGAGACATAGGGCTGGAGAGACGGCTCTGTGGGTAGAATGCTTGCGGCAGACTTCAAGTCTGCAAAGCCTACATGAAGCCAGGTGTGTAGCACACGTCTGTATTGAGTTCCTCGGTGAGATGGGAGGCAGAGACAGGAGAATCCCAGGATTGCTTGGGCCGCTAGCCTGGCCTATGCAGAGGGGAACAATGAGAGACACTGTGCTGTAGACAAGTTGGAAGGGAAGGGCTGAATCCTGAGGTTGTTCTCTAACCTTCACACCTATGCTGTGGTACGTGTGCACACACACCCCTCCCCCGCACACTTGCGTGCACACGCGCGTGCGCCCACACACAGACACACGGACACAGACTGGAGGGACAAAGTCTGAGGCTGCCTCATTGTGACGTGAACCATACCAGCTCTGCTTGGCATGTGACGCTGTCCCAGCTCTTCAGAGAGAGCCTAGGGAGAGGTGGAGCTGGCCAACGAGGCAAGGGCAGTTTCTGCCCATAGTGGTTTTCCAGGCTCTGAAAAGGCTGCTTGGTCCACTGAGCCCGGGCACTGTGTATCCTTTCTTGACACTGGACATTTCTCAGAAGCATATTCTCAAGAGAAAGTGAGTCTTCACAGGCTGTCTGCCCCAGGTATCTCAGACTGTGAAAACATTCAGTAGGTTTTAGCAAAATAGACACCAGCCAAACATTTCAGGAATCTGGCCTTTTTACAAATTGGTCCAAACTTCCTGGAGTCCTCAAGGTGATTACAGCGGAAAGAGGAGCTCACAGTTATGGCAGGGTCAGCACCAGGTGTCACGGAGCCAACCCTGCTGGGGCACAGTCACGGGTCCTGATTGCGCGTGGCTGGGGTGTACAGAAGATCTGTGTTCTGCCTCGCCCCGGAGGACTTTTGAGTGCTTTGTGGCTTGTGTGGGCTTCTTTAGTATTTCTTTGTGTGAGTTGTTTCTCACAGAAATTCTTTAGATTGTTTATCTCAAGGCCAGCAGCACTCCTAGAAGCAAGCGGTGCTGCCAGAGAGCCTAAGAAACACATCCATTGTGCGGCTGGCCCGGCAGCCCCAGGGCCCTTCTAGAAACAGCCCACTACTGTTTAGTGTTCTTCTGTGCCCTGCACCTCGGTCCCATTGACGAGGCCAGTGGCATGCTCTCTCTGGTCTTCCCACGTCCAGCTCTCACGCAGAGCCTCCATCTGGAATCGGCTTTGTTGGGAGTTAGGACTCTGTCCTCAAAGATCCTGGTGAGGTCTGACCATGTACAATCTGTGACAGCTCCCCTTCCCAACCTGTGCACCCCAGGAAGAAAACTAAGAGTTTTATCTCTAGTTGACAGTAGAAGAAGAGCTAGGAGTTCCTGTTTGTCATTGAAGCCTTGAAACTCCCTGGATAAACCAAGTGGTAGACATGCAGGGATCCCCTTGTCCTTTCTAAGACTATAGTGGGTCATAATCTATTGTTTGGAAAATGCTTAAATTAACCCTCACGGAATGGAGCAGGACCATGGAAAAGCTTGGCAAGACAGCTTCCACATACAGCCTAGGAGCACACACAAACTCCTTGTAGATGGGCAGCAATAAGTCCACTTCTCTAAGGGCTCAACCTTTCCTGGGTTCAAAGATGGAAGAGCCAACAGTTGATGGACTTCTGTGTCCACGCAGCTCCGGCAAGCAGAGCCTGTGAACTCACGTCAGCTGGTCGTGTGGTGGGGGCAGGTTGAGCTATAGAAGAGAGAGGCCTGTGCACATGCACTCTAGAGCCTGCTCAAGGCAGGGAGCACACTGCCCCCTTGACTCCGCCTTCAGGAAGCCTGCTGCATTCCATCTTTCCATCTCTGACACATCCTTTCTCTCTGGTCCCAGAACCAGAGGCCGCCACCGGAGAGTAACTGAGACAGGTTAACAGACGCCCTTCAGCCGGCCCTTCCTCATGCCCTTGCCTTTCAAACCAGAGCCTTAGCCCAGGCACGGCACCTCTCTACTGACAACCCCGCCTCCTATGGCTGAAGTTCTGGGGGTGGCAGGTGGACCTGGTCAGTACGAGGCGTGACCAAACCCCTCGGCAGCACACCCGTTCTTACGAAATGCCCGCAGTTAGGATCAGATAAAAATGAAAGATCCTTGCTGCCAAGCCCAATGGGCTGAGTTCCATTCCCGGGACCTACATGGTGGAAGGAAGGAGCCAGCTCCAGCAAGCTGTCATTGGCCTTACATGTGCCCTGAGCTGTGCATAGCCACACACAGCTAAAGAAATGGACGCAATAAAAGCTGAAGTGCTTTAGAGTTGTTCCTAAGTGTCACCCCGTTCTCTCAAAGCTATTTTAATTGTTTATTTAACTCATTTCCACTCGCTGTTGCCTCCTTTCCCCTCTGGAACATTCTCCTCCTCCCAGCACCCGCCCCTACTCCACGTCCATTCTGCCTGTGACCACTGAGTAAAATCCTGTCTGATCCAGAGCACTGTGTCTGTGGCCACACCTTGAAAAATCTGAATCCCCCCCTACAACAGCTCTCCATTGCTGCTAATCCCTGCCCCACCCCGCCCCTGACGAGGACTGGTGGGGCCTCCCGGGTCTGTCGCCATCATTGAGGTGTCTGATCTATGTGCAGGGTGAAAGATGAGGTTCACAACCCAGTCTCCCGTGTCTTCACAGCCAGTTTTCCCAAAGTGCCTTTGGCTTCTCTGTGAGACGCTGGATGGTGATTTTGGATGTCTGTCGCCCTGTTTTTAACTCCAGCAGGGGATGTGACCACCACAGCCAGGACAGGACAGGCCTCACTGCCCACGGGAGGCCGAGTCTGGACCCACGGCTGCCGTCTCTGCACAGCAGTGTTCCTGCCTGTGCTCACTTCCATTCTGTGTACATAACTGTGAACCAGCAAGGAAGTGGAATCAAACAGATGCCTGGCCTGGGGAGAGCTTGTTTTTAGAAGGACTAATTAGCGTAGAAATTTTGATTTTTTTTTTCCTACCAAGAAAACACTGGAGTTCTTACTCTTCGTCGTTTGTTTAACTTTACGGGAGAAACTCTTAGTTATTTTTTTTTTTTTAAGTAATTACACACTCTGCTTAACTTGCTTCCAACACACTAGGGTCCTTCCAACAAGTGGAAGGAAGTGGGCCTGGGGGTGCGTCCTGCTTGGCCAGGAGCTCACCCCGCCGCTGTCAGAACTCGCCTGCACATGGCTCAGCACCTAGAAAGGGGTGCTTCAGTGATAGGGAGCTGAGAAGTACAAGGAGGGACAAGTACAGACACAGAAAGGGAAAGCTGGAAGGGGGGGGCGGGAATGCCTTGGTAGTGACAAAGACTCCTGTGTAGCAGCATCAGCCACCAGCATACGTGAGTTCCCTGTCAAGAAGAGCCTTCCTCCTGCACCAGCCGTGATGGCAGGCATACTTGCTCCAGGTATATACAGGCCTTGGCTTACCACCTCTGAGGAGCATGAGAGGCAGCATGCTACACATCACACCCGTGGGGAGCTTACCCACCTTCAGCAGAGACAGTTGTCCACTGGGCAGGACGCTGCCTGACCCTTCTACGCCTCTCTTCCTGATGAGAAGCAGAGCAGTGAGACACACACTTCCCCTTCCTCCTGCCTATGACTGTGGTTGTCTCTACTACCTGGAGGGAAGAGCCAAGAATGTGGTCCACAGGGCTTGCTCTAGTTGCAAGGAAACCCAGCTACATCATTCCCAGGAAGCCGTCCCACCAGGAAACTCACTGAAGGATCCTGTGTATTTTTCCACCTCTCAACAGCCACCGGAGGGAACGCGTCACTTCCTTATGGTATTTGATGGAGATGCTTCGCAAGTTCCACCGAACAAAGGATATTCAGTGTGTTTTCATGGTCCACCATGCTCGTGTGTGTGCCCTGTTATTACAGACTAGCCGGCGTGCCCTCCAGCACCTCCTGGTCGAACATACACATTAATTCTCACTTCAGTCTTAAAGTGTTATTCAGTGTCAGTGAGATCTTAAGGTCTTTAAGAAACAGGATTTGTTCACACATGTTTATGGCTGTTCGTCAGAATTTGTTTCATGACTTACACCCAAAGAACACACAGGAATAAGACAGATACCACGGAAAGGGGTCAAGCTTTGTCCCAGGTGTTTTTATGATAGTGGCAGTATTCTAACATTAATTTTTAGCAGGTAATATTCACATGATTCCAGATTCAACAACTATACTCAAGGAAACCTCAGGGTCTCCCGGTCATAACTCCATCCCCTCGATACCCATTTCCCTGCCCTGGGAAGTCAAAGTTTTTGATAGTCTCCTATTCCTTTCTAGGGTTATTTATGCATTCTCAAGAAAATATGTAATTCCTTTTCTGCTCTTAAACTAAGTGACAGTGTCGGTGCACCTGTGGCGCTTTTCCAATTCAGGTGTCCCTGGCGGTCAACAAAAGGCTTCCTCTTGTTCATTCCACTCAGCTCCTTCGGAGGAGACCAAATTGATGTTAGGAGCGGATGACTTTATCATGGAAATGACTTTGAGAAAAAATGCATCCACCACTAAATCATCCAGGCCCATGAATATATTGCAAAGGGAATATGTTGGGTGTTGGATACCCATGTAGTCAAAGCAGAGAGGCTTTGGAACTGGATGACGCCAGAATGCAGGGGCATAGAGTGCTGTTGAGGGTAGGGGGCATTTCTGAATTTATGAGTCATTCTCAACCTAAGTGCTGTCTGAGTCACACACGTGGGTCCTTTCTCTCCATCAGCTCCCCACAAACATAGGAGGCCAGGCTCCTCCAGAGGTGGCAGAGCCATCATGGAGCACAGGGACTCCTATCTCAAAGACAGGCTTTGATTTGTGGCACCTTAAGGGGAAGCCACCCATCTAGAGTTAAATAGTTTTATCTGCTATTCCAAGACATTGTGCAAAATACTGGGTAGGGGGAGGGACCCAAAAAAGAAAGGGGGTGTGTCAGGTCAGTGGCAGACACAGACTGTGCTGGCTGCTGGCGCCTGGGCAAGCTCACACCTGCCCTGCTGCCTCTGGCCTTTTGATATCTTGAGATTCATGTCTGAAGGCTGACCCCTTCTTTCTTGTGGTATTAGGGATTGAACCTGGGGCCTTGCACGTGCTAGACAAGTACTTTGTCACCAAGCTACATCCCTAGCTGTATCCCTAACTACATCCCTCTTTTCACTTTGAGACAGCATCTCATTAAGTTGCCCAGACAGGCCTACAACTTACAGTCTTTCTGCTCCGAGCTCCCTCGTAGCTAGAATTATAGACCCGGTTTCCTCTTTTTAATTGTACCCTTTTTGCTAGCTGAGACAGGAGAGGCTAGGTCTACGTTTCTGAGAGATTTTAAGTGAGCTTGGTTGAGTCCCATGCGGGTATGGACGGCGGTCCTGCTGTGACTCTCTGGGGTCTCAGTCCCTCATCTGCAGTGGTCCAACAAGGCCAGCAGCGAAGCTCTCAGTGCTACATGCTGTGTGTGTTTCAGATCATCGATAAGAGCAAAAGGGACCCTTCAGAAGAGATCGAGATCCTCCTGCGGTATGGCCAGCACCCCAACATCATCACCCTAAAAGATGTGAGTGCCTCTGTAGCAGCTCTTTCCTGCAGTGGACGCAGAAACACCACCATGCGCATGGTGCAAGTTTTCTCACATTGCTTTTGTTCCGTGCGCCCAGGATCACGTGCCTTAGACACATCCCACCCAGAAGTCCCCTAATTTGGGTGTATACATGAATGAACCGGGTGTATGTACACCCCTGGATAGTCCCCCACTCCCCCCAACATGCTGTGCCCGAGCGTAAAATGGGAAACACCTGAGTGTGTCACGTGTGTGTGCTGTTCTTTGTCACTGAGTCAGTTCCTGCCTGACAGTGTGGCATGAGGGTGGCCGGTCCCACTCAACTCTGGCTGGGACATGTTTACAGCCTCCTTTGAACCTTCCCTGATGAGGGACATTAGCACAGGAATCAGCCGCACTGGGACTGTCTGCAAGGCTCCTCTACCCTATGAATGAAGCCAGATGGGCAGGTATGGGTTCGAGAGGAGAGCAAGTTTTCCCTCTTCTTACCCTTACCTCTTGGAGTACAAAGTCATTCCCGTGACATACGCCCACAGCCTGTACCTGCTGGGACCCTCTCAGTGTCCCTTTGACAGCAGCTCACGGAGTAAGAGTTCAACCCCAGGGAACATGGGCAGTGAGTGTCTCTCATCCAAAAGCTTAAATGGAGCCAGCTCTGACCCAAGCCTGGTGCTCTGATTGTGTGTTCTTGGTTTACGTGGAAGATTCACAAACCAAAGCCAGCTCTTCTGCAGACTCAGAGTTGGCCCTCTCTGCTGTTTGAGGGGAGCAGCTCAGGGCCGAGATGACATCATCTTCCCACCCTCAAAATAGAACAGTGAGTTCATAAGCTCAGAAACGAATTAGCGCCACACCTTTTACACAGGTCAAAGTCAGGTAAATTATTTTAGTAACTTGTTCTGGCAGTTCATCGACTGAATGATTATCACTGAACTGAGAACAAGCACTTGGTTCCGTCACCCGTTTTCATCTAGTTCTCAAAGCTTAGGCACACATGGGCTCCATGCTTTTGGTGACTGGGGTACATACGTGTTTGTCTTCATATATACAGGGCCCCAAAATAGCCAGTTTGCATCTTTTTTTTTTTTTCATTTTAAGTTGAGTCTAAAGCTAGTATTGGCAAAAGCTGTGTGTTTGTTGGAGCCAGGTCCCCTCCCCACAGCCCTGCAGAGCCAGGCCTGCACGCTGGCTTGACCCACGGAATTACATGCGTGGTGACAGTTGAGAGGCATCGTTCTTGTGGAGTGCTGTTGCTACTGTCACTTGCCCTCCTTTGGTGTGCTTGCCCCTCAAAGACCAGCAGCATGACTCTACAACATATTTCAGCTCAGCCGCTTCTCTCGAGCTCCCGTGTATCCCGTGGCCCAGCTTGCCCATCCCCCAGGGTATCAGCTGTTTCCCTCCAGAGAAGAGCTATTTTTGTGTGGCTGGAATGGGTGCTCACCCATTCCCAACAGCCAAACATCTTGATTTTACTTCTAGGGACATAGCCCCCAGCTTCTGTCCTCCACCCCATTTGGAGCCCTTGCTCCGTCACAGAACCAGGAGCCTGAAGACGGCAGCCATGCTGACATAGAGGTCCTTGAATTTCGTGTGCTTCTCCTTGACCTCCAGGTCTATGATGATGGCAAGTATGTATACCTGGTGATGGAGCTCATGCGCGGCGGGGAGTTGCTGGACCGCATCCTCCGTCAGCGGTGCTTCTCAGAGCGCGAGGCCAGTGACGTGCTGTGCACCATTGCCAGGACCATGGACTACCTGCATTCTCAAGGGGTAAGACCCGGGCCAGGGTGCCCATAGCCTGCGGGAACAAGGGATGACCCAGGTGGGGCTGCCTGCACTCCCAGTTGCAAGGCTCAGGGCAGGGCAGTGGACCAGCTTCGGGGCAGCTGGCAACCACAGGGAGGAAGATGCAAGACTGTAGAGGAGCCACAGAGTTGTGGGTGCAGGGAGACATCCTTATAGACTGGTATCTGCCTGAAGGCAAGTGGGAGGGCAGAGTACTTCCTGTGCCCTCTCAAGTCCTTCAGCGCCGAACAATGTACCCAAGGGATGTGATTTTCTGTGATGTGTTCTGCTGCCCGTTATGGGTCTGAAGTCATCTGTATACATAGTATACAGGAACTAAGGTCACAGATTTGTGTGAACCAATTTTACCAAAGAGAATGTGATGCCCTGGCCTTGATAAAGAGAGATTTAGAATTCTCAGTACTTGTGATCTGAAAAGTTAAAGAGAAAGGGTAGCAGCTAGGGTTCCCACAGCCTCCGACGGCCGAGACTACACCACGCTCCTCAGGGACTCAGTTCTAAAGCCTGGACTTTGTGTGTCTTAGAGGACCAAGCATGGGTTGGTTAAAGCCAACTGCACCAAGGCCACACTGCGGAACTCCAGGCCACAATCTCTGTCTCAAGGAGGGAACAGCCAGCCTAATACATTGTCTGCGTCTTTTCCTCCTCCCTCCTTCCCTTCACCCTGTGCCTCTGTCCTTCCATCCTTCCTCCCACCCCACCCTTCACCTCTGCCCCTCCTCTGCTCTTTCCCTCTCTCCTCAGAAATTCCCATAAAGCAGGTTTGGGCCAACTGCAAACACAGGTTTGCAAGCCTTCACAGTTCTTCCAAGATCTCACAGCCCATCCTTTTTGTGTGACTTCCCCGTGACCCGGGAGTTCCACACATTGCTTTCCCAACAGCCAGATTCTAGACGCCCCTGAATGTGAGAGTTCACAGACATCCTTCTGTCTAATGGGGGGATCTGGAGTCTTCAGTCTCCCGGAGGCTGCCGTCAGTGTCCATGAACCGCCCCGATTGCCTGAGTATATCACGTCGATCTTAGCAGAACCTCTCACTGCTCTGGAAGAGGACAGCTGGGATGCTCAGCTCCAGACCTCATGGCGTCACACTGCGTATCTGCACAAGGGTCTTCTGTCCCTTTGTGTCCTAAATAGCTGCTTTGTTTTGTGGTATTGCTGGCCCTTCTGCCGTGGCAGCTGTCACTGTAACTATGGGACATGCTTGGAGTCTGGGCCTTGAGTGGTGCAATGCAGTCTGTGCAGCCCTCAACCCCTCCCCTTGCTGCAGAGTCAGTGTGCCTGGGGTAGCGGCGCACCGTGTGTGCCTGGGGTAGCAGCGCACCGTGTGTGCCTGGGGTAGCAGCGCACCGTGTGTGCCTGGGGTGCACACTGTGTGTGCTTGGGGTAGCAGCGCACCGTGTGTGCCTGGGGTGCACACTGTGTGTGCTTGGGGTAGCAGCGCACAGTGTGTGCCTGGGGTGCATACTGTGTGTGCTTGGGGTAGCAGTGCACCGTGTGTGCCTGGGATAGCAGCGCACTGTGCTTTTGGTCCCTGTGACAAGTGGTCCGTGCACTGTCATACCCCAGAATCCCACTGTGGGCCAATTTTCTCACGGGAACATTTTCATCCCTGTAGCCAGAGCTGCCTGCATCTTGGAAAAGCATGGGTTTTATTCCATCATATTGTCCTTCTGTATGAAGGCGGACTCTGTGGGTCCTTGGCCGTGAGTGACCAGCAGGGGTGAGAGATAGGGCGACCCCTCAGAAGAGCACAGTACTTTTCTCTCACCAGGGAACCTACTCTGGGAATCAGTTCTCCCTTGTCTCCCGCATACACTCCTTTTCTCTCCCACTCTGCCTTGACTGCTGCTTCCTGCCTTCCAGGTTGTTCATCGGGACCTGAAACCCAGTAACATCCTGTACATGGACGAGTCTGGAAACCCCGAATCTATCCGCATCTGTGACTTTGGGTTTGCCAAGCAGCTGCGAGCAGAGAACGGATTGCTCATGACTCCCTGCTACACAGCAAACTTTGTGGCGCCTGAGGTAGAGTCCTCCAAACCGAGGGAAGACAGCATAGTCAGGCTGAGGGAAGCACACCCTGTTTCCTGTTACCATAGTGACTAGAGATCTTGGGGCATTGAGGCAGTATTATGGACTTGGCCATGTCCTCAAGAGATGTGAAGGAGAGCCTGCTGTGGAGGGAGAAGAGCAAATGGTCGCTCTGGATCGGCCAGAACCACTCAGTCACCGTGTGTATCTTATCTTCCATCAGGAACACTTATATGGTGCTGATGCACCAGGTTCCTGCTCTAGTGTTTCCATGACAACCAGTCAGCATCATGCGACTTGGGATGGGAGCCCACAACAGTGTACACCCAAATGCTCACATATGTGTTCCCTACTCTGCTCCCCATCCCTTACCTCGGAGGATTTCCAAAGGGTATCTCGTTCCCATTGCTAGCTTCCTGAGGCCAACTCCACTGGCTTCTGCTGCCACTGATATTTGTGGTGGTACATCAGTCTGGCTTGTTGTGTGAGTTGATGGTAAAGTGGAACCACAGTGATAGCAGCAGGGGCTAGCCTTGCTGATGGAGTCGGAGAGGCTCAGGCCCTGTGTTGGGCCTCCTGAGTGGAACTGTCAGGTCTGCTCCGAATCCTACGAGGAAGACACTGCTGTGCGCTTTGCCGAGTGAGGTCTAAGAGTGACTAGGCAGCCGTATCTGGTTATCCAGGGGTTATCCAGGCAAGTGAGCAGCCTTGACCCCTTTGGAAACGGCTGGTTTGAAGCTTCGATGGCGTTTGGCCGTTATTAGTCCTGACAGAGTGCATACGAGAGCCGTGTTTCATAGTCGAGGAGAGAAAAACAAAGTCAGTATTTATGTGACTTGGGAGGTCATTTAACCAGTGACTCAGAGTTGCAATTTACTCAGCATTTAATACCTGTCTTGCACTGTGGCACATAACTCACCCTCGCCTGGGAAGAAACTGAACACAGAGTTCTAATGCCTCATTCAGGCCAATGCAGCAATCTATAGTGACCCGTGAGCATCAGGCTGGGCTCTTCCCTGTCGCTCAAGTGTGAACATACCCATCAGTCACCCCCATATGGCACCATCAGAATTCTTCCCCCTTAGTATCCGTTAGCTAAGACATAGGGTACAGTGGCACACACCTGGTCTCCACTGGGACTCTACCAGGCCGAGACAGGAAGGGCCCCTGAGCTCAGGGGCAGGAGACCAGCCTACGATAGGGCCTCATATCTCGAAACACAAACTGCATAAGCCAGGCATCGTGCCACATACAGTGCTGCAGTGGTGGAGACAGAAGGGGGATCAGGTCAAGGTCATTCCTGCTATGTTGTGAGTTCCGGGACGACTCTGCGTCCATTGGGTGAAGTTCCTCGCAAGCTTAGATTCATACAGAAAACAGAATGGGGTCGTCAGAGACGACTGGGTTGGCCCGTGGGGAATTTCAGTTTAGGAAAAGGGGTTCTGGAGGATGGCTGCCCTGCACTGTGAACGTGCACTGAATGGCATCCCGCAATGTGGCTAACATGTCGACAGAAAAGCAGGACTTCTGCCGTCACGCCACATGTCAGGCAAGGGCCGTGCCCCACCCCTTCTCTGCAGGAGCCATGCTATAACATGGTAGGCAGCACTGGCTGACCCAGCAGATGGCCCCGCCCTGGCTGTGCCCCACCCCTTCTCTGCAGGAGCCATGCTATAACATGGTAGGCAGCACTGGCTGACCCAGCAGATGGCCCCGCCCTGGCTGTGCCCCACCCCTTCTCTGCAGGAGCCATGCTATAACATGGTAGGCAGCACTGGCTGACCCAGCAGATGGCCCCGCCCTGCCCTGGCTGTGCCCCCATTCACTCTGAACTGGAGCTGCCCAGCACAATTCTGACCCTGCCCATTGCCCTTCCAGGTCCTGAAGCGGCAAGGCTACGACGCAGCGTGCGATGTCTGGAGCTTGGGAATCCTGCTGTAAACCATGCTGGCTGGGTAATGGAGGGCCCCAGGCGTCACCCTTCCCTCCTGGTGCTTGTGTGTAAACACACCAGCACGTCTGGGTTAGGGTGACTACTCAAACCCTGTAGGATAAGGAAATGACAAGGACAGTCAGCTGTGTGATCTTTATAAACTCAGCCCACAAACAAATACCCTCCACAGACCCCCTCCCCCTCCCCACACACACACACGTTCCCTCTTCCGCCTGAACCATTCTCTTGACAGGAACGCTAGGAGAGTTGCACGTTCCTCTTCTCGGGAGGTGTGTGCTGATGCATGTCTGAATTGTATGTGTGATGTTGGGGTGGCGGACAAGGACTATACCTGACTTGTGTGGTGTGACTTTTCTAAGTTCAAGAACCAGTCTACCCAAGAGCCAAGACTTGGTGGTGGAGTGACACCTGGGTCCCTCAGACTTCACATCTCGGGCGTCCAGCCACTGAACCACTCTCTCATCATGGATACCAAATCTCCATGCAGACTCTCTGCCATCCTGGCGCCAGTGTGACCCCGTCTTGTTGACTTCCAGCACTGACCATGGCACTAGGGCACACACCATTCCTTAGCCTGAGCCCTAGACTCGGGGTAGAAAGAGGCAGACATTGTTCGCCCGGCAGAAAGCCCTGAGGTGGAGCTGTGAGCTCATAGCCATCAATGCTCCCCCACAGGTTCACCCCTTTTGCCAATGGGCCAGATGATACCCCCGAGGAGATTCTGGCTAGGATCGGCAGTGGGAAATACGCCCTCTCTGGGGGGAACTGGGACTCCATATCTGACGCAGCCAAAGTGAGTATATTTCCTGGTATTGTTACCGCCTGGGCTTGGAGGATCTGCCATAGGCATGCTGTTTGTGAGGAAGCCGGACGTTCCTGTATGTTTCCACCCATACAGACGTCATAGACTTATTCACAGTGTTTCAAATTTTTTATTTAAAAAAAATGACCTTCTTCATGTTGCTAATGTAGTAAGGTTCTGCAGAGAAGCAGAACCAGTAGGAACTGTGGGCATGGACGGAGATACAGACACAGGCAGATGTAGACATGAACAGCTAGGGGAGCCCACAGAGGAGCCGCGGTTAGGGAGCTGGCTGCTGCGACCAGGGCTGCGAGCCTGAAGTTGGCAGAGTGACTGGCAGCTAGGGACCCTGAGGAAGAAGAGACCTGCAGGTTAACTTCAGAGCCTCTGTGGCCAAATTGCCTCCTCTGTAGGGGTGGTTCCGGACGACCACCCTAATGCCTGCGGCACATTTGTGTTGGTGTAAAGTCTCTGGTTTGGGCTGGCCTGGCACGCACACTTTTCTCACCAGGTCACCATCATGCCCATCCCTCCCACTCCAGTCTTCTTCGGTGGAGATCACCAAATCCTGTAGTAAAACAGTACACTGTTGGGCTCAGAGTGTAGGTCAGTGCACAAGCCCTTAGTGTTTGCAAGGTGCTAGGCTCCACCCAGTGCCGGAAAAGTACACTACAGTCTGACCTCAGTAAGCTGTGCCAGCAGCCTGTCTTCTGTGTTGCTATAAAAGTTCTGAAGGAGAAAGATGGGCTCTGAGTGCCTTGTTCCAGTGCATGGAATCCCTTGAGTTTATAGAAGGCAGCCACTTTTATTAAATTAGTATTTCAGCAGCTTATGTGTGCCGTTTAAAGTTTGAAACACCTTTACTATAAATCTGTCTGTTGCTAAGTCAGTAATCCTTGACACTTTAAATACAATCACATATTCATAACCCTAGATTTGACCCAAAATGCAAAGAATCACCTCCAAATTATATATAGTTCTGTTCTCCTGGGCAGTCCCTGACCAGCCCAACACCACATCCCTCTTCCCTCTGAACCCTTGGCAGGACGTCGTGTCCAAGATGCTTCACGTGGACCCGCAGCAACGCCTCACAGCAGTTCAAGTGTTGAAACACCCATGGATTGTGAACAGAGAGTATCTGTCCCAAAGTCAGCTGAGCAGACAAGATGTCCATCTAGTGAAGGTACCTAATGGCCAGACCCTGGCGGTGGGCGTGGGAATCCCTGAGCAATCCCTGAGGATAGTTCCTCACCGTTGGTGAGCAGAGACTGTAGCTCGTGAGGTCACCTGCTGTAGGTACACGAGTCTCACTTAAGCACACGTACAGAAATTGTGTTTGGTACCATGGTTGTACAGCCCTATAATCCAGAGCCCTCATTTCTGGACCAGAAGTCTGTAAAAGTCTCCTCATGCTAGCAGTGTGTTGGGCAGCCCCGCAGTCCCGCAGTCCGGGCAGTACCGCCCTCCTAAGCACTGCACACAGTCCCAGCCCAGTCCTGCGAGAAGTCCGTCCTGGGTCTGTCTTGACGGGGTGGAGCTACACCAAGGTGAGCCCAGCTGCCAAGTTAGTGCAGACTGCTTCAGAGTGCCAGAGACTAAGAAACGCTGGCCACAAACTCCTGGGGACCTACCTGGCCCCCAGACACATCTGCCTTCCAGTCAGCAGTAAGATGATGGCATGACCTCCCAGAAACTCCACTCCAGCCTTAAATACTCCTAAGGCACAAGCCCCTGCTGGGCCTGGGTGTCACGGTAGTGGCCACCATTTGTGGGCTGATTATGTGGGCACGGCAGGATGCCCGCTACCCTCAGTGCACCAGTAATCCTGGCCTCCCCTGCTTTATCGGGATATAAACTGAGGCTCTCAAGGCCCTGTAGCTCAGCTTCCCATTCACGAGTAGATGGGCACCATGCTCACCTACCCCCCTCCTCCTCTTACAGGGTGCCATGGCAGCCACCTACTTTGCTCTGAACAGGACCCCACAGGCGCCAAGGCTGGAGCCTGTGTTGTCGTCTAGCTTGGCCCAGCGCAGAGGCATGAAGAGACTCACGTCCACCAGGTTGTAGTGGCCGGCCAGGCCTGCCCTCCAGCCTCAGCCTCCCTGCCCAACGTCCTCTCAGGCTCCCGGACGCCACACACAGGTCCTGCTCATGGGCACTTGAGTGACCATGATTCCAGCACAAAGACGGATCTGGCCTTGGTTGTCTGTCTCCTTTGCAGCCCCGGAGAGGGTCCTGCCCAGGATGTCTGAGCCTTGCTGTGCCGACCTCGCCGCCGCCTGCTCTCCTTTTCTCCTGAGTGAAACCAAATGAACCTGTCACCTCATAGCACCCTGCTGGAGCCTGCCTGAGCTCGCTCAGGGCTTTTAGTCTTTTCATGTCATGGCTTATGTTCAGTGCAAAGCATTTCTGCCATCCTGAAGTCAGCTGAGTGGCCAACCTCTCACGGCGCTGTCCTGCTCTGCCGTTAAGAAGGTCGGTGCACGGTCCCTGCCAGGGGCCCGCAGAGCTGCCCTAGAAGAGCGGGATGCTCCTGGCCGTTCTGATGTCACCACTGGCTGCGTGATGGCATCCAACTTACATGCCTGTTCTGCCCAAAGTCACCCAAAGAGTCCCTCGCCATCCTCTGGTTCACAAACGAGATGCTGGGCAGCCTCTCGACTCTTGTCACTCACTTGTTAGGACGGAAGCACCCACCCCAAGAGTTGGGGTGACTGAGTCTGTTTGAGAGCCAGATTCATGACGGTTGAGAGGGGAGCCCCAGGAAGCTGCCAGGCAGAGCCAGTGCCCACTGCATTGCCGCTCCCTAGCGTTCTGGCCCCGAGGACACTGAGCATGTGGGGCTCTGCCGTTGCCACTTGTGCTGGAAACTGTGCACGTGTTTGCCTGAGGTGGGGGTACTGGATTCAGTCTGTGTTTCCTAGTCCACAGAGAGACCGAGGAAGTGGAACTATATTTCCTTCCCCAGTTCTTTCTTAGCCCCACTGAGCACAGGAGAGACACCTGAGCCCTTTGGCCTCAGAGAGGCAAGAGGTGCCAGGACAGGCTGTCCACAGGAGTGACGCACTTCGTAGAAGCCGTGGTTCTGTGTTGCATTTTGTTTCTGTTGTGTAGACCTGTCTTAAAATCACACTTCACCAATAGTGTTTTCAGGGTGCAGTCCGTGTGGGGAGCAGGTGTGACGCGGAGCAGGCTGTCTGTGCACTCTTCTTGCAGAGTAAGCGAGTGAGACCCTTGCTGCATGGCAGGCCCCACTCAGCCTGGCCCTGGAAGAGGGGCTTGTGTGTCCTCCAGTCTCTCTGGGGGGTGCCAAGGATACCCCCGTAGTGGGCTCAGGTCAGAGGACACTCCACTGTGGCTCAGAAACTGCCAGTCTGAGGCCAGCTCTTCCACCCAGGAGGTGTAGGAAGCACCCGTTAGTCACATAAGCTTGTACTGGGAAGACAGCAAGCGGCCACAGCTCCTCCGTACCTCACTTAGGTCTAGGACCCAGCACCCGCCCTCAGTGCAATGCGTGGAACATGTTTCAGACCTCAAAGTGTAAACTCATTTCACAAGCTTTAATTATTCCACTGCACTTTCGTTTGGGAATTATAGACTATAAAGGGTGGGAGCAGTTGGTGACTGTGTGCCATATTCCCGGTGTCCCGAGGGAAGTCCTCATAATTTCTCAATGGAAAATGCTCTGTCCAAGGCTGAAATCACTTCCCTATTAATTTCTGAGGTCTGGGTCCTTCCATTTCGGATAGAAATTGAGAGGGAACAAGTAGCGGGTAGTCTGTGGCAGATGCTGTCCTCTTAGAAATGAGCAGGAGACCCGGAATCCTCCAAGGGCCTCTCAGCATACATCACGGACGAGCTGTCCACGGCCTTTGGTCTGGGTTTGTTTGCAGCTTCAAATCTATGAGTTTTATCAAAGAGAAAGAACAAGAGAATGCTGAAGGCATTGCTGAGGAGGTGAGCATCATGTGTCCCCACTGGTCACATGGTCCTATCACCTCGGTGATGCCAGGTTATCTGCCTTACCCTCACTCGCCTTCACACCAAACCCTGTCACTGACGTGTCTGTGAAGCATGTCACACATCTGTAGAGGATGCTGGCTCAGCCCTGCTATGTTGAGAGTGAAATACCTCGACTTTCCCACCCTCGCCCAGTACACGATACTTGAAATCTTTGGTAGGAGCGGCCTAAAGAGCATGTGGCGGGATGATCTGAACCCCTGTTCAGACGGCTATGGCATGTAGTCCCACTGTCCCTTGCATTCACCTCCCCAGTGAGCCCTTACCCAGCACAATGAAAGGTCCTCTATTCTCTACACAAGCAACCGAGGCTCCCCCGCAGCCCACTGTCACCCCCTGTGTGGGTCTTGGAAGCTACAGAACTTGTCATGGGGATTCCCCACCTCCATCCCAGTCCTCCCCTACCCCTACCCAGTGGTCACTTTGGGGCCACCCCACTGGCAGCTCCTGACCTATCTGGGATGAGAACATGATGGACACCCCTACTGCGTGGGGTGGGGACCTTGTCACATTCTACCCTGAAGTCAGTGGAGGGCAAGCCATGAGCGTCCACTGTCCTACAGTCAGAATGTGTGGTTTAAACTACCTAGAAGCCCCAATTTGGGGGATATTGCCTGGCTTTTTAAGTGAGGATAGTATCTTGTGCTATCTATCGTTGGCAGTATTTATAAATGGCGTTCTTCCTTACGATGCCCTTTGGGGTTTTCCCTGCGTTGTACTGATCTCTCAAACCCAGGAGAAGAACGCCAGGACTCTTCGTCCTCTCTGGCTTATTTTGCCACCCTTCACCACCTGCAAGACTGTGAGACACCCGGAGTGGGAAAGGACTCTGGGCCCTGTGTGGCAGGGAAAGGTGGAAGGCGAAGCCAGCGTGGCTCATCCGTGCAGGTGGCACACCCTGCCCACCCTGCTCCCGCCTGGCACTGCATTTACACGCTCAGCAGTGACGTTTACAGCTCACTCTGTGTCCACGTTTTCTGTCTGTGTTTGAGACGGGCGGCCACTGTACAGATATTTATTATGCTTTCCAGACTTTCCCATGAGATTTTTTGAATAAACATGGATTTTATGAAGTGTAATCTTTTTCTGGAATAGCGAGAACCTTTGCACTTTCTATGCTGCTGCCAGTAACAGTTCTTGGGCCCAGCCCTCGTTCCTCTGTCTCATTGACTGACTCCAGGTCACTGTGAACCTCCGCTGCCATCGAAGCTTGTGGGGGGTCCTTTCCCCTTCACAGCCTTGCATACTTCCGTGTGTGCACCTGCACTGGTGAATTGGAGTAGCATGAGCAGCATGGGTCTATCCACTTGAGAGTGTGTGTGTGTCTGTATGCATTCATATGTGTACATGGGAAAGTGGCTCAGAATACCGTCCAGATCCACTTTCAGAGCCGTGTGTGTGGTGTGAGTTTATGCCTAAAATGAGCAGACATGAATGTTCGAGAATATGTGCACACATGGAAGCTTTATGTATATATGTTTGTAGGCATGTGTAGAAAGGTATGAGTTGGGGGCATATTTGCACAAATGCAAGTGAGTGTGCATATATATATTTAAATGTGTGTAATCTTAGTGTGTGAGATGCTTTCCTTCGTTAGGCTGGGAGCAGGTAGAAGTTAAAGCAGGAAACCAAGGGTTGCTCTGTCACCTGACCTCACAGCTCCTTCCTTTCTTACATTAGGTGTAAAATGAGCCTCCACTGCTGGTCTCTGACTCCTCTGCCTAACTTGGAGTTTGGTGAATTCCTAAGCAGTTTGTGCCAACAGGCAACACACAAATGCCCCCTGCTTGCCCTGCTGCACCGTGTCCTGCCAGTATCATGTGAACACAGGGGTATGCTTAGCCAGCCTAAAAGCCCGTATGCCAGGCTGCTCCAGTGCAGACCAGGTCTTCCTAACCCTGTTGGAGATCTGAGCAGGCAGGGGCACCAGGGTCATTGAAGGGATTTCAACACCACAATAAATGTACAAGATCCAGCTCCTGCCCTCGGTGTGCTCACAGATGCCATGGAGACAGGAAGGGAGCCTCTGGTCCCCTAGTCCAGTTTGCACCTTAACTTCTCTGTCTCCAGTCTGCCACATAGATGGGTTCCAGGGATTTGATACTGGCAGGGGCAGCCCCATCCCACCTGCTAAGTCCCATGGAGGGTGGGTCTGCTTCCAGCCTTGGGCCTCTGTCTTTTCTTGACTGCAATTTCTTGGCTTTTGCCCCTCTTGCAGGCCACCAGGAAAGCCTGCCAGTCCTGAAGATGCTAATCAGGTTCCCAAACTGCCCCCCTCCCGGGAAGAGACCACAGTGTGAGTCCCATATGTTCAGCCGTCCCAAGGGTCTTATAAGCTTTACGGGGTAATGGAGAAGAGTCAGGTGGCTTTACATCAGCTAGGGACTCCGAGCCCAGGAAACGTCAGCCCCTAAGAAGGGCCCTAAGCAAGCCCACCCGTAATTAACACCAACGTGAGCTTTGACTACAAAGACACCAGATGGAGAGCTCACCTGCCCTTGTGTAGACAGACAAGTCAATGTCCTCCTCGGTCTCTCTGCAGATGTCCTTAGAGAGTGAGTCAATCAAAATAGCTGCGACAGCAGCCTGCATGAGGCCAGGAGACCTGTCCCCCTCCCCTGCACAGTGAGCGGCTTTAGAAATCCCTAATGCTGACTTGAGTGTCCTCTACGGATCTGCTGAGCCCAGGAGAAGGTGCGGCTTGTGCTGGGCCATCACTGAATCTTCTGCTATTTCTGTCTAGACGACGGCCCTCCTGAGCTCAGCTGCATCCAGGCAGTCCCTGTCCTCAGAGCATGGCACGTGACCCTCTGCTTACGTGCCTCTGGAGATCGTTTTTCTCAAAGCTCAGGCAATTGTCTGCCCTAAGAAACCACAGGGTACCAGCAAGTCTGTTGGGAGCAAGTCTCAGAGTGTCCCACCTTACTCTGGGACTCGAGAATCACCTGAATTCAGGAATCAGGAGTTCTAGTAGTTAAGGCCATGACCTTCCAGTTATGATGGCTAAATCTCTCCCACAAAGCAGACCAGATGACCTTCAGCCGTTGCGGCCAGAGACCTGACACTGTGTGAGGCTCTTCCAGGTGAGATGGTGTACAAGTCACCTGACCAGGGAGCTCTGTCTGCTTGGTCATAAATGCGGTTCTAACTCTTGAGAATCAGGCACCCGGTGGCATGCAGAGGAAGAAACAACAGCCCGCAGGGTGCAGAGTGTGCAGACATGGCCAGGCCTGCAGGGGAGGGACGGAGCGCAGAGGAGGCTGCTGGGTACTGGGGCAGCTGGGGAACCAACGCACAAACCAGGCCCTGGCCCTGCTCCTTCTACAGCCACCTCCTCACCATTACCCTTTTACCTGCTTGACCCCTTCATGGCCGGACACCAGGACCTAAGACAGTGGCACCTGCCTGTGGTCCCAGCAGCTTGTGAGCCTGAAGCAGGGGCATCACCTGGACCCAAGAGTCGGAGGCCAGCCTGGCCAACACAGCAGAATATCGAATTTAAAAAATATATGTGACATCTGTCCAGTGTGGACGTTTGTCACTCTGCTCTGGTGAGAAGAGACATCAAGTAAACAGACAAGGCAGAAATCACATTCCATGAGTTCTTTTTATCCCACAATTTAGACAAGGGTCACCTTAAGCTCAGCCATGTTGTCAGCACCAACTAGCAACAGGTCCCATCTGCTCCCATGTTCTGCCCTAGAGTGTGGGGATGCTGATAAAATTGGAAACCTTGGCCACGAGCAGACTGGACAAAACCCACAGGCTGCCACACTCAATGGTGGTGTTTAAAACTCAAGACCCAGAGACCGGATCCAGCAGGATTTGCTTTTCAGTCCTGAGTTTCAGCTGAAAAAGGTGAGTGTGCCCTCAGAAGGTGAGTGAGCGTGCCCTCAGGTGAGTGAGCGTGCCCTCAGAAGGTGAGTAAGTGTGCCCTCAGAAGAAAAGAACATTCACTCAATTGGGACCAGATGGACTACTCGCCCAAATCTAAAACATTTGAACTGTGCTGGCGATGTAACCCTAGCCCAGTTAGGGGCACTGCCACTGAAATCTAGAAAACCTCCTAAGAATGTCACAGCCATCAAGTCCTCGGCACCACGCAGGAACGCTCACCAGGTTTGATCTCTGACCTCTCAGGAACCATGCCATGCCAGTGTGTCAGTGCTGGGCTTAATGCGTGGCTGCGGAGGGCCTCGCCTTTCCAGCCAGCCTGGGCTAGGCAGTGAGAGTTTGTCTCAAAAGAAGAAATAATGAGACAATACATTTTCTCTCAGAACAGCCCCAGCTCCCAAGCACAAATAGTCCTAACCCTTTTTCAAACAGAACCTCCCCTGGCTACCACGTGACACGGTCAAAGCTAAGTTCATGCGAGTTGTTCTCCTGTGGCCCATAGCTGAGCCTCAGCTGCTACTGGAGTTCAGGACAGGCTGCCCAAATATGGCTAGCAGGCTTCTGAGAAATCAGCATCTGGAAGGCATCTCCCACCCCATCCCCTAATGCAAGGCGTGACTCACTCCACATGCCCCCTCCCTGTTCCAGGAGAGTGGGGTCCTTATCCCCAAGTTGATCTCTTTTGATCACCAGGCCCCCTGCAAGTGCTATCTGTTTGCAGTTGTTAAAATCTGACTCTAGAGGGCAGTAAGTCCAAGGCCGCAACACTTGCCTGCTCAGATCAGCTGGTAATTAGAGCCTTTCCCAGCCTGTCCCCTTTGATAGCTCTCTCAGAAGAAGGGTACTGCACCAGACGGAGCCCTCAGGGAACACTGCAGGCCAGGCCAGCTTTTGCTTCTGGTTCCTTCTACAGCCTGGACAGGCGACTGCTGGCCCTGAGTTCTGAGCAGAACTTGGAATCTGTGCTCTGATGGTCTGTACTGGAGATGCTGAGAATCCTAAATCCACCCTAGACCCGCACAGGTGAAGGTGTTGATGAGAGTGTGATTGGCTGCGTAGAAACCCAGGGTGTGAACACAGAACACAGGTTGTTCTTTGTGTAGGGAGTTTAGATACCACCTTTAAAACACCTGCTTAATAAATACTTTAGGGAAGGTTGCGCAGAAGTTTCCTTGGTTTTGTTGAGACAGAATGTCTTTCCCCATACAGGCTGGTCTTGTGTCTTATGTCTCCACCTTGAGGTAGATGTTATTCTTTTGGCTACAAGTCAACGCTTCACCTTAGTGAGCTTTCAGTGCTTCCCCAAGGCTACCTGGGGATTGGTTTTATCTTGCAGGGCTCATTTTTGTACGGTGGGCTTTTCATTTGTGTGAGATATGACCCCCATTGAAAAGAAACCAGAGGAGTTGCATCCAGACAGCAGAAGGCGGCTTGAAGATGCCTCAGGAATCAACAAGAACCCACCCATCAGATGTAAGGAGAAGAGGAGGGGTGATAGACAAAGAGGCAGTGGGGGGCGTTTGAATGGGCATTGTCTCTCCTGGTGTTTGCAGTCAAGGATACTATAAGATTATGGGGTGCGGTGGTCTGATTAGGAGTGGCCTCCATTGGCTCATTTGAATGCTTCGCCCTGAGGGAATGGAACTCTTTGACAGGCTTAGAAGGATTGACAGGTGTTAAAGGAAGTGTGTCACTGGGGGGTAGGCTTTGAGGCTCCAAAACCCCCGGGCGGATCCAGTGTCTCTTTCTTCCTGCAGCCTGAGGATCAGGGTGGAGCTCTCAGCTACTTCTCCAGCGCCACGCCTGCCACCATGCTCCCCGCTGTGATGGTGACGAACTAAGCCGCTGAGACTGTAAGCAAGCACCCAATCGAATGTTTCTTCTACAGTAGTTGCCTTGGTCAAGGTGTCTCTTGGCAGCTGTAGAATAGTCACTAAGCCTTGGGGTCATGGGTATAGAGATACAGCAATGTCGGTAAAGTATCTGCCACACAGCATGAGAACCTGAGCTGCACCTCCAGCATCCCTGTAAAAAAATAACCCAGGCATGGTGTTCCCATGCCTATAGTCACAGGACCGGGAAAGGGACCCAGGAAGACTCTGGGAACTCGCTGTCTCACTAACCTTGCCTACTCAGTGAGCACAGGCTTAGCAAGAGACACTTAATGCAAAACTAGTGGAGGAGCAAGAGAAGACACTTGACTTAAACTTGACTGAACTCCACATACACACACTTGCATGCTCCACACACATGCACACACATGCATGCTCCACACACTTACACACCCACACATGCATGCTGCATACCCACACGTGCATGCTCCACACACACGTGCACACCCACACTTGCACACTCACCCCTGCTCCCATATGCACACACATGAATACATACATACAACTAAAATTTCACAATAAAGAAGTCTTAAACTAAGAGTAAGAGTGATAGAAGACACTTGGAATCAAACCCTACCCTGCACACGCATGCACACATACATGCGTGCCCACCTAAACACATATCAAATGTTATGGGGGAGAGCCAAAAATCCCTGCAAACAACGTCCAGAAGAGATCATTCTTGAGATCCCCTGAGATCACTCTTGGAATGTCTTCCTTGGGTCTGCATTTCTTCCCTGCAGGCAGCGTAGGACTCAGTCCCTTCAGAAGCACTTTTTGGGGTGCTCTCGGATGGAACTTTGAAGGGCCCTTGAAGTCACTCATCCTCAGGCTGTGACCACCCATCCCTGAAACAGTGACTGGCGCATTTGTGTGAGGAAGATGCAGAAAACATCTTTTGTCAGCATCAATTTTAGTCCAAGAATCGTGGGAATCACATTTAAGAGGAACTGTGTGCTCACCCTCTTACCTGTAACACACACAGAAAAGTCAGGCACGGATGAGTCCCAAGAAGAAAAGTCCAGCAGGACCCTATGTGAGCAGACGGGCTTCTGGGTCCAGTAGCTCCTAGAAGGGCTTTCGGGTCTAGACTGGGAAGGGGTCCTGTGCAAGGCCAGTATCTTTGAGAGATCCCTGCTGAGGAGGGTCCCAGGTGACTGGGGTCTGCTCTGGCAAGAATCTGATACCCGCTGCTTGGAGTTTGATCTCGGTGGAATCTTCCTGACAGGAGTGTTGGCCGATTGAAGTCTCCACTGACTAGACTCCCAGCTGACTTGGATCACTCTTGGTTAGAATCTATGCCGACTGGAATCTCCTCTGAATGGAGTCCCTACTGATTGGATTCCTTGCCAAGCAGTATCTCTCCAAATAAGAGTCCCTGATGCTTAGAGTCCCCACTCGTGGGTCTCTGTAGCTGCAGCCTGCACAGACTGGGGTCTCTCCTAACAAGAGCCCTACTGACTGTGAGACTTTCAGTCTCCTTGAATTATTTCTTTATCCTTCCTTCCTCCAAGAATGGAGTGTGTAGATGGGGCGGCGTGTGAAAAAACAAGGTTTGATTGCGGTGCAGCAGTGCTGGTTCAGAAAGTGGAAACTCAACTGTGTAGCTCTGAGACCCTCCGCTTCATTGGGACCAAGAGAGGTCCGGTGTCACGGCAGGCTTGAGATTCAGAGCATCTTCCGTGAGGAGCAGGTCTCAGCAGCAGCGAGGCTCACGGTGCAGGCATGGGCAGGAAAGGTGGATCAGTTCCCATAGCAGGAGTGATTCTCAGAGGCTGAGGCAGGAATTAACTTCTTTGTCATACAGTGGAAGCTTCGAGTCTTAGATACTCTGTCTTTCCAGGTCTTATGGACAACAGTCTTGATGGTCTCTTCAGTCCTCTGAAGTCTGGGGCCTGAGAGACAGAGGCTGTAGCCCACAGAGAGCCAGACTGCACAAACTAAGATGTGTGTACTTTGTTGGGTGTGTGGGATAGAGACCAATCAGAAGAAGGCCTGTCAAATTCAGGGAGAGAAAGTAAAAAGGTCAAAATGGGGGAGAATTTTAATCAGGGTTACTAGTCTGCTCCCCTTCCTTCAGAGGAAGCTGGGAAAGGGTGGAAGACCCCACAGCCTAATTCAGGGTCTCCCCAATTCCTGGATGCTGGGGTCTTTTATCTGTTGCTGATGTGAGGTCCCTGTCCACCCCTGCTATCTGGTGTCCCAGATGACTGCTCTACCCATCACTAGAAGCCTCACCCACTTTCTGCAGGCCTCCTGGCTGGATCAGGCCTCTGGATGGGAATGGGGGTCACAGAGAGCATCTAAGGTTCCTTTATGGCTCCATCCTTCAGTTCTTGGTGTCCAGACAAAGATTGTCCTAACACTATGACTTTGGGATCATGGAGGTCTCCTCTGCCTGGCCACTTATGATACAAGGATGCATGGGAAAGGGACTCATACATGTCCTACAGCATTGACAGACTTGATGGAACCATCCCACAGCGTCTAGATTCAGCCTTCCACACACTTGACCATGTAAATGCTCATAATTATGATCTGTCAATTGACGAGGAAATTAATAAAAGCAGAGATACAACTGAACACAGAAATGGACCTGGGGCGCATACCTAAATTTTCTATGACAGTCATTCATTTTGTCCCCTCATTTCTGGGGTGACACCCTGCTCTGCCATCCCTGAGGTTTCTTCTGTGCAGCAGCAAAGCTTCCATAGATGTTTCCCAATCCTCCTTGCCCACGCCTTCCAGTCACTTTGCTGTCCGGGACCTGAGGCTGCAGTCTCCCCGTGGTCTGGCTCATTGGGGAGGGCCTTCTTCTTGTTTTCTGTGTTCCCCTGACTGCTGGTCGGTGAATAAATGTTGGGAACACCAATGCCACACGGGTGAGCGGTGCCAAGAACGTGCCAAGAGTAGAAGCAGAGAGGACTGTCCTGCTCAGTGGCACTTCTGTCGCCCCTTGGTCTGGGCTGTCGGACAATCTCTAGCCGCTGGTTTTTTGTTGAAGGTAAGATTGTCTGAAGGGCAGGTTCGCTGGCCCTCCTCCTCAGAGGCAAAGGGAAAGAGACGGGATCCGTGGGTGAGGTGAAATGTGTCCCCTCTGTGTCCCTGAGATAGGGTTGGGCTGAGCGGCCATGCTCCTGGCATGCCTGGTGGTGTAGTAAGCAGTACGATGCCATTGTCTCATCAAATCTCCTGTGCAGTAAGGCATCTCTTATATCTCGGATGTTAAAGCCAATGTTGGCCATGGCGGCCATGATTGCAGGGTCTGGGAGGCTTGGGATTGTCTCTTCATTGTGAGCTGATGCGCTCTCATGTCTTAGCCATGAGTGCCTTTCGATTTCCTTAACCGTTGGCCTCTGCCTGGGGTTGACAGTTAGTAAGTACCTGATTAGGCCCTGTAGCTCTTCAGAAAGCTGGTTTGGGACCTCATACCTCCCTTGAACCACCTGCTTCCAAAGCTCTGATAAGGTGGGTGCTGAAAATGGAAATGTCCCAGTTACCATGAAGAACAAGAGGACCCCCAAGGTCCAGATGTCTGCTTTGGGGCCATCGTATGGCACCCCTAGGAAGAATTCAGGGGCACCAAACTGGAATGCCCCTCCAGGCCTCTCAAGCAGTTTTCCAGGCCTGACCTTGACCCCCAGGCCAAAGTCGACAATCTTCACTCTTCCAGAGCTGTCTACAATAATATTATCAGGCTTCAGGTCTCTGTGGACTATGCCGTGGTCATGGCAGTAGCCCACGGCACCTATGATTTGGTGAAATAGTCCTCGGGCCTCCTTCTCCTGCAAGTGTCCGACCTCACAGACGTGACGGAACAGCTGTTGTCCCTCAGCCACCTCCATGATGAGGTAGATATTCTTTTCTGTTTCGATGACTTGGAGGAGAGAGACAATGTTTGGGTGGCTGATGGTCATCAGAATGTCCACTTCTGAAACAGCCGACTGGCGCCAGGGCATCTCCCTCACGAGCACTTTCACAGCCACTGGGACGCCCGTGAGACGGTGCTGGGCCAGCATCACCTTGGCGTTGGAACCTTGGCCTAACTTTCTCAGGATGGTGTATTGACTGGTGAATATCTCTTCACCGAAGAAGACGGGCACGCGGCTGAGTCCTGCAGTCTCTCTATCCGGCTGACTAGATGCCACGGGTGGCATGTCTGTAGGAACGACGTCAAAGAAAAAGGAATAAAGGAGAATAAAGTAAAATAAGGAATGAAAAATTAAAAGTGAAAATTAAATCAAGATGAAAACAAAAAAGCAAAATTAAAAACCAAAGACTTAACACAAAATTAGGAAACCAAAGCACGGAAACAAAAGTCAAAACCCAAACTGAAAGGTCAACTCCCAAGACAGTGAGTTAAAGGGGTCACAGCTTGAATGCTGGAATGCTAACTGAAAACAGATGAAAAAGAAACAAACCTGAAAGGAAATAAGGAAAAAGAGGGATACAAACAGAAAATATAAAAAAGGCAAAATTTTAAAACCCAAACTCCAAACACCCAAAGAACCAAAATAACAAATCAAAAAATAAAATACAAAATAACCGCAACACTAAAAACAAAAACAGAAACAAAATAAACCCAAGCCAGAAAATTGAAAACTAAAAACCAAACCAAAAAGCAAAAATAAAATCTGAAGGCTAAAACTGTATAAAAGCCAAACAAAGTATGAATTGCATGGATCAAGAACATTCTCAATGGCAAACAGTGGGTTTTTGTTTTGTTTTGGGGGTCTTTTGGTGGGGGCAGGGTTCATGACAGGGTTTCTCTGTGTAACCCTAACTGTCCTGAAACTCTCCTGGCTAATATTTTTTCTTTTAAAGAAAAAAGATTAAAGAAAAGAAATAGAAACAAATGAAAAACAGTAAGCATTCAAACTAAAACAAAACAAAAAACCAGAAACTCTCCAGCTACAGCCATTAAGTACATTCCTAAAATCAAATATCAAGTCCGTCAAAGAACGAGGGGGCGTGGACACCACCACCAGACGCTTCAGCATGGCGTCAGCTCCTAGGAAAACCTTCTGGATTCCACCCGAGGATCCATGTTAAAACACAAAACAAAATCAAACATTGAAAAAAGTAATAAAAACCCAAACTGGACAGCACAAGTTTTTAATCTCGCTGGGGAGATTCCTGAGTTTCATTGGCTAGCCTAGCCTACTTGATGAGCTTTCAGGCCAATGAGAGACTCTGCTTCAAAAAGCAGAGAGGGCAGCACATCTCACGTGCCACACCTGGAATTAAACGCTGTCCTCAGGCAGAACACACATGTGCAGACAACCGACCTCACACTTCTACACAGGTGCACACCTATATGTGCAGTCACACCTAATAGCAAATAAACAAGTACATACTTGCACAAACACCTATACACATAAGGACACACGAGTACACACACAAACTAAGCAACCAAAAATAGGGAGCTGCAGGCAACCTCGCTAGAAACAATAAAGTCGCACAGGGCACCACTCCACAGCTCCTCTCAATTCACCCAAAGAAATCCAGGCTGGGCCACAGTGTCACACCTGCTGGTGGATCTCTCACAATGGCTCCTGGTGAGGTCATAGCAGGACCTGCCCTGACACGGCTAGGCAGGACGCAAAGGTTCTGGCTCAGGCAGGCTATGGAGATTGGCCTTAGGCCTTGAGGTCTTCAGGTCTCTGGTTTGAAGGTCTGCGGTGACTCCTGCTTTACCATCCTTGTGTCTGCGCTTGCCAAGGCACCTTTTCTTTGAGTTCTGACAGATGGGCCTAAGATGATGCTACAACATGACATATTAAAAAATTCTGTTTATAATATACAATAATTTATTACCACCTCTGAGGCTGGTTCTTGTAATTTCCCAGAAGGTAGTTAGGTTCTTGTCAAAAACCTGGGAAGACGGAGGAAATCAGTGTTAAATGAAACAAATGTATACCCTGTGTCGGTCACTGTTCTATTGCTGGGAAGAGACACCATGACCAAGGCAACTCATAAAAAGAACACATTTTATTGGTGCTGGCTTACAGGTTCAGGGGTGCAGCTCATTGCCATTGTGGCGGGGATCACGGAGGGATGCAGGCAGACATGGTGCTGAAGGAGCTGAGAGTTCTACACTTCTTCATTGTGCCACAGCCCAGGCCCTCCTAGAGCTTCTGAGCAGTGTAGCACACTCCCTATAGGGAAGGCAGAGAGAGTGGCTCGCCTTGGGTTGCAGTCCCAGACACAGACTCCCCATCTCCTGACCTGAGGCAGGTCTAGACTGAGAGCAGACAGGACAGGTCCTTTGTGGGTCCTAGCTGGCTGGCTGGAGTTTGCTATCATGCCTTAACGCTTGTCTCAAAGGGCCTATGAGTCTGAGCAGGACCATGGAGGATGGTATCACTCCTATCATAGAGCTAAATAGGACTCAAGCCACAGATATCCGCAGACTGTCCTCAAGGGGGAGTCAGGGTGCTGTGAGGAAGGAGGGCACAGGAGGCAGGCACCTCTCAAGAGTTACACGAGATCAGCGCCTGTTCGAGCTTCACTTCTGATGCTATGGGAAGTCCTCTGACTAAAAGCAAGTCAAGGGAGCAAGGTTTGGTTTGACTGACAAGTCCAGGTTATGGTCCAGTACTGTGGGGAAGTTGAGAAAGTAATTTAAAAGCATGACATCAACCATAAGAGCAAAGTGAGAATAAATACATGGATCTCACTTCCTTGCTAGCTCTGAGCTAGCTTTCTTTATTGTTACACCATTCAGACCCCCTGCCTAGGGGATGGTGCTGCCCACAATGGGCTGGGTCTTCTTCATCAATTAAGAATCAAGATAACCCCACATGCATGTCCATAGGCCAAGCTGATCCAGGCAATTTTTCATTAAGAGTTTCTCCCCAGTTGATTCTAACTTGTATCAAGTTGAAAGTTAAAATTAACCAGCACAATGCCCTTACACTCAAGGCTCGTGGATGCTCCCAGGCTCCTCCAGTCAGAAGAAAACACAGCTGTAAATTGACATCTCTAGAGACGAGAACAGCCCTCAGTCAGCCTGGACTGCCAGTGTCTCAGTCCGCGTTTTCTCCAGAACGGTGAGCCGAGCCCATAGGCTTTGCCTCCTCAGGCATGGGTGCTTTGTTCTGTGTCACGAGCCATTTCCCCCCTAAAAATCATTACAGGAACCATCACCCTGGGGAGCCTGCAGGGAACCTCACACCCATAATTATGTTCTATTGAGAGAACCTGCCCCACACCCAATTAACTTATCTATTAGTGGAACGTGCCTCACATTCCAGCTATCCAGGGAACCAGGTGTGGCAACTTGTTACTTCTTGGCCTACCTGTCCGAATGTAACCTCTTGGCCTACGTGACGAACCTGGCCTACGTGACCGGGACCACGCGGCAAGATCCCGTGCCCTGCCCACCAAGTCCTCATGCAGGGCCTATATAAGCAGCAACCATGATCCTAACTAATAAAGGAGGCTTTGACAAATCTGCTTGGCCTCCTTCTTCTGTCCTAGCTCATTCCCTTCCAGGTAGCGCCCCTCCGAGACCCTGGAATAACTGATTGCAGGGTGGGTTACAAACCCCTAGACTGAGTAACCCACCCAACGCAATTGACAATTCTGTCAGCCCAGACTGACTGAGACAACAGGAAGCAAACACAAGTAAATGACAAACTCATTGTTAACCAAGGGCTGGCTCTGGGATTTCTTCTGAGTCTTCCTAGAGAGCATCTCCAACTCCCAGGAAGAAAACCCACCTCCTGCTGTCTGCAGCTGCTCTGTTATAAACTGGTGAGGATGTGAGGGTTGGAACCCCTGTACAGCATTGCTGGGTATGTAAAAGAGGCCCCTGAGACAAGAGAACAGACCCTCTTCAAAAGGGAATTGCCACAGGACCCAGAACTTCCACTCCCTATCTGTAAGCAGGGCTACAGGGACATCTGCACACCTGTGTTCATCCAGAAAGGTGCACAACAGCCACGAGGCAGGAGTGGCCCAAGAGCCTATGAGTGAGTGCAGGAACCAACAAGCAAAGTGTCGTTTATTTTTGGAAAGGAAACTGACATGCCACCCCACAGGGGAACTCTATGGATACCATGGCAAGTAAAATGCTCCCTTCATGACACTGTGCAGTTCTCCATGTGTGGGAAGCCCCAGAGAGCTGGATTCAGACAGAGAGAGGAGGCTGTGGCTCGGGGACCGGGAAGGAAGGGCAGCCGCGTGTGTTTGCAGAGCATGAGTTTCTGTTTATGGAGGAAAAGGCTCAGGGGAGGGAGGGTGAGGATGTTGCTCAGCAAGGTGAGTGTACTCCAGCCTCTGAGCAGACACAGCCATGGTGAAAATGGCACATGATGTCATGAACCGTAACAGCTGAAACCTCTGGGGGCCGTAGAATGTACCCCCTGTCCTCATCCAGGCTCAAACACACTGCCGCCCCCATGTGTTGGTCCTTAGAAGGCTCTACGCCGCTCACCTTTGTTTGACTTTGAAATGACTCGACATTTTCAGCCATAATGCTGCCCACAATGGACGGGGACTTCCACATCAATTCTCAAGACCATCCCCACAGACATGCCCAGAGGTCAGTGTTAATTCGATCACTGGCACAAGTGGGCATGTGCCCATAGAGGAAGCTTTCTGCAGACAGCATTATGTCCCTGTCATTCCTATCAGCAGCTCCCTAAAGGTTTTCAGAGCTCATTTTCGGTCTACCTCTAGAGTCGGACTTTCAAGCTATATTTGAAAACAAACAAAACCCAATCTGCTAGGTCACCGAGCTCATTTCTTACAGGGCTAATCTGTTCGCTGCTTCTTCTTTCCCTGTTCACTCATGAAGGGGCCTCTGTGTGCACCTAGCAAAGCTGGGGGGCTGAGGGGTGAGTCAGGGGCTAGGGCTGCAAGGGAAGCATGTGGGGAAGAGCAGAGATGCGGGATTCTGGAGTGAGACCCCGCTGTATCAGGTAGTAGATGGAGATGCTGTTCAGGCGACTCTCCACAAAAGGAATGCCCCTGCCTGAGGCCAGAGGGCAGGAACTAGGACTATTCTAGAAAGATGTCGAAATGTACAGGCCTGGCTGAGGTCTAGGGAATCAGAGACATGGCAAAATCAACAGAAGGTGTAATAGTTACAACTGTTAAATTTCTGGGAAAGACGGCCCAATGCTGTAACTTACCAGGAACGGGAGCCTTTTATTAAATGACTTTACAAGACTTCCATCCCTGAGCACCCGTTGTGTAGCAGGGTCTGGGTGAGGACATGCAGTTGAAAAACAATGTCCTCAAGGCCCACAGTAGGATGGGAAGTCAGCAAGGAAAACAGAAATAAGAGACGATTAAATGAATGTCTCCTGAGTGGTTGTGGCATGACTGTGTCTGCACGACAAATCTGGAGTGTCATTTAATCCCTGCAAGGATGCCTTGTAGATGTTACGTTTTTCTTATTTTGAAGATGGGGCAGACAAAAGCAGTAAGGCGTCTTGTCCCAGGTCATAGATCCAAGAGACTGAGGAAGATGCTCTCTCCAAGGTCTCACTTAGCCACCACACCAGGCGTTCTCAGCCGGGGCTACACATGAATAGATTTAAGGGAGAGGAGACGTGTTAAGATGGGACCCTGCCCCATCTGCTCCACCTGAGTGAAGTGTCCCTACCTGGCTAAGGCACCAGGGTTTTCTCCTCAGTGGCCACTGTGGGGACAGAAAACAGGACCCTGAGGGTAGGGACACTGTGTTGAGGATGTCCCAAAGTCACCCATCTTACTGACGTGCATCTCGGACAGAGGCAGAGGTCGGCAGGGCTAGCAGCACCGGAGTGAGAGCAGAGCTCAAGACAGGAAGCTCGAAGTCTTGTGCTCCCCAGACCGGGAAGGCTGTTGATGTGGGAGTGTCATATATCAATCTGTTGATTTCATTGGCTGAGTAATAAAGAAACTGCTGGCCCTGATAGGTTATAAGATAGGTGGGCGGAATAAACAGAATAGAATTCTGGGCGGAAGAGGAAGTGAGGTCAGACTCTGCTCTGCTCCCGGAGAGACCCGACAGCTCTGCTGGAGCAGAGACGCCATGCTCAGCTCTCCCAGGCAGCTGCAACCCACGATGGACTTAGGCTAGAATCTTTCCGGTAAGCGCACCTTGGGGTGCTTACACGCATTATTAGAAATGGGCTAGACCAGGTGCGAGAATTAGCCTATAAGGGCTAGAGTATGGGCCAAGCAGTTCTTTAAATGAATACAGTTTGTGTGTTGTTATTTCGGGCATAAGCTAGCCAAGCGGCCGGGGTGTTGGGGACGCAGCCCCGCCGCCGCTCCTATTTCAACAGATGGTGCCCAGACGTGAGGCTAACTGAATCCACAAAAAGCCTGAGAAAGCTTGGGAAAGAATGGAGTGAAGCATGTTTTCTTGGTAGCAGAAATTTCTTGGGTCTACTCTGCTTGCTAGAGGCAAGCAAGCGCTCTCATCTAAGAGAGGCTTCCTGACTCAGCTTCAGCTGCAAAACCCTGCAGCTCATTAAGAGGTCCTGCCACGAAACACTTAAATGGTGTTGACGAAAAGCTGAACGCATGCTTTTCGGTTTTCAGCTATAGCAGGAAAAAAGCTGCGCCGTTTAAAAATGCTGGCTTTTTGGGCCGTCCTGCCAGGGCAAACTCTGACTGAGGCAGGAGAGCCAACTACCGAGAGACGACTTGACTGTTGTCTGTTGTAGCTCGCTGGCTGGCAGGGACCTTGAAACGCCATAGAATTGTGTCTATAAACAAGGCTACAGCCTGTATCTCCGCCATGAGGCTGGAAAGCTAAGGAATGGACTGGATCTAGCTGGCAAAGCCACGGCTTTAATCCTACTCATATTGCTCAGTAATTTACAGACTCATGTGGTCAGAAAAACAGAGAGATATACAGTAAAGAGATTCAAAGATAAAGAAAATGTTTAAATGATTTACAGTGTGTTAGAAATATATGCAAGCTAAAAGTTAAAAGTTTTTAAAAAAAAAGTAAGAAAAAGAGAAGTTGTGTGTGGTAGTACACGCCTTTAATCCCAACACTTGGGAGGCAGAGGGAGATTGACCTCTGTGACTTCAAGGTGTGGTAGCACACGCCTTTAATCCCAGTGCCTAGAAGGCAGAGACAAACAGATCTCTGTGAGTTCAAGGTGTGGTAGCAAACACCTTTAATCCCAATGCCTGGGAGGCAGAGACAGGCGGATCTCTGAGAGTTCAAGGAGAGCCTGGTCTACAGAGTTATTCCAGGTCAAAGAGATGCAGAGAATATAAAATAAAAGTAAAAATAAACGAAATAGAGGTTAAAATAAAGCGTACAAAGATGGAAAATACACAGAGAATCTTGATACTGTATACTATTATGCTCTCTTTGAATTGTTTGAATGCTGAGGAAGGAGCAACAGCTGCCAAAAGATATTTGTTTATAAATGCTGCTGAACTAATCCATCGTAGAGATTTTGATGCCTTGACTTTGAAATTTGGATCTAAGGACATGATGCTTTCGAAAGGAGTTTCCTATTTTGTTTTCACAGAGGATGAGACCCTGTTCATTTCTTCTATTCCGATATGGTATGATGGACCACGCCCTCCTGAACGGTTGCTGTGAATACCTTCAGAAAATTGCTTCGCTCAACTGCCAACTGAGATGAAACTAGCACACAGGTTATACCATGAAAGACCTAATTAACGACGCCCCCATTCAGCAGGAAGCAGTTTGGAGAGAAAAAACTGCGCCCATGTTCCCAAATATTGTTTATAAATGTTCTTTTACATTTAAAGGGGGAGATGATATAGGTATGAATAATTTACATTGATATGGATTTTGCTTTAGTGATTTAAATTTAAGGTTAATTTTGTAATGTATATAGGTTGTTAATGAATAATCATTAATAATAGTTAAGTTTGTAGTCATGTTAGTTAAGATTTTCTAGATGTGCATAGATATATTTTAGATAGGCATTCTTCATATTTTTCAAAGATTATAGAATATGGCATTTTAAATGTTTTAATAACTTAGGACTTTTCATGACAATGAGACACTCTGCTCCTGGCAGCACCAATCTACTTCAAGAGGAAGATGGGCATCGAAGAGGATCCTTATGGAGTTTGATAGCCATTTGGGCAAGAAACTGCTCTTGCCTGGACTATTGCATAAACTGGACACAGAGAACCCGCAGAGAGAGGACTGCTGAACTTGCCTAAAGGTGAGATGATCTTTCGGGGTTCCTGATTCATGAAAGAGTCTGCAAGACATTCTTCAGGACAAGCAGATAGTGACTGCCTTTGAAAGTTCCTGCTTTGTGGAAATGTCTGCTGGAAACTATGGGCCTCTAGGCTGAAGATGGATGCCCCAACGGTACAGAGGAACTTTGGGTGACTGTCCAGGCAGCGAGATGTCTCTGTCATTTCTAGAGTTTGAGAGTTTGCTTATTTCTTGTTTGTTTAGGTAATATTGTATCTTTCTGGACTCTTTGATGGAGTTAAGAATAGTTAGCTATAGTTATAGTTTTTCTTAGTTATGATATAGATTATTGTAATTTTTACTTGATAACTGTTTTGTTATATGTAATTTTGCTATGTTAAGTTAAAGCCTTTTTTTTTTTGTTTAAACAGAAAAAGGGGAAGTGATGTGGGAGTGTCATATATCAATCTGTTGATTTCATTGGTTAAGTTATAATAAACCAGCTGCTTGGCCTCATGGCTGGAACATAGATGGGAGGAGTAAACAGAATAGAATTCTGGGCGGAAGAGGAAGTGAGGTCAGACTCTGCTCTGCTCCCAGAGAGACCCGACAGCTCTGCTGGAGAAGAGACGCCATGCTCAGCTCTCCCAGGCAGCTGCAACCCACGATGGACTTAGGCTAGAATCTTTCCGGTAAGCGCACCTTGGGGTGCTTACAAACATCATTAGAAATGGGCTAGACCAGGTGCGAGAATTAGCCTGTAAGGGCTAGAGTTCATGGGTCAAGCAGTTCTTTAAATGAATACAGTTTGTGTGTTGTTATTTCGGGCATAAGCTAGCCAAGCGGCCGGGGTGTTGGGGACGCAGCCCCGCCGCCGCTCCTATTTCAACAGGCTGTGACCCTAGACCTCCCCACATCTGACCCGCAATAGGGGCAGACTGCTGTGCGGCTCCTGCACGGTGTTCAGACAACGCCATCACGTTCGGGGTGACTGTCACAAGCACAGTCACAGACTCCGAAGTCCAAGCGTGGGAGAGAGCTGGGATTCCTTTTAGGCCAGCAATAACAACATAACAAAGAAAACACTTGTGTCAAACACAGGAGTTGTTAAAGCATCGTTTAAGCTGTTGGATGCATGTGAGCTGGAGATGCTTTTCCTCAGTTGAAAGGGAAGAAAGTGGGCACAGCACCAAATGCATACAGCAGACTTCAGTCACATTCTGGTCAGGCCACAGTTCTGTCTCCAGCCTGTGACAGTCTGCTCTCTTAGGAGGAAATAAATCCTGGAAAACAGAGTTGCTGCTGCACGGTCCTCATTCCCGGGAACGCTGGGTCTGATAGGCCACCCTGGTCTCTGGGACTTTTCTATCCGTCTGCATAAGGTCTCAGGTGGCAATGAATCTACCGAGCAGGCAAGGAAGCCTGTGAGCAGACACAGTGTCACCAATGCCATCAGCTTTGTCATCAAGCAGGGCACACCACAGGGCGCCTGTGCGAGGACCGTGGCCATTGGCAGCAGATCCCCCAAAGGCATTGTGGAGATTCCTTGTTCTTAGCTGCCTTTCTGGAGAGGACAGTGGAAACAGGGTTGAAGCAGCAAGGAGAGTGGTTTTCAAGTCCTCCTGCTCACCTGCTGTCCCTGGCCTGTGTGTTCTAAGAGTCCCGTGCCACAGTCTGCCAGCCCTTAGGTTCCCCTGGGGACTTGCTTCAAGCACCAGTTCAAAAGCAAGCGCCTTTCCCCGGGACTAGGATGAAGATGTGGCGTCTCTTTTAAAGCAGGGCAGGGAAAGTAAAAAGCACCCAGACATTAAAAGTTAAGCAAGAACTTCCAGGTCAGTTTTGAGGCAATTACCAGGTATTTCCTGCAGTGAAAGAGGTAGCTGGCTGAACTGTCTTTGACACTCCGTACAGCCTCTAAAAGCAAAGGAGAGTTTTATAAAAGCAGAATGTGACCTGCAGCCTCTTCAGAGCCTCGGGGACTGCTGGCTTCCACTGTTGTGCGCTCCACGGTGGGTAAGAAGAAAGCAGTTTGTCACACTGGAGAGAACTGAAGTGTAGAAAGAGAACATGACCCGTGCTGGAGCAAGAGCAGCCTTCTCCTCCGTGATCATAGTGCCTTGGAGTCTCCCCGTGGGGCTGTGCAGAAGTGCTCAGCTTCTCCTCTCAGCCAGGCAACTTCATCTGGATGGCCACCACGCAAAGGAAGCAGGATCTGTCTGTGTGGTTCAAGTCTGCCACCCTGCAGTGTGACAGAAGCAGGGGCAAATCAGGGGAACCAAGCCTGTTAGTGCATTGACTGACTTCATGTCTGGATCCTTAAGGTACGTTGCTCTCTTCTGACCCTGAGGTTAACTGGATTATTGTTTAGATTCGAGGTGGTGCCCAAACAGAGGCAAGCTGAGGATTTCAATAGTCTTCAGGAATCGGAGTCTCTGAGGTTGGAGACAGCTGGCCCTTCTGCCTTCTTCCACCCTCGCAGGCTTCTGAGCACCTTCCGGTATGAGTGGGTGAAGGCCTGGTTGGAGAAGCAGTAAATGACCGGGCTCAGTACACTGTGCAGGCAGGTGAGGCTGCCGGCGATGTCCGAGGTCTGCACTATGGCTCGCTGGACAAGGCAACTCTCAAATTCTTGAAAGACATGGACCAGGACTCTGGCCAGGATGCAAGGTAGGAAACACAGCCCAAACACCACCAGCACCATGGCAACCAGCGCCCTGGCCCTCCGGAACCTGGGCTTTTTGTCAGACTCTCGGAGTCTCTCCTGGAGGGTCCTGATGAGCCTAGTGTTGCAGAAGACGATGAGGCCAAAGGGAAGCAGGAACTGCAGGAAGAAAAGCACCTCCTGCCAGGTTCTCTCTCCTATGGGGTAGAAGCTGGGACACTCCGTGGAATTCTGGGTAGCCTTATGAGCGAGCAGATTTTGGGGAGTGAGGGCAACCATGAGAAGCCATACTAGGCTGGAAATGACCCAGGCTCCTCTCAGAGACACCAAGTTGACCCTGAGCCGAGGATGGACCACGCGCAGATACCGGTCTAGAGCCACTGTTGTTAGGAAGGCCACCCCTACACCACGGCTGAAGGCCAGCAGGAAGAGCAGGACGTTGCAGGGGGCACGGCCGAGTTCCCAGGTCTTGCCCTTCAGGTAGAAGATGGCGAGGAGTGGCAGGCAGGTGGCCAGCAGCAGGTCAGCCATCACCAGGTTGAACAGGTAAACCGCATAAGGCTTCCACACTTTGAGGCGGTAGATGAAGGTCCAGAGGGCAATGGCATTGCCTGTGAGCCCCAGAGCACACTCCACCGTCAGCATGGTACCCACAGCTGTCTCCACCGTGGTGCTGGCAGCTGAGCAGTTGGGGGGCTCCATGGGCCGAGACCATGCGGAGCTGAAGCAGTGAAAGGAGGCTTCACTGTGTTCTCTCCTCTGAGAGAAAAAGATGTGTTCCCCCACTACAGAGCAGACGAGTTCTGCATTTGGTGAGAAAATAATACTGAAACATTAACTGGGATCTGGCCCAAGGAGATGCAAAATTGGTTTGGGGGAAGAGGATGGACAGAGACAGGAAAACCCCCAAGATTTGCCCTGTTTGCTTGCTCCTGAGAAAGGGGAAATTGTGTTTCAGTTCCCTTCAGGGGCCCCAAAGCCATCGCTACGGTGTTCTGAGAAGATCAGTGAGCGGAGCTTGTGTCCCAGCTGCTGAAAGGGGAACTGGAAACGGTTAACACCGCCAAGACTTCTGCACTTTTGGGCATTAGAACAATGACTGAAACAGGCGGATTGTCCTGTAGTGTGACTGGCTCACAAGGGAGGCTTGGGGCTCCCTGCCTTAAATAATGACACTGGAAAGACCCCCTGAGAATGACTGATTTTATACATGAGGTTAGACCCCCTGAGTATGGCTGGATTTTATACGTGAGGTCAGACCCCCTGAGTATGGCTGGACTTTATATGTGAGGTCAGATCCCCTGAGTATGGCTGGATTTTATACGTGAGGTCAGACCCCCTGAGTATGGCTGGATGTTATACATGAGGTCAGACCCCCTGAGTATGGCTGGATTTTATACGTGAGGTCAGATCTGGTTGCCACACTCTCCTGACAGAGTATTTCAGATTTCCTGGCTACTTAAAGTTGAACTTTGTCATTTATTCTTCCATTCAGTCTAAAGTGTGTGTGTGTGTGTGTGTGTGTGTGTGTGTGTGTGTGTGTGTGTTGGGGGAGGAACAAGTTTTCTACTAAGACTCCTCCTTGACACTCACACTACCTGGAAAGGGCCAAGAACATTGGGGGTTGGACCCTGCAAGCCAGGTAAAATCCTCCATCCATGCATGCTTCATCCTGTCCTTGGGCATGACACGGGGTGAAGCCACATTGCTTTGTCTGGTGGAGCTGTGTTCTGCGAGTGACCAGAGGGCATGAGCCACGTGGATGCACTGCGGTTAGGGGCAGTGGAGACAGGAGGACAGAGGGTCTGAACAGCTGGACCACCAAGGCCTCCTGATAGGGAGACTGTGGGCATTTGATGGACGCAACACAGTATGGGAGGGCTGCTGGCAGGAGGAAGGAAACCCACGTGGGCTTATCCTGAGAAGAGAATTATGAAACTCTTGTATTTATTCTTTGGGGAGGACAAATGGATAGCATTCTTTTTTGTTTCTGCTTTTAAATTTTTTCCCACATCATCTTAGTGAAGTTTGGGAGAAAGCAATCATAGCAAAGATTGTGCCCAGTGTGACATATTCAACTGGAAGTTCTTTTTTTTTCCCTTTTCTCTCTCTCTCTTTTTTTTTAAAAACTATCTTTTTCATTATACATACCAATCCCAGTTCCCACTCCCTGCCCTCCTCCCATTCCCTTCACCTTCCACCCCACCCCACCCCTGATCCACTCCTCAGAGAGGGTAAGGTGCATTGCTTTGGGGAAGGTCCAAGGCCCTCCCTACGATATCTGGGCTGAACAAGGCATCCATCCAAAGAGAATAGGATTCCAAAAAGCCAGTACATGCAGTAGGGATAAATCCTGGTGCCACTGCCAGTGGCCCCTCAGTCTGCCCCATCCATGCAACTGTCAACCCCATCATAGGGATTAGTTTGGACCTTTGCTGTTTTCTTCCTTGTCCAGCTGGGGTTGGTGAGATTTCATTACCTCAGGCAAACTGTTTCAGTGGGTGTCTCCATCATGGTCTTGACCTCTTTGCTCATATTCTCAGTCCTCCCACTCTTCCAGTGCTCCAAGGAGGGTCTCTGCTTCCATCAGTTGCTGGATGAAGGTTCTATGGTAACATTTAAGATAGTCATCAATCTGACTATAGGGCAAGGCCAATTTGGGCACCTTCTCTTCTATTGCTTAGGGTCTTAACTGGGGTCATCCTTGTGGATTCCTGGGGATTTCTCTAGTGCCAGGTTTCTTGCTAGCCCAATAATGGCTCTTGCAATCAAAATATCTCTTTCCTTGCTCTTATCTCCATCCTTCCTCCATCTCAACTATCCCATTTCCTCAAGTTCTCTTCCCCCTTCACCTTTCCCTATCCTTTTTCCTTTCCACCCTTCCTTCTCCCCTAACCCCCATGCTCCCAATTTTGTCAGGCAATCTTTTCTATTTCCTCTTTCCAGATGGATCAGCTGAATATACTTTGCTTTACAGTTAGTATCCACTTATGAGTGAGTACACACCATGTTCATCTTTCTGGGTCTGGGTTACCTCACTCAGAATGGATTTTTCTAGTTCTGTCCATTTGCATGCAAAATTCAAGATGTCATTTTTTTTAACCACTGAGTAGTACTACAATGTGTAAATATATAAAGTATTTAAATAAATTTGTAAATAAATAAAATAATATGTGCCGCATTTTCTTTATCCATTCTTTGGTTAAGGGACATCTCTTTCCAGGTTCTGGCTATTACAAATAATGCTGCTATGAACATAGTTGAACAAATGTCCTTGTAGTATGATTGAGCATCTTTTGGGTATGTGCCCAAGAGTGGTATTGCTGGATCCTGAGGTAGGTTGATACCCAATTTTCTGAGAAACCACTATACTGATTTCTAGAGTGGTTGTACAAGTTTGCGTTCCCACCAGCAATGGAGGAGTGTTCCCCTCACTCCACATCCTCTTCAGCATAAGTTATCACTGATGTTTTTGATCTTAACCAATCTGACTGGTGTAAGATGGTGTTTCAGAGTCGTTTGGTTTGCATTTCCCTGATGACTAAGGATGTTGAACATTTCCTTAAGTATCTTTTGGCCAGGGCTAGAGAGACGGCTCAGCCATTAAAGGCTAGGCTCACAAACAAAACAACAGCATTTTAAAACAAGACACAGGAATATGAAGTCTCCTATCTAGAAGTCTAGCTTCAGAGGTTCTCATTACAACCATACAGGAAGGAACGTGACAGTCCTTACTCCCTCCTTTACTGTTAGGGATCTGTGGACAATTCAGGAAGCTCTTGCCCTCTCAAATCCCCAAAGGACGTCTGAGAGCCCCTGTTGTCATGATGACTCGTTTGTAAGTCCTGGGAGTTAGGAAATGGGCATTGTGGGCGCCACTGTATTTTCTACCACGGTGGCATCTTCAGGCATGATCTCTTTGTGATGTAAGAGAAGAGGCATCTTGAAGTCTTGTGGAACTTAGATCTTTTGTCTCCCCAGGTCGCCTGCAGACCCAGGTATGTGCTCCCCTTGATCTCATACCTCTTATCACAGTGAGAAGGGTTATTTTGGATGCTGAAGCTCACCATCTAAAATTTTAGCTTTACTATTTCTAATGACTTTTTTTATTATGACACCAATATGCTCAGTTATAGGAACTGTGGAGTGAAGTAAAGTAACACAGAACATCCCACCACCTAGAGATGCTGCTCGCTCAGACTCTGGCCATTTCTTCCATGGTTTCATTACAACGAACACGTCAGGGGTGGCTAGGCACAGTTTGCTCTACAGTCTTGTGTTCCATTTGACCAGTAACCCCACGTTTCTCATCACTGGGGTTTTGTTAAGTATTGAAACGTGGCATTATCAGCACATTGCTGTGAGTGTCCATTAGGTTCTCTTTGTCAATGATGATGCGTGCAAAGAACACCAGAAGCCACTGTGTCAATGGCTCCTGGGGGGCTGTGCACATACACATGGTTAGTGTTTGTTTTTATAGGTTTAGATAAGTGTAAAGTTGACAACGATAATTATATATAATATATATTTGTTATATATTTACATATGTGTATATATATTTATATATTTCTTGGCAGGCTTACTAATTCAGGGAGTTGAAGAAAGCAAGATCTTTGAAGAATTTGTCAAGGAACACATTAATGCGGATTTTTAGATCCCAGAAAGTTGCATCCACCCAAACATGCAGCAGGAATTGGCCTTTTTATCTGACCCTGTACTTTCCGTGTGTCCTAGTCCAGGGAGGGGTCAGATTTTACATACGATGTACCTGCCACTTTTCCAGCAGCCTCTAGAGTTGAGACCCAACAGGGTTGTCTTTAACTCTGGTTATCTTACCCTGTGGGAAGCTGATCTCTCTCATGCCCACATGCTCTCCACTTCAGGGTCCTTAAGTCAAGGGATTCGGTGATCAGCCTCGTTTTCCTGCTTCTCGGGCTCATGATCATGCTTGGCCCACAGGTGCCCTGAGTCTCAAGTGACTGAACAGCCTGTCCCTATTGTAGATGGGAGAATGAGGGGCTGGAGAATGAGGGCAGTTTCCAAAGGGAACCACATTTTCTCAGTAGAATATTCATCTCAATTTAATTGCTTTCAATTATGCAAAGACGGAAGTCAATCTCATTGAAGTCTTGTGTCTGGATGCAGGGAGAGAAGCACTTGGAGTGATGCTCAGAAGGAGGGAGGTGAGCCACAATTCTCAGTGTCTTCTGGTTTGGCATCTGTTCAACAACTGTAGAACAGAGGAGGGGGTAACCACCAGTGTCTTTGGTATCTCTCATTCTCAGCACCCGCTATTAGGAAGGCATTCTTTTGTTCCATCTAGCTAGACTCCGATGGTTATCATCCTACGGCTCCTTCATTGCCAGACACACCTGCCTCAGGACAAGGAGAAGCATCCTCCTGTCTCTGGTTCTTCCTCCAGACACACTTTCGAAACTGAAACGCTGTCTGGTACCAAGGCTGCATGACGCAGCGCACTCGTGAAAACCCTCAGTCTCCATCCAGGACTGTAAGGCCTAGAAAGGCAGAAGGTTTCAGCTTACTGGACGTAGCAGGACTCCAGAGGCAGAACCGGGAGGATCAGGAAGTCAAGGCCAGCCTTTGGGATATAGTGAGTTTGAGCCAGCCTGAGCTATGTGAATCCATCTCAATAAACTTAAAACAGAAAACAAGAAGAAGGGGAAGGGGGAGAGGATGAGGAGGGAATTAAGGAGGAGGCAGAAGGAAAGAGAAGGCAGAGGAGGAGAAGGAAAAATATTCTGCCACAATACGGGGGATCCGAAGATCACATGCTCTCCTACTGCTCCATAGGTCAGAAATGTCGCCTGAGTGACACCCGCTGGAGCCCAGGGTTAGCAGGGCTGTGTGCTTCTGGAGCCCAGGGTCAGCAGGGCCGTGTGCTTCTGGAGCCCAGGGTTAGCAGGGCCGTGTGCTTCTGGAGCCCAGGGTCAGCAGGGCCTTGTGCTTTTGGAGTCCCAGAGGGCTGGAAGCACCTCTGTTCCTCGCACTGCGTCCCCTCCCCACCGTCAAGCAATGTGCTCATTGACGCCTTGTTCCCTCATTCCTTCTTCTCGCTGACACAAGCGCACTAGTGACTTGACTTTAAGCCTCCTCCATTGTAAGATCCATGGCCTACCCACATGAAAAGTCCTCTTTTCAAGATGGTGTAGGTCAGGGATTAAGGTGTGTGGACCTCAGGAGACTTATTCTTCCTACACAAATGCTACGCATATACTATAGAAAAACAGTGGACAGTGGCCTGGAGCTAAACATGGTGACCTGTATAACGTTTAGGAGGCCGAGACAGGAAAATAGACACAAGTTTCAGTTGTGCGGTGAGTTTCAGGCCAGCCTAGGCTATGGTTTCAGACCCTTTATCTAAATAAATACGAAACAAGTAAGGAAACCAACGAACAGTATCTGATACCTTCTTCTCACATGACAGGCTGCTTACTGCTGACCGAAGCAGCCAGGCTTCCCACCTTCCTCTTTCATTCATTTATATGCTTCTTCCAGAACCATCTTTCACAATCCACTGGTTTCATGATGATAAAATTACAGCAGGGCCCATTGCTTCCTCTATACAGTCTAAGATCAAGGGTTTGAATGTCGCAGGAATAGCATCTAAGCCTGCTGTTTTGTGTGGGCTGAGAATGATCTACAGTAGCTGGATTTTTGAATGAGTGAGTTTGGTAAGTGTATATCAAGCAGTAGTAAAATCATAAAGAGTGAGGAGCAGGTAGAGGAAAGAGGTAGAAAAACATCCTCAAAGCAGGTGGCTCACAGCATCCAGCGGAATGACTGCAGCGGTCTAATTGACAGAGCAATCAAAAGCGAGCACCATCAAATCGAGTCTCAGGACACCAAGCAGAAATGAAGTCAGGAAGCAGAGGGAGTCAGAGTCTCTCATGGACTCTGTGTCTGAGCTGCCAGAGCTTTCCCACTGTAGACATTTCATATCATGGGATAGCAATAGTCATCCTTGTTGGAAGGGTTGCCTTCATAGGTGTTTTCAGGAACATTGCTCACTTTCCATCCTGTCAGAGAGTTTCGAGAGCCGTCTCACCCCCAGACAAGAAGGTTTGGAGGATTCTTGAAGACAAACATGCTTGGGTCTAAAATGGGGGTGGAGTGTGTGACCCTGATCCCCAGGGTCTACTTTTAGCAGGCGTAATCACATGTCATCAAATCAAATTGTCACCACACGACAATTCACCAACTATTGCAATGCACCACACCCTAGAGTTTAGTCTCAGAACTCCTCTTCCTCGAGGGTGGCCTCCTGGGACAGCTGCTGATCTCCCTCCTGGCCTTTCTGCCTCTCTGTATGCCCTCGCTTCTCTGGTATGGAAGACGCTCTCTCTCCTCCAGCCCTCCGTGCCGATACATGCTTCTTTGCCTGAGTGTCTAACTCTGGGCTCAATGTGATGGAGGTAGGTCTTGTATCTTATCTGTTGCTTTTATTGGTTAACTAATAAAGAAAACTGCTTGGCCTGATAGGACAGAAAATTAGGTAGGCAGAGTAGACAGAACAGAATGCTGGGAGAAAGAAGCCGAGTCAGGCAGTCGCCATGATTCTCCCACCCAACATAGAAGCAGGTTAAGATCTTCCCTGGTAAGCCATCTTGTGGGCTACATAGATTATTAAAAATGGGTTAGATCAATATATAAAAGCTATCCAATAAGAGGCTGGAACGAATGGGCCAGGCAGTGTTTAAAAGAATACAGTTTCCATGTAATTATTTCGGGTATAAAGCTAACTGTGCAGGCAGCTGGGTGGATGCAGCCCCGCCGCTCCTATTACTACATCAGTGCAGCCCGGACTCTGCTCCTCTGGCTGCACCTTACGGTCCCTGGGGCCAGAACCGAGTCTCATATGAGAATTTTCTGTTATCATGAGCTAACAGTGACTTGACAATGAGCTACTTCTTTTTTATAGACCCAATAAAAAATTCTATTTTAAGAATTTTTAAAACATGACAAAAAGCAGAACAAAGGCCCACGACACTGAGCTCTTTCTGGCCTCTGCTGGCTAATGAGGACTTGGTCCAAGAAGAACTTGATGATGGAGAGAGACAGAGAAGCAGCTTAAGGTCTCCCAGGAGCGGCACAGTCAATCCCAACCCAATTAGAACTCTCTATGTCCCCAGGATATACACCATGGGTCCCCAGGTAGGGAACGCACACTCTTGTAAAAAAATGTTCTTTCTATTTGCCTTTAAATATTCAACCACTTCAAATTCAGCAATGTGGATGAGAAGTCCCTTAATCACGAAACCCAGAGGGACCATTTAGTCCGTGAAGCATTTTGTGGAATGATGTTTTGCCTTGTGTCTTTCATTTAGCCTCGTAGAGATCATATTCTATCTGTGAGCATCCCTAAGCTGTTTTTATTTTACAGAAATGTTATAGTTTTTCAAGAATGTGTGCTGAGAGAATTGAGTCTTTATTCTGCTGCATGTGGGAAACTTGGTATCATCATCAGTTGTGCAGACAATATGGCTCCCTCCAGTTCTCTGTGTGGATGGATATGAACTTACTCTAGCTAAATTGCGGGTGGTGACTGTTTAACCTTATAAAAATCCCAAGGCTGTATGAGTTGGCATGGCCCTTTAAGTCAGAGAGTCAGTTTAGAATGGAGAGGTTTCCTGGAGTTCTAACGCTAGCTGTGTGGAGGACACAGAGAGCTGTTGGGATATGGCCTAGATGAGCCATGTCCTGGCAGAAGCCACCATCTTAGGCTAGGTGAAGTGAGCCATGATTCCTGGGGGGCCCAGGGAGAGGGTACTCCTGAAGAGAGGCCCTTAGGAGCCAGTGTTGGGGAGTGTGGAGTCCCCCTTCAGAGAAGCCATGGATGCCTGTCCACCTTTGCAGAAACCCGTAGGGTCTGGGACCACTGAGGGGGGCTGTGAATGGCCGTGCTACAGATGCCTTTGCTTGTCTCTCACTAGGAAACACCTTGTCTCCAGCCAGACTGCCTGTCATTGTGGCTCAGCTTCTCATTCCTGTTTATATACAGCCTAGGCTGATGAGCACATGTGTTTATATGTAGAAACAGGAAGTATGTTGTTATAGTTGTAATTTGTGGTCAGGGCATTCTCGGTTCTCAGACATTCTCTGTCTGAGAAGCCCTGCCACTCACCAGTGCTCAGTCTTTCCCAAACATGCCAATGGCCACCACCACCTTACACTGGACAGGGGGTGGGGATTAGCCGTAGTGGGGCTTTGGTGGCCATGGGAGGGAATTGATTTGGCTTCTGGTGCTGTTCTATCCTATGGAAGGCAGCTCCTTGCTTTTCCTCTCCACCTAGCTGCCTCCTGCTGGGCTCCTCCCCCATGGTTCTAAGTTTCAGGTTCCATAAACCCCTGCTTCTATGTCATCGTTTTAGGTTATGGAGTTGTAGGTTGGGGACAAGGGGTTTGTCCTGATGAGAGGCAGTCAAAGGCATCCACAGCAGAGGTCTGATGAAGGACTAAGACTTCCCAGGTGCCCTCTCGAGGCACTGCTCCCCTCAAGGTAATGCTGGCACTGTGATCAGGCACCATGCTGACTCCCACCCACCTTTGGGGACACACCACTTGGAAGTGGCTGGGTCCTTTCCAGTCTGTGGTTTCCAGGCATAGAAACCATTCCTTGGTCAGCTCCAGGTGGAGACTTCCCAGGATGTAGGGTGGGGGACTCCGTGACACGTGGTTGGGATTTCTCCATCCTACGTGGGAGGATTGGAAGGCTGTCAGACGATGATCGGAGAGGCAGAGGTGGGATGTGCCAAGAAGCCCCCATGACCCTTCCTCCTTTACAACCAGAATGCTTACCGGTCACCTCGAGGCTAAGGAGTCAGTGGAGGCCTACCATGTTAGAGGACCCGCGTCAGGGAGCAGGGGCCAACCATGAGAAGGAGATGGATGCTACAGCCCAGGTCTCTGGGGAGGACAGCAAACCTGAGAAGCCTGTGGTAAGCCAAGCCAAGAAGCAGCGTGTCTCTTGGATGGGGAATGTACTGGGCAGGACTCTGCCTCTTGTCTTGAGACCTGCCGTTCCTTTCTAAAACTCAAGTTGTCCCTTAGGGCCATTGCAGTGTGAGCGCACTCTGAGCTGGGGTGCTGCGTTCTCTTAGAGAAACCCTGGTCCAGCCTCTGTGGTGACTTTGAGTGTCAGGTGCAGAGCTGAGGATGCAGAACACATTGCCTCCCTTCTTTTAGGTCCAGAGAAGGCTCCAGGCTGCTGAAAATGTGTCAGTATTTTCAGGACATTTATATTCCTTAAACCGTGCTATCAAACTCCCTGATCCTTACACGCACGCGCGCACACACACACACACACACACACACACACACGCATATGCTGCTTCCACATTATCCATCACACATGCACACGCATGCACTCACACACACACACTGCTTCCACATTATCCATCACACACACACATGCCCACACACATGCACGCACACACACACACACTGCTTCCACATTATCCATCATACACATGCACACATACCCACACACATGCACGCACACACACACATACTGCTTCCACATTATCCATCACACATGCACACTCACACACTGCTTCCACATTATCCATCACACACACATGCACATACTGTTTCCACAATATCCATCACACACACACGCACACGCACGCGTGCGCACCCCTTCCACATTATCCATCCCCTTGTTCCATGTGAGGCTATAATCTCTCTTAGGATCTGACCCCGTTTATTCTCAGGACAAGGCTGCAGTGCTCACTGGGTCAACTGAAGAGGTCCATGGAAAACCTGGAGTGTGAAGTTTAGAGCTCTCTGGCTTCCAGTAGCTGTTATGAGCTGGGAACACACAATCGCAGCATATCTGAGGGCTCCCTGTGGACGCTGAGGGTCTAGACACTGCCATCACAACTTTGATGCTGACAGTGTTTCTTTAGCACTAGGTCCTTGCCTAAACATTTCTTATTTTGTCAGTACTGGGTGGGGTATCATTAGGGGTGGCCTGCTAATATTGCAGAGTCTGCACTCTGGCTGCAGCATAAAACCTGTGGCCTTTTGACCGAATGTGTGAGGATCCCCTTGCAGTAAGGGACTCAGAGACCGTAGGGGAAGTCACTGAGTAGCCAACAGTAGCCCAAGCATGCAGAGGTGGGGGCGTGGAGGCATGGCTTTCACAGAGCACATGAGAAGGAAAGGTCATGTTCTTTTCTCTGAGGCATGAGAGGACTCTTGGATGTTTCAGTCTCTACAGCTCTCTTCCCAGAGCGGGGTGCAAGGATGGAGCGAAGGGCTTACATCCACAAGCAGAAGAGACTGCCGTGTGTAGAGCTGTCCCTGGGGCTCCTCAGGAACAGCATCCCACTACTGGGTGTCCCACACTATGTTAGATTCCTATTGTGTGTGGAGGGACAGGACGTGAGCCCCTAACCATAGAGGTCATTCAGCACTGTTGAAGAAAGACAGGGGAATATGAGCATCGCTTTTATAAAGTAGCCCACAGAGAACATCACAAGGTCATGGGGCTGTGTTTTGTAATGAGTAAATGTTAAGAAAATGGTGTTCTTATGATGGGGAAGGCAAAACGGGGGTCTTCTTGAGTTCTCAGGCATCCCTGAATCTTGTTTTTGTTTTAAATAGTTTGACCCCTAGTCACTGTCACGCTATCCATCCCTCTTCACTGGCCGGTGGCTTGTTGGTATTAAGGTTTTCTAAGGTCTGGGAAACTGTAGTTGGAGTTACAGTCTGAGTCTCAGACGTCCCCCAAAGATCACATCCGTGTGTAACATTGACGGTCACAAAGTACCACTATTGGCAGGTGGTAAAGGTGAAGGCAGATGAAGTTAGGTCGTTAGGAGTATGCCTTTGAAAAAGCTAGTGAAGTCCCAGGCTTTTCCACAATTCTCTCTCTCTCTCTCTCTCTCCCTCCCTCCCTCCTTCCCTCCCTCCCTCCCTCCCTCCCTCCCTCTTTCCCTCCCTCCCTGGCTTTCCTAAGGTGAACAGTTCTGTCTCAGCACAAGCCCAAAGTGATGGAGCCCAGCAGCTGTGAACTGAAAGCTTTGAACCCAGAAGCTTAACCAAACTTTCTCCCGTCTAAGTTGGCTCCCTCTGTTATTTTCTGAGAGGACAGGAGGCTGACTAACGCAGCTGATCCCCTGCCAAGAGCTCCGTCCAGCACACACGTCCTGGATCTGGACGCTTAACACTGCCCTTCACTGGACATCCAAGGCCCCCAGTTCCAAGTGTCCCTTGGGGGCCCTGTCTCCTCCAGGAAGATCAGAACTGTAGAATGCATTTGTGACACTTTGTGTGCTAGAGGAATATCACAGCAATCTCTCATTGAAATGTGCAATTAACAAATATTAATAAAAAACAAAACGTGTCCCTGGGTTTGTTTGGCAGAGATACACTTCGGGTCCCTGGGTGCCCTTACTGTCGTCGCTCTCTGCCCAAATCCTCCAAATTTGGTGTTAGTGGCAAAGTTCCCAGAAAGGAAGAATATCAAAACTAAAATGCAATCCCTCCCCCATTGTCTCCAGAACTAGGAGAATGAGATGGTCAGGAAGGTGTTCTCTAATGTCTGTCATTCTATTCTGTCTCTAAGATTCAGTCCATCCAAATATGTGGTCTTTCTCTTTGTGATAATCTCTATGGAAGGAAAGAGAAGTCTGTTGCTCACTATTGAGGAGGAAAACAACAGGCTTCTGGACATAGCTGCCATACACACACACACACATACACTCACACATGTGCACACACACCCATGCACACATATGTGCGCATACACACACATCCACATGCACACACATCCATGTGCACACCCACACCCATGCACACCCACGTACACACACCACACACACATATACACATGATGTAGGAGTGTCATATCAGTCTGTTGATTTCATTGGTTAAGCAATAAAGAAACTGCTCGGCCCTGATAGGTTAAAATATAGGTGGGAGGAATAAACAGAACAGAATGCTGGGAGGAAAAGGAAGTGAGGTAGACGCCTCAGCAGAGGCCACGCTCCCCTCTCTCTCGGGCAGACGCATGCGATGAAGCAAGCCACCAGGTCAGACATGCTGAATCTTTCCCGGTAAGACCGGTGCTACATAGTTTATTAGAGATGGATTGATCGGGATATGAGAATTAGCCTGTAAGGGCTAGGGTTAATGGGTCAAGCAGTGTTTAAAAGAATACAGTTTGTGTGTTGTTAGTTTGGGGCATAAGCTAGCCAGGCGGCCGGGGTGCTGGGGATGCAGCCCCACCGCTCCTATCACAACACACACCCACACACCCATGTGCACACAGGCACGCACACACACTCATGCCTGTGCACACACCCCCACTCACACCCACGTGCACACAGGCACACACGTGCACGCACACACACACATGCCTGTGCACACACCCCCACTCACACCCACGTGCACACAGGCACACACGTGCACGCACACACACTCATGCCTGTGCACACACCCCCACTCACACCCACGTGCACACAAGCACACACGTGCACGCACACACACACATGCCTGTGCACACACCCCCACTCACACCCACGTGCACACACGCACGTACACACGCGCACGCCCCCCCCTCCCTCAATGACAACGTTTCCCACAGAGGTGGTAGTGCTTGGCAGGGACACCTTCAACACCGAGCAGGGGGTCCTGTCAAAGTGACAGGACAAAGGACAAACCTAACCTCAGCGGTCTGGGGCAGCAACTAATGGGAAAGCAATTGCCATGGGGAGGAGGTGTCCCTAGACCAGGCCTTGTCCGTCCCAGCGGCATGCTCGGGGGTGGAGCTAACTGTCCTGTGATGTGGGCAGGTGCCTCTGCTTCCTTCACTTCTCTCTGAGGTCACCCCTGCAAGGGATTAATGAAGTTAGGACCAGAGGCTGGGTCTCAGTCGTTTTCGGACTCATGGTGGCAGCCCCTTCTCAACTACCCCAGAGGAGAAGTCTGAGCAAGAGAAGTGAATTTCTTTCACAAAAATGCTCTAGTGGTGGCTGTACCTCACCAGCCCTTACATCTGGTTAGTGTGTGTGGAGTAAGCCCTAGCAGACACGCTTGACAATGCTAAAGCTGTGGACACCTGATTTTTCTCTTTGGAGAACAACATCTCAGAAGTCCACAATCCCTTGTGGGCGTGGACTCTGTTTTGGGGGCGGGGAGTTGTCAGTACTCCCTCAGGGTTCCTGAGAAGTGCCTGTCATTCTTTCCCCACCTCAGGGACTGCAGAAGCAGATCTGTGACCTTGCAGCAGAGGTCTCAAGACAGGCGTCTTGGTGGTGTGTGGCTCACAGAGACCTCCAAAGCCAGATCGACGCTCTGATGAAGGAGAACCAGGAGCTCCGTGAAGAACTGAAGGCCCTGAAGCAGCAGAGTCTTGGGGCCGCAAAATCTTCTGTAGCCTTGCCGCCCACAGCAAGAGCAACCGATACTCTGGTACAGCAGACTTTCTGCATTGCAGAGATAATGGCACAAGGAGGCATGTCCCCTCCCTTGCAGGCATGCCGTCTCCCCTGGGCACTCTGTGAGGGCTTAGTGTCTGTCTTTCAGTCATAGTTCACATAGAAGTGACAGTCCCGGTAGCCCTGGGAGCAGAGCATGTCGCCACTGTCTCCAGGAATCCCCAGGCTCTGGTGGAACAGCTGGACACCTGACCAGGCCACCTCAGGACTCTAGGGTCCTACTTTACCTTAAGTGGTGGACTAGATTCTGTCATTAACCCAACCGTGGCACAGGGGGAGATAGGACGGAGGTATAACCCTGTGATTAGTAACTGAGAGCAGGCTGCTGTCACTGGTGGAAGCTGAGCGGGGCCCTATGGGAGATTCTATGTGGCCTTTGCTACCGCGTTGCCTCCATTAAACTTTGCTCATGTGGGTATGTGGGTAAGATGTGCCCATGAGTCTGCAGGGTATTCCTCTGTCTCTGTCAGAGGTCAGTCTCAAAAGCTCACTGACTGCACAATTCTGCTCCTCACGTGACTGTAGATAAGAACAGCCTCTAAACCGCACACACCCACCTTTGAACGGCAACAAAAAAAAATCAAGGCGGTAAATGCCACACTTTTAAATTTGCCCAGGGTTATCTGTATTCAAACACCATTCTAGGGATGGTGTCAAAAGGTCTGCCTTGTGTACACGTGTATATGGAGTGCACAGTGTAAGTCAGCCCTGGAGCAATGGTGCGAGAGGTTCACACTGACACTTCTTCCTCAGAGGAGAGTGTGCAACCATAAAATACCAAGCCCACATTGACAGACAGCCTCCAGAGGAGGACTTGTATCTCAGGTCTTTGGCCAGTTACACGAGTATTGTGTAACTAAAGGCCTTCTGAAAAGTCACGTGGGATCCTACTGCTGTAGAAGTTTCCAAAACATGTATGTATGTATGTATGTATATGAAGGGAATTTAAATGGAGTCAGCATATAACAGGAAAGATGATGCCCAACTAGACATATTATCCCACCAAATAAATCCTCTAGTGAAAGGAATGGACTACATCTTGTTGAGTCATTGGCCAAAGGGGTCCCTTGGAACTCCCCAAACATAGCAGGACATGGCTAAGGCTATTGGTTGCTCCCCACAAACTGACGGAGTGGCTCTATTTACGAAGACACAACGTCTTCACTGACATGGAGAAACTAAGCTGGTATCCTGCTAGAAGCTTCACCCCTGCTGCTAGTGTTCACGGTGCTGTAAGGTAACTCCGCAGGCCACCAGAGGAGAAAGGTAACATCAGTGTCACCCACTACAGGCACACTACCTAAAACAGAGACCTGCCTGCAGAATACACGGGTGCAACCATGGCACCCATGTTATGGGAGTAACCAGCCACTTCCTTATGGCATTTAAGGCCCATTCCATGAGGGGGAACCCATACCTGACACTGGTAAACTGGTCCAGAAACAGAGACTGGATAGGTCATGGGCCTAGGAAAAAACACAAATGTTCTTATTCTGCTAACAAAAGATATCCTGACAGCACATTGCTAGATCCATAGATCAGTGCTACCGAAACCCTCATCAGAAACATTTCTCCTTGCTGTAGATGAGCATTAACATAGAGAAGCACAGATGTACAATACACACACAGACATTGGGGCACTTGGTCCTAGATGGGCTGTCTTCATCAAAACCCTCCCCTCACGGCTCAGGGATCTATGTGGAAGAAGGGGTGGGAAGATTGTAAAACTAGAGGTGGTCGGTGACTCCACAGAAACAGCACCATCCAGACGGAGCAGGGCTGATGCACTGTGAACTCAGGGAGACTGTGCAGCACACCGTGATGCACAGGTTCAAACCATGTGAAATCCCGGCACTCAGAGCTCAGAGCGGGAGGGGACTCAAGGTCCCACCTTTGACCAAGAAGCTGTTTACAAATGGTAGCTGCCAAGAAAGGGAAGAGCTTCTGGGTGCATCAATCACACTCCAAGGCAGGCCCACACCCAGGAGTAGCTGGCCAACACAGATTCTGTGGTTGTTGGGTTTTGTTGTTGTTGTTTGGTTCATTGTTTTTGTGTGCCTGTATTTTGTTTCTTTTTGTCTGACTGGTTTTTTTTTTAGTTTGTTTTTATTTCATTTCTCTGTTTGCTTTGGGGGGTTGAGAGAGAGAGAACATGAAGTTGGCTAGGTAGGGAGGTGGGGAGAATCTGGGAGCAGTTGAAAGAGATGGGAAATACTGTATGAAAAACTTTAACTAATATTGTTGAAGTGTTCCGCATTTCCTACTTCCCCACATGCTCAGCTGAAGTTGCCTAATGCAAGGGCACGAGGGTTGAGTTGTTTATCTTTTGGGTCCTGTGATGGTTTAGAACTGGTGTCTGCAAGAAGCAGGTGGCAGGTCACAGGTCACACCCAACAGCAGTCTAATCTCACCAACACGTAGGACATCCAGTCCAAGGCTCCTAGCTCAAGCCATTATGAAGACATTCAATATTAGTGAGCAGATTAAAATGTGGTTTTCCCTCCCTGTGCCCTTTAAGCCTGGGCATTCCTGCCCCTTGGGTGTCCTCACAGGCCTCTGGTGGCTCTGCACTCATTGCCTGTCTGCATGAGACTCCCGCATGCAGCGGTTTGGGGTGAGTGTGGGGCCACAGCAGAAGAGACCACGTGTAATCAGTTATCTGAATGTAGTAAGACTCCCTGGTAGATGTGTGCTTGAAGGCGAGTGATGGGTGGCAAGCTAAGCCATACATCAGAACCACTGGTTTTTAAAATAACACAAAGGCTAGAAACTCATTTTTCTTAAAATCTGTTAAATTTGGTTTCATGTTCTTTATTAAGCACGGTATCAAACCCTTTCTAGACTTCAGAATGCAATGGTTCTAGACTGAGGCTGTGGGGGAAGGTGTGCAGACAGCAGCTTCCCTTCTGCTCCCCCAGGGAACTGAAAACACGGGGCTGTCACGGTCCAAGCTGTGGGGGTAGCCAACATGGTGCGTTAATTGGTACTTTTGGGCGGTATGATCTGATGTTGACGTAAACGCCCCCACGTTTGTTTCTAGCCTGTGTACATAAGAATAGAGGGGATCGATTCAGAGAAAACAACATCATGGGACGACAGAGACGATGTCCCTTCCGGAAGTCTTCAAAACGGAAGCACAATGGCCACTGGAGGAACAGACTCCTTAGATGAAAGATTATCTTTTATGTCTTTTGATGAAAAGGTGACCTTGGGAACTTGTACCGCTTGTGTATGGTCTCTCCCTCCCTCCCTCCTTCCCTCCCTCTCCTTTCTCTCTCCCCCTCTCTCTGTGTCCGTTGTCTTCCTCTATCTGTTTCCACATCATTTCTCTAAGTTATTTTTACATGCTGGTGCACACGCGCCCTCTGCATGCCCATAAAGGCCAGAAGAGGTTGTGCTAGATCCCCTTGAGCTAGAGTTACAGGCAATCGTGAACCATCCAACATGAGAGCTGGGAGCCAGACAGGGGTCCCTCTGAAATGGTAGCAAAGCTCTTAATTAACCATTGTGCTGTCCCCTGGCCTTTTACCACATTTTGAGACATGCTCCCTAACTGAGCCTGGGTGACGACACTGGTTGACTGGGCTCTGACTAATAAGCCTGAGGGACCTCTGGTGTCTGCTTTCTGGATGCTGGGGCTCTAGGCATGCTGCCCCACCTGGCCTTTTGTGGGTTCTAGGGATCTGACCGTCAACCCTCACGCTTGAGCAGAAAGCACTTTACCAACCTCCCTCTCCTCAGCTCCCCACCCCAGGAATACATCCTGCTTATCCCAGCCACATGAAGTCCAACAAGAGCACTCCCTCTGTCACTCAAAATGGGCTCGGGGATTTGTAAATTGTAACTGTTCCTATAGATCAGAAAACTGAGTGTCTTCACACACGCCTTCAGTATTAAAACAACAAGCCAAACAGAACTGAAGTTATCTTTAAAAACAAAACCATTATATGGGTGGGAATTCCCTATACAGGGTCAATTGCCTGAGTTCAGGGAATGGAGCCAGTACTCTTGGCAGAGTCTGAGACGTGATTAAGGTGTCTGAAAGCTGACACAGCTGTGCACAGCATCCGGTTACTGGTCTGGTGGCATCATTGGTTTTCTGACTCTCTCTACATCCAGGTTATGCACCTGTCTTCCAAGTTTGTGCAAAGGCGCCTTGGCAGGATATCACCAGAACCACCATCGGACACCACAGCTCTGGACACAGAGTCAGTGGCTGGTGAGAGGAATGAAGTGGCAGGGGACCAGGGAGAGATGTGGCATGTGGGTGAGGTCCCTAAAGCTCCCTGGGCCCAGGGAGGGATGTGGCATGTGAGCCTGGCCACTCTTTGTCTGATTCCTCCTCAAGCTCCTTCATCTGTCTCGGTCACCTCTCTCAACACTGCAGCAGAACCCAGGCTGGCTGTTCGGGGCCATCCTTAGCCCTTCCCTTTCTGCTTGCTGGCCGGTGACATTACCTGCCTGTTTTATCTGTTCTTGCCCAGCAATTGCCTGACCTTCCCCTGAGCCCAAACTGTCTATCCAGGCTCTCCTGTCCCCGTGGGTGCCAGCTGCAGGCTCCCACAGTGGCAGGGAGAATGCCCCACTGCAGCCTGCCGACAGTGGTAACCACCACACTCTGCGCCCTTGAGCACGCCCGTGGGTGTGCACGAACTCTGCTGTGGAGTCTGCACACAGCCTTGGCTGCCAGGCTCAGCGGCAGCCCTAGTGGGAAGAGAAAGTCCTCATCCTCCTGTAGCCTGATTCTTACCTACCCTCTTTGCTGGCCCACGTGAGCCCCCTTTGGCATATTGAGCCCTGAACCCTTGTGCATGCGTGAGCACAGCGCTGTCTCTCCCTGAGCCTGTGTGACGTTTCTGGACCCCTGTGAATCAGTTATTTTTCTATCGCTATCGTAAAGCACCACGACCACGTCAACTTCCAGCAGGAAGAATCTACTGGGTTTATGGTTCCAAAGGGCCAGCTCCTAAGGGTAGGCACCATAGGCAAAAAGCAGAGAAAACTGGAAGTAAAACCAAGTACTATACTTCTTCTATTGAGGTCATAGCAACCAAACCTCCTTCAGCAGCACACCAGATGGAGGGCAGTGTCCAAATGCCCAAGCCTTCCACACTCCGTGTGTTGGTTATGTCCGCTTGGCACAACCTAGAATCGCCTTGGAAGAGAACCTGGTTGAGGAATTGTTTATATCAGGTTGGCCTGTGTCTGATAAGCACTGTGCAAGGGGTCCTGAATGAGATGAGAAAGCCGGCTGAGAGCAAGCAAGCATCCATGCATTCTTCTCTCTGCTCTCGGCTGTGGGTGTGTGGCTGTCAGTTCCCTGGCGATGGTGACCTTCCTACCTGCTCTCCACTGCCCTGGATACACAGTACTCCCTCCCCGGCTGCCTCTGTTTCCTTCCACGTGTCCAGTGGGCAGTTGTCCCTGGGTTTCTCTTCCTGTGTCCGTCCCTTCCTGGGGCAAAAGCAGCTGCAGAACAGACACCACCCTCTGCTAGCTTAGTCTGTTGGACCACAACTCTAGGGACGACAGAGTCAGCAGACAAGGGCTGACTGTCTCCACTCAACATTTCATGATTTCACTCAATCAGTCGATGACATGCGCACAGCGACCCCAGGAACAAAGAGAACTGTTGGAAACGTTTGGAAACTTACTCACACGGGGAATACAACCTTCTCACTCTGTGCATGCAGTCTTTTGAAAAGCTCTTCTCTGCTCTTTTAGATATATGGTCCTCCAACCCAGAGAGTTCTGAAGGTGAGCTTCTCATGCAGGCTCAAGCAAGCAGGCTCCTCCCTAGTTTTTCCCAGAATGCACTGTGGCTGCAGGTAGGTAGGATTTCACCTGGTGGGGAAGCTGGGGTAGGAAGACCTGGAGGTGGTGGCAGTGACAGTGGAGTGACTGCCACTCCATCCCTTTTTCATGAGCGTGGAAGGTTATTATGGCTGCAAATGACCCTAGTCTCTGACATTCTCTGCCTTTCAAAAGAGAGAAACAGGGCATCCCTTTGTCAATGGAGGGCAGCATTAGGCCAGTGGCCAAAGGCAGGTCAAGCTTCTGTGACCTTAAGGATTCAGAAGCCAAAATTTTTATTCTGTTTTGTTTTCTTTATTTTCAATTCTCAGTGGAAATGAAAAGAGTAAAAGGCCAAGATCTATGGCCAGGGTCACCTCATAGCTGCACAGTGTCTGAGGGGAATGGCAACAGAATTAAAGCCATTTTCTCTACAGGAGGAAATGTGGGCTGAAAAGTACTTTGAAACCATGTGAAGGTGGGCAATGGGGGGTGGGGTTCTCTAAAAGCAGTCAGTATCATTATCAGCTGTGGCAGCTTAGATTAATGAAGACAAATTGTAATAAATATTTGCACAACTTTAATGGAAAAAACAGACTCACGAAACCAAGGTTCCCGCAGAGTACAGGAAACAGGAAGGGAAGCCCAGGCTTCTTTGCTGCGCAATTTAAGCCAGAGGCGAGTCCGCCCCCTTCGGGGCGGGCCTAACCCTACAATCAGCGATGTGAGATGGGTTTAGTTACCTCGTAAACTCCTGCTACCGATGCATTTCGAGGCCTGAGTGATGTGCAGTCAGAATCAGAATTTGGTGACTGCCATCTTGCTCACCCTGCTATGGATCAAGCATGGTCCATAAGATGAGAGAAATCACTTTACAAACACAAACTTAGTCCCAAGAGCCAGTGTTGATGAGGCCCTGTAGTCCTCACAGGGGGCCACAGGAGGCAATGGTTTTAATCTCTCTACAGAATCTCATGGCAAGATCAGGACCATCTAAAGAAGTACCACGCTCCATGAACACCAAGAAGGATAAGGAGACACAGGAAAAGCGACACCCGAATGGCAAGGTAGGTATCCGCGGAACACAGCTCTTCCCAGCCACGCTCCCTGTGCAGGCTGTCCCAGAGCTACAGGCTGGTGGCCACACCTCTCCAGAGCATCACTGAGCAGCTTGCTTCCAGTGACAAACACCTGCCGCTCTCACCGCAGTGACACCCACTGCTACCTCAAGAAGCATTTTGTCCCAGAGATCTACTGCCAGGAGACTGGAGTTGACTTGGGGACCATGGGAAGGGGGAGCTGCTGTGGCCCAAGCGAGCAGCTGAAGTGATGATGGCCCAGTTCACCTTCAGCCTCTCTTGCTGGAGTGAGTCTCCTCTGGGCTGAGCAGAGGAAGAAGGAAAGCTGCCTGACGTCACAGTTTTTCACTAAAATCTCCTCTTCCTCTTCATCCTCCTCCTCCCCAGCCCCCTTCTCCTTCCCCCTCTTTTCCTTTTAGACAGGTCCAGCCTTTATGGACCCACTAGGTAGCACAATGACCTTGGGTTTCTGGTCCTCCTGCCTCCTCCTCCATAGTGCTGGGATTAGAGGCGTGTGACACCGCATCCTGTCATGCTATGCTGGGAATGGGACCCAGGGCTTCAAGCATGCTGGACAAGCAGCGACCAACTTAGCTGCATCCCTAGACCCCTTCTTTAGTGTGGCTGTTTTGCACAGTTATCGGGCAAAGAAACACAGTTGAGCACAGCCCACACGATGAGATCCGTAGGGAGCAGGGCGGTGCTGGTTAGTGTCCAGGGAGTTACACACCAATCAGGTGCTTGGTCTTCGGGAGCCACGGGGATGAATGTGAGAAGCAGGTGTCTGTGGCATCCTATTCTGCTGTGCATTGACCTCACTGCCCGGCTCCCTGGGTACCACCTCCCTGGGTACCACCTCCCTTACAGTCCCCATCACCTCACTGCCTCTTCTGATCCTTCATCTTGGATCAGTCTATGTGTGTCTTACATGGAATATGCTGAATTGTTCGATTATTTTTATATTGTAAACTGTATCTATCTTTAATTGAAACTTTATTGTAAAAGAAGTAAGAAAAAGTCATACACTAAAATTAACCAGACCCAAAGTCTATATCTCTCAATGCTCTTCTGTAGTTAGAACAGCCATTCGGAATCGGTGAGGAGTCAGATTAAATTTTACACCTTCACTATCAAATACGTTTTACACACTTATCTACCACTAAAAATGAAAAATCCATGGCAAAGTCTAAACTAAAATATAATAGGCCTTACATCCTCTTTTGTGGCTCAAATCCTATTTTTGAGGGGGTAGCTGCTTTGTTTTTGTTTTTCAAGACGGTTTTTCTGTGAAACAGTTCTGACTGACCCGGAACTTGCTCTGTAAGCCAGGCTGGCCTTGAACTCACAGAGATCCACCTGCCTCTGCCTCCTGAGCACTGGCATTAAAGGCGTACACCACCACCACCAGCTTGTACCCTGTTCTTATAATGTACTTTAAAAATGACATGATCACACATGACCGAGTGATGACATGCTCTCAGAACGGCGTTTGGTGATGTCACCATTGTGTGGACATTGTAGCGATTCGCCCAAACCTAGACATCCTCAGTTACTCCACATGACCCTGGGGTGTAAGCAAGAGACATGGTAAATGTGAGGGGCAAGGCGGCATGGGCAGCAGTCATACTACCATGCAGGACGTGTCCCGCACCGTGAGGAAGGCACTGAAATAAAGACGACATGTCTGGGAGAGCAAACGCAGGAGCCACTGTCTGCTGTCTGTTGTCTGTTGTCTGTCTCTGCTGTCTGTTGTCTGTTTCTGTTGTCTATTTCTGTTGTCTGTTGTCTGTTTCTGTTGTCTGTTGTCTGTCTCTGCTGTCTGTTGTCTATTGTCTGTTGTCTGTTTCTGTTGTCTGTTGTCTGTTTCTGTTGTCTGTTGTCTGTCTCTGCTGTCTGTTGTCTGTTGTCTGTTGTCTGTTTCTGTTGTCTGTTGTCTGTTGTCTGTCTCTGCTGTCTGTTGTCTGTTGTCTGTTTCTGTTGTCTATTTCTGTTGTCTGTTGTCTGTTTCTGTTGTCTGTTGTCTGTCTCTGCTGTCTGTTGTCTGTTTCTGTTGTCTGTTTCTGTTGTCTGTTTCTGTTGTCTGTTGTCAGTTGTCTGTTGTCTGTTGTCAGTCTCTGCTGTCTGTTGTCTGTTGTCTGTTTCTGTTGTCTGTTGTCAGTTTCTGGTGCAGACTAGACAGCGGTCTGTGACTTATCACACACAGGCACATTGGCCCAGCATCACCACAAACCTCAGAGATGCAGGGTGCCACACGGCATGAGGTGACAGGAAATGGTCAGCCCCATTACTGTCTTATACAATGACTATCGTCTGTGTTGGTTATTGGCTGGAGCACTGTTCCTGGACTGGTTCGTGCAAATGCGGTTGATTTTATGATCTCCCCGTGTAGAGCCTTAAGAACAGTGCGCTTTGTTATTGTGAGAGGCCGCTGGTCTCGTTGGAGCTTTTCTGGCTGGCTGAGAACAAGAACTCGTCTTCTGGTTCTGACCTGCACACAGCTTACACATTCAGCTGGTCTGTTTGTGAGCAAGGGCATAAGAGTGTAGACTTAGCTCAAACCTCTGCCGTATTGGCTGTCAGCTGGGTTTGGTTGGCTAGCTCTCTGATTTGGTCAGAAGTGTTGGTTTTTAACTCTGATGAGTCAGCTCCTACAGTTCCAGCTATGTTAAGAATAGTTACAATGCGTGGCATAATTAATAAATGCTACGTGGAGCTTTTAAAGTACACATGTATTAAGTCCCCAAATTGAGGTTATTTCTGCAAGTGTCTTTGTTTACGCTGATCTTTACAGGGTAGTGTCTTCTACCAAAAGCCTAGCAGTGTGCACTTGAAGCTGCCTGCTTGCTAATTATTCACTGAAGCCATGAGTGTAGTGTATGAGTGGAAAGGAGAAGACAGGAAGGACAAAAATGCACACAAGTTAATTTCTACATAGCAATTGTGCCATTTCATCTGGCCCAGGTTGCGGGTTAATCAGTCCTAGGACCTTAGATCCTACAGACCCATGGCAAACACACAGCCTCAGCACAAGGAAGGCAGACAAGGAGGAACAGACCATAACGCTTACTACTGACAAACAAATGCAGGATGGTGTGTGTGTGTTTGTGTGTGTGTGTGTGTTATTAATCACCATGCCAGACAAGCTGTGTGCAGTGATTTTGAATACAAGGAGAAACAGTGGAGCCGCGGCAACCGTACTTGTCACAGGTCTTCACCCCGAGTCTTTGTGTGTCCATCAAGGTCGAGCAGGTACTCAGCGACGGGCGAACAATCATCACTTTCCCCAACGGAACCAGGAAGGAGATCAGTGCCGACAAGAAGACGACCCTCGTCAAGTTCTTTAATGGTGACATGAAGAAGGTCAAGTCAGACCAGAGAGTGGTGCGTGCAGTGAGCACACTTGTGCTGTCTTAGAGTCAGAGCCACAGTTAGGAGCAGCAGTCCCCAGAGGCACACCCTTCTCCTCTCCTGCTGTCAGGAGGTGAGGGGAGGAGAAAGATTAGAACCTTCTTGTTAATGAGAATGTTGTCCTTGGTGTTTGATGCAAGCGAGATTCTTCATGGTCTCACCTGCAGATTTGCAGGTCAGTGGTGTCCCACCAGCTCCCCACCCTCTGCTGTGAATTATCAGGTGCTCTTCCACTGGCCTGAGCTAACCTACTGGGCTCAAGCTGAAGATCAGAAAAGCAAAGCAGCCTAGCCACTAGAGAGCTCTTACCTCTATGGAATATTCAGGCTGAAAAGACAGCGAGCTCCTGTCTCCTCCAGCCCTTTATTCTTCTCTAGTGCTGAAATTAAAGATTTGCACCACCTCTACCGGCCTCTATGGCCGACTAGTGTGGCTGTTTTGTGTTCTGGTCTTCAGGCAAGCTTTATTTATTAAAATGCACATAAAATGTCACTCCTCCCCACCGCCTGTGTTTCTGAACTGTGGAAGTTCCCACAGAACCCACCAGCTGAGCTTGTGCCATGAGCCACCTATGGGAAACAACTAATCAGATTCAGCTGATTCTAATGTAACAGCATTAGGGGTCGCCTCCCAACATGTGTTCCCTGGTCTTTACAGATTTACTACTATGCGGATGCTCAGACGACACACACAACCTACCCGGACGGTGTTGAAGTTGTGCAGTTTCCAAACAAGTGGACTGGTGAGTGACGTCGTCACCCTGGACCTGCTGGCTCCGGGCTTTGTGTGTCTGTGAGGGAGGAGATGGTGGGGTATATGAGCAGCCTAGGAAAAAGCAGCAGACATACAGCCTTTAGATTCACTAAAAAAAAAACAGGCTGCCCAGCTAGATTTAAATGTTTTTTATTAGAAATTATTCCATGGAGTACATAGGGCAATATTATACCCAAAGAGTCATTTTTTGTTATTTCAATATTATTTTTAATTTTTGTCTTTTCCTTTATTTTTTTAAAAAAGAAAACAAACTTTTTTCATTATACATACCAATCCAAGTTCCTACTCCCTCCCCTCCTCCCATTCCTTCTATATAGTGTTTTCTAATTCCATCCATTTGCATGCAAAATTCAAGATGTCATTGTTTTTTTTTTTTTTTTTTTTTTTTGCCACTGCGTAATACTCTAATGTATAAATGTGCCATATTTTCTTTATCCATTCTTTGGTTGAAGGGTATATAGGTTGTTTCCAAGTTCTGATTATTACAAATAATGCTGCTATGAACATAGTTGAACAAATGTCCTTGTAGTATGATTGAGCATCTTTTGGGTATATGTCCAAGAGTGGTATTGCTAGATTCTGAGATAGGTTGATTCCCAATTTTCTGAGAAACCGCCATACTGATTTCCAAAGTGGTTGTACAAGTTTGCATTCCCACCAGCAAGGGATGAGTGTTCCCCTTACTCCACATCCTCTCCAGCATAAGCTATCATTATAGTGTTTCTGACCTTAGCCATTCTGACAGGTGTAAGATGGTATCTCAGACTTGTTTTTGATTTGCATTTCTCTAATGGCTAAAGATGTTGAACATTTCCTTAAGTATCTTTCGGTCATTTGAGATTCTTCTATTGAGACTTCTCTGTTTAGTTCTGTACCCCATTTTTAATTGGGTTATTTAGAATTTTGATGTCTAATTTCTTCAGTCCTTTGTCTGATATGGGGTTGGTGAAGATCTTTTTCCATTCAGTAGGCTGCCTTTTTGTCTTATTGACAGTGTCCTTACTTTACAGAAGCTTCTCAGTTTCAGGAGGTCCCATTCATTTATTGTTGCTCTCAGTGTTTTTGCTACTTATTTTTTTAACACACAATATTTTTTATTTTTTCCCATTTCCAGTAAGCTTTTTTTTAAAAAAAATTATTGATTTTTATTGAACTATATATTTTCTCTGCTCCCCCCATCCTTCCCCCTCCCCTTCTACCCTCTACCATGGTCCCCATGCTCCCAATTTACTCAGGAGATCTTGTCTTTTACTACTTCCCATGAGACATCCATGTTTGTCTCAAGGTCCTCATTGTCTTCTAGGTTCTCTGGGATTGTGACTCGTAGGCTGCTTTTCTTTACTTTATGTCTAAAAGTCATATGATGTTTGTCTTTCTGAGTCTGAGTTATATCACTCAAGATGACATTTTCTAGATCCATCCATTTGTCTGCAAATCTCAAGATGTCATTTTTTTTTGGTATAGTACTCTATTGTGTAAATATACCACATTTTCTTTATCAATTTTTTGGTCAAGGGGCATTTAGGTTGTTTCCAGGTTCTGGCTATGACAAACAATGTTGTTATGAACATAGTTGAGCACATGTCCTTGTGGTATAATTTGGGTATATACCCAAAAGTGGTATTTCTGGGTCTTGAGGAAGGTTGTTTCGCAACTTTCTGAGAAATTGCCATACTGATATCTAAAGGGGCTGTACCAGCTTGCACTTCCACCAGCAATGCAGGAGTGTTCCCTTTACCCCACATCCTCTCCAGCATACGTTGTCATCTTATGCAAAACATTATTTTGAGTGAGTTAACCCAGACACAGAAAGATAATTATCACATGTACTCACTCATAGGTGGTTTTTAAACATAAAGCAAAGAAAACCAGCCCACAAATCACAATCCCAGAGAACTTAGACAGCAACGAGGACCTAAGAGAGACTTACATAGATCTAATCTACATGGGAAGTAGAAAAAGACAAGATCTCCTGAGTAAATTGGAAGCATGGGGACTTGGGGGAGGGCTGAAGGGGGAGGGGAAGCCAGGGAGGGGAGCAGAGAAAAATGTAGAGCTCAATAAAAATCAATAAAAAAAGAAGAAGAAAAGCTGTCTAAAACTGAGCCAAATTAGGTCAGGCATTTATAAGTAAGAAAAAGAAAAATTACACTCGCACGTTCATAAATGCTCTATGAGGTGGTTGATGATATTAGGCAGGTCTGATGAAAAGAATAAAAGGGTTTGATAGACATATCTGTCCTTTGAACCCTGGCTGCTCTGTGTGGAATGTCTCTAATGTATCAAGTAACTGTATAGCAGGGGTTCTGAGTTCTGTCGCTGTCTATACCCACGCCTCCTATCTCCAGAACACCCTCCTGTGACAATTCTAGACAAGGTGAAAAAAACATCACAACCCCCTCTTGCCACTTTTCAGGGGCATCCCTGTGTCTATGTGCTCTGCAAAGTTCAGCAAATGCTTTGCTTCTGCACCAGACAGGGGATTTTGAGATTTGCAAGCTAGTGAGTCCCTACTTCTCCAGGGCATTGTACCAACATTCCAGTTAGCTTTTCAGAGTCCTGGGCTAACAGGCACTTACTGCACGGAGTTGGTCCTTGGCTGTCAGATTCCACACCACAGTCTTTTCCTAAGCATACTTAATGTCTCCTTTTTGTCTGCCAACAACCGCCAACCATTGGCCAAAACATGCACGAAGCACGGGGTCATGAGAAGAACACGTGGAAGCCGATCCGTGGCGTTCCGCTTATAAGCTTTTGTACTTCCCATGGACGCACACGGAAAAGCACAGCTTGGCAGGGTGTCGTGCACGGTTGCCGGCCCCGGCTCGTGTGTAAGCGCAGGTGCAGCAATGCTTCAGCATGCTCCGCAGTGAGGACTGTCTCCACACAAGGCTGATGTCACCACAAGGCTGATGTCACTGTGACTCTCAATGATCTAGCTTGCCTTTGCAAGTCCATGTGGGACAGCAGAAGCATTTCCAAGAGTGTCTTGGTTACTTTCCCACTGCTGGGACCAGGGATTATTAGTTTTGGCTCACGGTTCAGAGAGAAATGTAGTCCAGTGTGCGGGGAAAGATGCAGTGGCAGACTGTGAGGTCGCGTGAGAGGCTGAGGGAGCAATGGCCTCTAGCGCCTCCCTTCCCATTTAGTTCTGTCTGGGACTGCAATACAAAATATTGCCTGCCACTAGTGATGGATTTTACCAAAAGTCCACAGCCAAGAAGAGAAGCAGACTTTGAGACTTGAATTGGATTTCTAACAAAGGTGTACCACTTTTTCATCATAACCAAGCCAAAATATCCACCAACCATTATGCACTAGAAACTGTCAACACTACGTCCAAACCTCACTTACCTAAAACTGAATCAAGAGGGCGCTGGGCGTTATGTCTGCCAATCCTAATTACAAACTCCTCTGATTTGATCGTCCTCATTCATATTTCAGTATAGGTCATTTAGATACAGCACAGGTTCCAAATGCATCCTGTGTAACACGTACTTTAAACAATGTATTCTGCAGAAAAATTCTACCCGGATGGCTCCAAGGAAACGGTGTTTCCTGATGGGACCGTGAAGCAGCTTAAGGACGACTGTGAGGAGACTGTGTTCCCTGATGGGACGTGTGTGACGGTGAAAAGGTCAGCACCCCAACCCTGGGCTTTGTGTTCTATAACATATCCACAGCCATTTACACGTGTGCAGAAATCCAGGCATTCATTTAAGCGTAACAGCAGGGGCTGGAGAGATGGCTCCACGGTTAAGAGCCCGGCTGCTCTTGGGAAGGACACAGAGTCAGTTCGCAGCACCCACGTGACAGCCTGCAGCCCTCTGTAACTCCTGTCCCAGGGGACCTGATGGCCTCCCCTGACTTCCATGAGCACCAGCTGTGTGCCATGTAGTTTGCAGATATACATGCAGGCAAACACTCATACATATACAAAAAAAATTATAAAAACCAACAATGACACCAGAAAATAATGTCACTGGGCCTGCAAGGTTCTTTGTGCCTTCAGTGCAAATCTGTTTATAGAGAATATGAGCATAGACATAGAATTTCGGGGGCAGTCTCGTGCCCCCAAATGCTGCTCAGTGATTGACCGCAGTTTACAGCATCAACTAATGTCATGGTCACCCCGGTTGACATCACAATAATTTCTCAGGATGTCCCACTGCTCTGAAGTGACGCGTGTCAATATTTCGGTGACTGAAGCCGGCCCACCATTGAGTGCCATCTTCAGCCTCCACCTCTCAAAGCTACACTGTGTAGAGGTGTGGTTCGGTTGCAGGGTGTATAAGCAGACTCTCAGCTGCACAACTGTGTACTAAGTCACTGTCTCAGTGCTGGTGTGTGCAGACAATGAGGCCCTTCAGTCACATCTGTCTACTAGCCTGGGCAAGAGGTCAAGAAGTCACCTTAGCTGTTCCCAGTATGCCCCCACTCTGGTGTGACCTTGGCGTGTTTCCTCTAGGACCTCAACCTCATCAGCTCTCCCCACCCCCGTCTGGAGCGTCCTTGGCTCTCCTGGTCAGCACAGTGCCCACACCCAGGGCTCTTTCTGCTGTGTTTCTGCCATGGACTGAGCAGTTCTGATGCACCCACTCAGATTGCGAGCTCAGGTCTCTGGGTCCGTGCTCCCCACTCAGCCCCTGCATGGCCACCTTCCTGAGAATGCTTTCCCAACTCGTTCCTCGGGAAGCTTCATCTTCCTCCCTCAGAAGAGACTGGGGTTCTGGGTGGCGCTATGGTATCACTCATTCCTAGTTCCTCCGTGCTCACACCGTTGGCCTCTGTGCGGCACCACCCATCAGTGTTTCTGTTCTACAGGAATGGAGACAAAGTCATCATGTTCAGCAATGGACAGAAGGAAATCCACACAGCCAGGTTCAAGCGGAGGGAATTCCCAGATGGCACCACCAAGACTGTGTACTGCAATGGCTGCCAGGAGACCAAGTATGCCTCTGGGAGGGTCAGGGTCAAAGACGAGACGGGAGCTGTCATTCTGGACTGGAAGTAGCGCATCCACAGACTCAGTGTCAAGCACTAGGTCCCAATGACTCACGGAGAGGTTCCCCTGGTGAGTCTGAAGATCGCACACACATCAGGAGTAGAGGGGCATCCAAAAATCATAAAGAGAAAGACCGTCCAGTCACCATCTGGGGAAGGATGCCAAAGCAGCAGTGGCCAGGAACGAGGCTCCCCAGACCATGGCTCCAGGGTCTGGTCTAGATGCAGCGTCTCTGTCAGAGGCTGGGCCTGGAGCAGAGGATGAAAGGGACACAAGCTGGAGCACGGTCAGCCATGAACATAGCCAATGCCTGCCTGCTGTCTACTTCTGTCCCTTTTTAGACTCCTCACGAGTGGGATTCAGGGGGGTGTATCTTCACTGGTGCTTAGTGTATTGATAGGCATGATTTAACCACCTTGAAGTGCCTAGACAGAGCCTCATGTGGCATTCTATCCCATAAATTTGAATTATGATCTGTCAATCAACAAGGACATGAATAAAAGCACAAGTAAAAACACAGAAACACACTTGAACCCTGCCTCCTCCTCATTCCTGTGAGTCTGCCTGCTGTCCCCTCCTTTCGTGGGAGCACTCTGCTGTGCCCTAGGCAAGGGAGGCTTCTCCCTAGCTTGTAGGCGGCAGCCGAGTCTCAGTAGACAGTTCCAATCCTTTGACTACCCCTTCCAGCCCCTGCACGGGTCTGCGGTGGAGGCTGCAGATCCACTGCGGGGGTGGGGGGCTTCTTTCTGATGAGGAGCTCTGAGCGTGTGGGTTTCTCTGTGTCCTCCACACGCCTGCAAGGTGTGTGGATGGAGAAAGCACTGGATGCACGCCAGCAGACTGTGCCCAGTGGGTGTCTTCAGGAGGCAGTGGAGAGGAAGGGCTGGCAGCAGCATCTCCATTCCCCCGCCTTGCCCTGACTGACCTGTAAGGAAGTCCAAAGGGCAGGTGTGCCTGCCTCCTTGGTGTCAGAGGATCTGCAAGGTAGAGAAAAGATCCCTTTCTGGGCTCTCTCTGGCTTGTACAGCCACCTCACTGTTGTGCCAGGCTTTGGCGTGGACAATAAGATGCCACTGTTCCCTTAACTGCCCTGTGCACTAGAGTCTTCTAAGTCTTGGGCAGGGTCTTTACAGTTAGGGTCTGACTCATCGCAGTGAGTGTTAAATCCTCATTGCCTGTGTAAATGTGCTCCGTGATGTCTTATACTGTTGACCTCTGCACCGCCAGTGAGCGGCTGACGATGCCCTTCAATTCTTCTGAAAACTGATAGTGGATGCAAGAAGCACGACTCACAGAAGCCTGACTTCCGTAGCCCTGTCCAGACGGTGTCTTCTGCTGTCACAAAGCCAGCTTTGTAGCCGCGCGTGCCTGCAGTGAGAGCCCATGTTGTGAGCCAGGCTGCCGGGGTTTTCACACTCAGCTTGGGTCAAGTCTATGCAAAGTGAGAGGCTTGAGCTGCAGAGTTCTGGACATGTGGGCTGAAGTTTCGGGTTATCTGATTCACCTCCTCCCCATGTACCTTCCCACTGACCCCTTATCAAATTGACATACAAGCATCACTAATAAGTGATAACTTCTCCTTTCTTGTCCATACCCAAGATCGCACTTGAACATCAATATCACTGTCGATAGACCAGCACCGACTGTCCCAGAAAATCAAAGGTTTCGCTTCAGCAGTTCTGGGATCTTATTAACCACAGCTGACTCTTCAGCCCCAGCTAACCAGAACCACAGAACCTTAATTCAAAATAACAGATGGCCCTGATAGTCTTTAAACTTCCCTCTTAAACTTTGCAAGTCAGGCTGAGAAGTGGTGATACACACCTTTAATCCTAGGACCTGGAAGGCAGAGGCAGGCGGATCTCTGTGAATTCGAGGACAGCCCGGTCTACAGAGCAAGTTCCACAACTGGGACCATAGCTACTGGGAAATCCTGTCTTAGAAAACCAAAAGAAAAAAATTAAACTTTGCAAGCCAGGCCTCCGCTGTGTGCATTGCTCTCCGTTCTTGTCTTCCAGGTTCCTGCAGAGCAGCCCAGCACGCTCTCAATTCTGAAAGGCTTTTTAACCCAAAGTTACAAAGTCTTTCCACACTCTCCCCCAAACATGGTCAGGTCTGCCACAGAGATACCCCACTCCTAGTACCAACTTGTCTTAGTTAGGATTCTACTGCTGTGGTGAAACACCATGACAAAAATAAATAAGAAGTTGGAATGAAAGGGTTTATTTGACTAACACTTCCACATTGCAATTCATCATCAAAAGAAGTCAGGACAGGAACTCAAACGGGACCAGAACCTGGAGGCAGAAGCAGAGGCCATGGTGGCACTGTTTACTGGCTTGCTCTCCATAGCTTGCTCAACCTGCTTTCTTATTAGAGAACCCAGGTCCACCTGCCCAGAAGTAGCTCCACCCACAATGGGCCAGGCCCTCCTCCATCAATCAGTAATCAAGAAAATGCCCTACAGCCAGATCTTATGGAGGTATTTTCTCAGTTGAAGTTCCCTCCTTCTAGATGACTCTAGCGTGTGTCAGGTTGACAGCAAACATCCAGGAAACTAGCTCGGCACCCTGGTGGAGAAGTAGGCGGGGTCTGGGGCCAGGGTCTTAGCTATTGACTCAGAGAGCCTGGAGCTAGAGGGAGATGGGTGTGGGTGCCACCATCCTGGGTGCAGCTGTCCACACTGGCAGCACACTGGATGTGTTCAACCATGGCAAAGTGTCTGGTCTCAAGGCGACAAGGGCCTCTGCCTCTGGAGGGTGCACCAGTGTCCCATCTGCCTGCTCTGAGTGGAGTGTCAGCTTGTGTTCTGTGACCCAGTTGGGACCTTGCTTCTACTTCCCCAGTTCCTGGCAGGATGAGGAGAAAACACTTGCAGAAAGAGTTGGAGAACATTCTGGAGAGAAAATAATCTAAGAGGTACTGAAAACTTCTCAACCAACCCCATGGTACCTGGATCCAAATACAGCCCTCAGAACAATGCCTGCAACCCCTCCCCTGGGCACTGCCAATTTTACCACCCTGCCTTGATCCCATCCACTCGGGGCCCAGGAATATAGAGTAGTTTCTGTTGGGAGAGGCTGCTTGTTAATGCCTGGCTGCCTAGACCCGAAACAACCACACAAAACTGTATTAATTAAATCACTGCTTGGCGTATTAGCTTATGCATATTTCTAGATGACTCTTACATCTTGTAGTAACCCATTTCCATTATTTTTTTACCACAAGGCTTGTGGTTTTCCGGCAATGTTCTGGCGCGTCTGTCTCTGGCGGCAGATACAGGGCTTCTCACTGACTCCACCTTCTTTCACTATAGATATCTCTTCCAGCCTGGCTATATTCTGTTAAGCCATTGGCCAAAAGCAGCTTCTTTATTAACCAATAAAAACAACACATATACAGAAGGACTTCTCACACCAAATTTCTAATGTCAGTGTGGTCATGGCTTATAGACAGTATCTCCTGAACTCAAGATTTTCAGTTTGACCAAAGTCTAGTTCCTGCCTCTACCAGCAATGCTTGCTAACTGTTACTGCCTCTATTCAAGCCCTGAAACCTGGAGCCAGTTGGGAAAACGTTCCCCTGCTGTGTAAAAAACACAAAAGGATGGCTTGGGCTATCTTAATCCCTCAGTTCCTAAATTCATGTATAAGGATTGAGAAAGTGCCAGGCTAGCTATTCAGGACAAAGAGCACTGTGAATCTGAGCAAATGTTTGCCTTCATACAGTATGCAGAATTTAGCATTCCTTCGTTTCAACTCAAAGTGCTCCCTCTGCTGTCTTTTCTGCCACATCCAGCAGTGATAACCCCCTCAGCTCTCCTCGCCTGGAAGGACAGCTTTTCTGAGGACACAGTTCTTATTGGATTAAGCTCTTAGCCCTGTGACGGTGTCCCCTCCCAGTGCTTCTGGTGTCTTCTAAGAATCCTACTGGGCACACTTGGGGTGCTCCCCTATACGCAATATGCGTTTTCTTGCTGCTTTTAAGATTCTGTGTTTTCACTTTTACTGTTTAATTATCTTGCACCTCAAAGCATTCTCCCATTCTTTGGTTCCTCCAAAAAATGTGTGTGTGTGTGTGTGTGTGTGTGTGTGTGTACTGTTGAATGTGAAATGCCCCCCTCCCCAGGTTCCTGTGTTTGAACTCTTTATCCCCGGCTAATTTCATTCCATAGAATCTTCAAGGAGTGGGACTAGGTTGGTAAAGGGAGGACTTTAGGTCCAGCCTTGGTTTCGGTCTAGCCTTCTCTCTGCTTTCTGATGTGCTGTGGTGTGAGAGCCCAGGCTGGGCCCCTCCATGCCTTTCTACGCCATGCCTTCTCTGCCATGAGGGGTATTGCAAGCCACAGTAACTCCTCCCTCCCTTGCAAAGGTTCCATGATGCGTTCTGCCATGACAACCATGACAAGGAGGAAGTGCAGCACAGGGCGCCCCGCCCCAGGGCTGATGAATTCCCAGCAGGCTTCAGTTCTCAGTTCTTCCTGGTGCTGCTGAAAGCTGCCCACTCCTGTGTGAGAGTGTCACCCAGACCCACGCTTTGCCCCTGCTTCTCAGTCTTTTTCCTTTTTGTTTCTCTAACTGGATAATTCCAATGGCCCTACCTTAGGATTTACTGATCTCTCTCCTACATAATCATATATACTCCTGAATTTTCCTGTGGGGGCATTCATTGGCTTCAGGGCTTCTGTCTGGTTCTTTTCAATAGTTTATATTATAATATTTAGCATCTAATTTATATGCTGCTTTCTTAATCCCATCAGTTGACGGTGGTTTCTTGCTGTCTGTTATAGCTTGTTAGACTTTGAGTGTGAAGGAGCCAGCTTCTCCCTTCAGCTCTCCCACAACTGCCAGTTTGTCTCAGCTTAAGTCTGTGTAAACAGAAGTGCTTCCAGGTGCAGGGCTGTGTGTCTGGTTGGGTCTGGTCACATGGCTGCTCTTGTGTCTATAGTGGAGACGGCTGTTTGCAGACCTGTTACAAAGGGCTCTGGTTACTCTGAGTTCTGTTTGGCCACAGGATGGATGCAACTTTCTCCAGGACCTTGGTCTATGGGGCTGTCACTAAAATGAGGTCCCTCCAAGACTCCCAGGATAATGAACCAAAAAGTCACAATGAAGAGGCTGGAGTGTGTTGAATGAGCTGCGGGCTGCGTTCCTGCCACCTGGCTCCTGGCTGCCTGGCTAGCTTATGCCCCAAAATAACAACACACAAACTGTATTCTTTTAAACACTGCTTGGCCCATTAGCTCTAGCCCTTACTGGCTAATTCTCATATCCCGATCAACCCATCTCTAATAATCTGTGTAGCACCAGTCTTACCGGGAAAGATTCAGCATGTCTGACCTGGCGGCTGGCGGCTGGCGGCTGGCTGCATTGCGTCTCTGACCTCACTTCCCTTCTTCCCAGCATTCTATCCTGTCTACTCCACCCACCTAAGGAATGGCCTATCAAATGGGCCAAGGCAGCATGTTTATTGACCAATGACCTTCCTCCATCAGGAGTGTGTTCCCGTCCTCTGGCAAAGCTGCTCTTCAGTTAAGGGAGAAGCTGGGACCAGAACCATGGGGCATTGGCAGATGTTTGGGACAGAGACTGGCAAGTCTGTCCAGGGACTCAGCTGGTGGGGTAGTCTCCTGGCAGACCCCTGGGCAGTCTCCTGGCAGACCCCTGGGCAGTCTCCTGGCAGACCCCTGGGTAGTCTCCTGGCAGACCCCTGGGTAGTCTCCTGGCAGACCCCTGGATAGTTTCCTGGCAGACCCCTGGGCAGTCTCCTGGCAGACCCCTGGGTAGCCAGCGGGGACTGGAACTAGGCTCCAGAGTCCAGTTTAGCAAACCCAACCTGGGGCCCCTGGGAGGTGAGAGTCTGTCCAGTCTTTGTGCAGGACTACTGTCCCTGGAACACAGAGGGCTGGAGTTGAGCTGCAGGGCCCCCTCAGTCTGTGGGCATGGAGCCTGCAGGCCATCCCAGAAGCACACAGATGAATCTCTTATCACCTGTCTGTGCAGTCGGAACTGTTCCCAAGACAGGCTGCATCCAAGGCAGCCTAGAGCCAACCAGGGTCCCTGGTTGAAACACCTGCTGGGAGGTGGAGTTTCACATGCCTGTTGGCTGCATAGGTCTCCTCTCAGCCCTCCTGTGAGCCGGTCTCCAAGGCGCCAGTGGGCACAATCCTTGTAGGTTCCTGGCAGTGGTGATGGCAGTAAACTCATGGCCAGAGATAGCTCCAGCCAACTGGTCTGTCCTCCGAGCATGGGGCCTTCCCTATGACGACAGTCCCCTGAGTCTTGTGTCCAGCAATGTCTCACAAGTGTCAATGTGAATCCCAGGATCCCTCAAAAGCTTTTGTCTACAGATGCCTGAAGAAGTTTCTGTTGGGGGTGGGTTATAAGCAGGGACCTCTTTATTCAATTACCATAATATACGTAACATAAGCATCACCCTTGGCACATTGCTGTAATACACGTAACATAAGTACCACCCATGGCACATTACTGTAATACATATAAATAACATAAGCATCACTCTTGGCACATTACCGTAATACATGTAACATAAGTATCACCCTTGGCACATTACTGTAATACACATAACTTAAGCATCACCCTTGGCACATTACCATAATACACATAACATAAGCATCACCCTTGGCACATTACCGTAATACACGTAACGTAAGCATCACTCAGCACATTCCCGCAGCCATGTGGTTATCACAGATCTCTCATGCTGGAGGGTTTCCATCACCCACAGGATCACCATCATCCCACTGCCTCCAGCCCTAGGAACTCACTGTCTGTGTGATGGTTAATGTGTCAACCTGACGGAATCAAGGAGACGTCCCTCTGGGTAGCTGTTTGTACAATGTCTGATTTAGGATGCATGATTATAAACAGCTGGATTTCCTGTAATCTGCTGCACCCTAAGTGACTGTACAATGATGACACAAGCGGATGTGTGGGTGTACACGAGTGCATACAAATGTGTGTAGAGGCCAGAAGCGGATGTGTGGGTGTACACGAGTGCATACAAGCGCGTGTGTAGAGGCCAGAGATGAACTTCAAGTGTTCTTCCTCAGGAACTGACCACCTTGTGTTTTGAGTCAGAGTCTCTGGGACTGAGATATGGAGGTTACTGGCCCAGCTAAGCTGGCTGGCCAGTGAACCCCAGGCACCTGCCTGCTGAAGCCTTTCTTTCCAGTGCTGGGACCGCAAGCATGTGCCATCACGTCTGGCTTCCAGTCTGGGTGCTGGAAATCAGATGTGGGTTCTCACTGAGCCAGCTTCCCAGCCCCCTGTAGGTGGAGACTGCTCTTTCATTTCCCAGATGCCCAGACCGGAAAAATCACACAGAAACTACATTAATTACAACACTGTCCAGCCAATGACTCAGTCATATTTCTAGTGAGCTCTTACATCTTGAATTAATCCATTTATATTAATCTGTGTATCACTACAAGGGTATGGCTTACCAGAAAGGTTCTGGGTCCTTCTCCTTCAGCAGCTACATGGCATCTCCTTCACCTACTCTCTCTCTCTCTCTCTCTCTCTCTCTCTCTCTCTCTGTTCAGATTTCCCACCTGGCTTTACTTTGCTAAGCCATTGGCCAAAACAGTTTCTTAAACAATGGTAATAAAACATATTCACAGCATACAGGGGGGAATCCCACATCAACCCCCCAAAATAATTTTGACAAACAATGGCTGATTAAAAATAAAAGATGATTCCTGCCTATTTTGTACTATTTGACCTAAGAAATCTCCTTAAATGTTATAATATTTCTCATGTTTTTCTCATGTTACAAGGAATAGACAGCTGGATTGTAGTGCTGGACAGCATGTCTCTGAATTAAGAGGTGGCCCCTGAGATACTGCCGAGCCATCTGAGAAACCTAACATGGGACAGGGTCGTGTGATCAGTGTTTGATGGAGTCGCCCTAGTGGAGCCACTGTCTCTGTTCACACATCTGCACCCAGTAACAATGCTGTGTGCTAAAGGCACATGCTAGGGACTGGGCCATCATCTCCTCTGGGGTAAAATCCTTAGTTTCCAGCTGTGTGGTGGTAGTGCACCCCTTTAATCCCAGCACCCAGGAAGCAGAGGCACATGGCTCTCTGAGTTCATAGGATAAGCTGCTGGTCCACAGAGTGAGTTCCAGGACAATCAGGGCTATGCAGAGAAACCCTGTATCAGAAAGAGAGAGAGAGAGAGAGAGAGAGAGAGAGAGAGAGAGAGAGAGAGAGAGAGAGAGAGAGGCAGAGAGACAGAGAGACAGAGAGGAAAAAAGGAAGAAAAGAAAAACGAGAAATCCTTAGTTTTCCAAAGTTCCACCTTGCTTCTCCATTTTAGTTTTTACCACTTGAGAGTTTTTTATTCATTAATTTCTGGAGCTCTTGGATTATTCTTTTGACATCTAATCCATTTTTGGAGGCTCCGAAAGTAGCCTCATTGAAAGGGAAAATGAGAACAAAGTTGCCTTCCTGGTCATTGGGTGTGGAGCCAGCTTCCATGAGGATGGCCTTGTGCCCCTTGGTCCTGTGGGGCTGTGGCTGAGCTGACGGTGCACATGAAGAGAGTGCCTTGCGAGGCGTGTGCCAAGCCCTGGCCTTTGGCTGCTTCCTCAGGAGTCCGTCTTGCTTGTTCATCCTCTCTCTCAGCTGGGAGGTCCGCGTGGGCTTGGGACGGATGTCGGTGGCTCTGTGTACAGCCGAGTTGGCTTCACTGCACGTCCTGCTGGCAAACCGTATGAGAGACACGCAGGGAAGGGGATCAGAGGCTGTGCAGAGCTCACTGTCACTCCTGGCGAAGGAGACCCTGGAGCAGCCTGGAGAAGCCCTGCTGCACTTCTCCTCAGTTCTTAGGCCGTTTAAATAAATCAGTTCAGCGATGTCGTGGACAAGGCTTCTCTTCACAGAGACATCTGTGGAGCAGTCCAAGGACAAAGCAGGGCTGTAGTTGACTTCCAGAAGCCACGGTTTCAGGTTGTCATCAATGAGGATGTCAAGCCTGAAAAACTCGAAGCAGTTGTAGGCAGCGGGGACCGTGGGAGCCACGGCCAGGACCGTGAGAATCACCACGTGGTTGATCTTCCGCCACAACCGCAGGTCATCCACATCCCAGTTCCTAAGGTAAGAGAAGAACCTGCTGAGCGTCCACTTGCAGCATTGACCCACCACCTCCTTGATCTTCTCATACGAGGCTCCAGATTGGTTGATGCTGCTGTTGGTCAAATGGGCATAAGCGTCTTGCAGATTCCCAAGGTCAAACTTTTCAGTGGCGAACCGCACCAGCCCTTCGCGGTACATATAGATGGTCAAAGGCCTGAAGCCGGTGACGCAGACGTAGATGCGGAGGTCACACTTGTACCTGCCCATGAGCAAAGGGTTGCAGATGTATTTCTGTGCCACATGCATGCCCTTGAAGATGAGATCTCGAATGTCGCTGAAAATGATGATTCCCCCCTCCCCCGAGACAGCTCTGCCGGCTTGCAGATCCAGTACATAGGTTTGGTACCCAGCACTTGCTTCTCCTGGAAGTACTCGGCCACAAACTTGGTGTAGTCACAGGGCATGATGAACGTTAGGGGCGTGAACTCATAGATGGACTCGCAGTAGAGCCTTCTCATGTGTGCCAGGCTCTTGGCCAGGCAGTCCTTCCTGGTGAGGGTGGTCGTCCCCGGGTGGTGGTTCAGCCTCTGCCAGGGTTTGACATTGACATGCTCTGCCATCCTGAAGGAGGACGTCCTCCAGTAGAGATTCCAGTCCTCCACGTCCTGATGCTGCTCATCAAACTGGTCCCACCCGCGCTCCAGGAGGACGCTCTGCACGACTCTGGGTGTGCTCTCGTCCACTCGGAACACCAGTGGCTTCAGGGTGATCCCGGGGGCTTCGTCTTCCATCCTCAGAGAGTTTCTTTTCTAAACGTTGATCATGCAGGCAGTTAGGCAACAGCTGCATGTCGTGTGCATCTTGGTGGTGCGTGGCCCTTCTCTTTTGGTAAGAGCCTTCTCCCTGTGTCTGCTGTGGGGTCTCCTGGTCTCTGAGAACCCTGGTAACACAGAGACCCCATCACAGTGAACATAGCTTAGCTCAGTGAGCTTCGGCCATTTAGACATCAAGTGGGGACAGACGGGAGCCACAGACCTCCGGCACCCCTCTTCAGTCCTGTGACAAACCCTGGGAGGAACTGTGCGAGGAGGGAAGGTTGGTGTCAGCTGCCGACTGCTGACATTTCCGTCCACAGCTGATGGGCTCACTTGTGTTAAAGGGGAGGCAGACTATCCCAGCAGGGCGAGTGTGTGGCAAAACTGCTCATCCCGTGGTGGCAGGAAACACAGGAGCAGACAGGAGAAGGACGGCAAGTTGTGTCCTCCAGCTAGGCCCTGCCCTCCTGAGTCTCAGTTTCTCAATATAATATTCAGGGGATGGATGAGGACACTGATGAGGACAGTCCTTGGACTCCCCCTTCCTCTCAGGAGTACCTCCTTTTCCTTAGTAGGACCCACGCACTTCCTATGTACCTAAGGGAATGGCCAGATGCCCCAGTAGGCCATCTTGTTCATCCCTGCACCCAACATCAACACCCATTTTGGAAACACTGGCTGTTCAAAGGATTCGAGTTGAACTCAGTTTGTTGAAATAAGAGCGGCGGGGCTGCGTCCCCAACACCCCAGCTGCTTGGCTAGCTCATGCCCGAAATAACAACACACAAACTGTATTCATTTAAGAACTGCTTGGCCCATGAACTCTAGCCCTTACAGGCTAATTCTCGCACCTGGACTAGCCCATTTCTAATGATGTGTGTAAGTACCCCAAGGTGCGCTTACCGGGAAGATTCTAGCCTCTGTCCATCCTGGGAGAGCTTCATGCGTCTGCCTCAGAGCACAGAGCTATCCGGTCTCTCCCGGAGCAGAGCAGAGTCTGACCTCACTTCCTCTTCCGCCCAGAATTCTATTCTGTTTATTCCTCCCACCAATGCTTTAACCTATGAGCCCAAGCAGTGTGTTTATTACTTAACCAATGAAATCAACAGACTGATATATGACACTCCCACATCATCAGTTGACTCTCCTCTACCTGCGTGGAGAAGCACTCCCCTTGGCCTCCTTATCACAGACATGAATTCCAGTACCGTTTGCTCTGCAGGGCCAGCACCCAAGGCATCCCGGAGATGCATATTTCGGGTTGAAGTGTGCCTGTAGGTACATAGCCTGGGTGACTCAGTCTACCTCTCTGGCTAAGTCCCCTTACTCAGGTTCTGTGGTGTGCAGGCCAGTACGTACTCACTGACCAGCCTCTGCCTCTCCAGAAGGTTCTGCTGATCTGTCCCCACACCCAACCTAAAGTACAGGAATGGCTTCTCGTCGGGTCCAGACGCCAAGAGTGGGTGCTGTCCTCTATACCGCTAGGTGGACGTGGGCAGGATGGCAGAAGTGCTTGTTGCTTAGCGATGCAGTCTGCTGTCCTCACAAAGGGAAGACCTTCCCTTCCTCAAAGACTGGCAGCCGGGATCCTAGCAGCTGAGTGCCAGAGGGGCTCATTTGTGCCCTGAGAAGTTCAGTGTCACTGCCTGGGGACTCTGAGACCCACCTGTCATGAGCAAGGCGTTAGCCTCCTCTGGAGGTGGGACTTGGCTTCCTGGGATCCCCTTGTGCTGTGTATTTATCCACAAAAGCAGATGGGTGTCTAGAATAGATCTTTACTATTCTGCTAGCTCCAGCGATCCTGACCACACTCCTCCCTCAGCTAAGGCTGTTGTTAGTCCTTCCAGCGTCCACGACAGGGGCCTGAGCACTGCCAACGCAGCGAATCTCCTTGGGGGCCAGAGGACTCATCTAATGATTTGCTCTGAGCCGGCAATCCTTCTCAGCCCACCCAGCTGCCAGCACTGCCGACTGTTGGTTAACTGTTAATGTATTTCAGATACACTAAGTCATACCCAAGATGCCGACTGAACTCTAGCAGGGCTGGTGGTGTGCAGCCCTCAAGTCATTTTTCTTTCTTATTATTAATTATTCATTATCTTCCAGCTCTAGATGCCAGTAAATTCTGTAAAAAATGAAGTATAATTAAGTTTGTGTTTTTCATAAGCATACACAGGAGACTGGGTTTGACATATATTATTTGGATTAGTGTATCTAGTCCAGGAGGTAGCAGAGCAAGGCAGTTTCTGGGTCTGGATTAGCTGGAAATCCTAAATTTATTCAACAGTCTTTAATTTTCCCCTCCATTTGAGGGGATAAGCTACTAGAAGCTGTGTTCTCTTTGTGCCTGAACATCAGAGCCGAGGGAGAGGGACCACCCTAGGCCATTGCCAAGAGCACTTGGACATGGAGACACATCTTCTGGACCGTGTTTTCACAATCCCAGACTGCCTGGCTGGGAGCTGGGTCTCTCTTGGTTCCTGCTGGGTTTCGTTCTGACTCAGTTCTCTCCTGGGCTGCGTGCCCACATAACCTCATGGGAAGGCTGGGAAGAATGTGGTAGCCCAGTAACAGCCACTCTGAGTCTGGCCTTGTGGCTGTTGAGCAGTCCCAGAGAAGCATTGACTTGTCCCGTGGAAGGATGGAAAGTCATGATGTGCCCACCACTGTGGCCCAAATCCATCCCTAGCATCGCCTTCTGGACTCATATAACTAAGTTCTTCTGTGCAAGAGACAGAATGCTTGGCCCCAGCAGAGCCCCAAGAGCCCTCCCCACCATCTCCCCAAAGATAAGCACTCCTTGGCCCCTTAGGCCTGCCTGTTCTGTGTTAATTACATGTATCTCTCCCTTGATTATAAAATGGTCACATCTGTTTTAAGTCCTTCGACATCCCCGAAGTCTGGAGGACTATACACGAAAGTCCATCTCTCCCGAGGTGCAGGCGCTGTGCCTATGGTGGGCTTTGTCACCTGGCTGGAAGACTGTTGGGGACAGAGAAGACTTCGACGTTCCATAAAATGTCATTGCTTTCATGTCACATTCCAGCACAACAGAGAGTCCATGCTTCCTGTCCCATCATCCACATGGAGTCGTCCTGTGCTCATACAGGCCACGGGCCTCATTCCTCCTCTAACCAAATGCCCCAGCACAAGAACCGCAGTCATGGTCAGAGCCTGGTCCGTCTCTGGGCCCTGGTTTTCCTTTCCCTGGTGTTTTCCTGGTTCCTCCCATTCCTCCTGACCCTCATTACCTGGCAAGGCCCAAGGATGCAGACCCCAGAACGCCGCATTCTCCACCCCACCAGGCAGAGTTGGGCTCTTCTGTGTGTGACCGGTCACCTCTGTGATGGGAACATCCAACACAGTCATCTCTCCTGTGAATTCCAGCCTCATTCTCTATCGATAATGTCCAGGCAAAAAGTAAAAAAATATAGAATGTCAGCAACGTATAAGTGACACACCCAGAAGGAGGGAGAACATGAGCAAGGAAGTCAGGACCGCGAGGGGTGCGCCCACCCACTGTGACAGTGGGACTGATCTAATGGGAGCTCACCAAGGCCAGCGGGACTGGGACTGAACGAGCATGTGATCAAACCGGACTCTCTGAATGTGGCTGACAATGAGGGCTGACTGAGAAGCCAATGATAATGGCACTGGGTTTCGATTCTACTTCATGTACTGGCTCTGTGGGAGCCTAGTCTATTTGGATGCTCACCTTCCTAGACCTGGATGGAGCGGGGAGGACCTTGGACTTCCCACAGGGCAGGGAACCCTGACTGCTTGTAGGACTGGAGAGGGAGGAGGAGGGGGAGTTGGGGGAGGGGGAGGAAATAGGAGGAGGTGGAAATTTTTAATAAATAAATAATAAATAAAACTCAAAAAATAAAACGTAAATAAAATGAAAAAGAATTGACACACCCTGTGCCCGGATGTTGGGGTCTTACCCATGAGTCAGACACTCTCCAAGTAAGGAAGGAACAGGTCTATTCCTTAATAGGTCAACCTTCTGGTTTTTTTTTTCTCTCATCGCCATATCCTGCAGACTCTATCTAGAAAGTACATCCCAAACCTGACCACTTACCTTGACCCTGTAGGGTAGGCACTGCACTCGTGCACGCCATCCCTCAGGGTCTTCCTGACCCTCTGTCTCTTACCCTGGTGCTGACCCTTCTTGTCTTTCTTGCCCCACTGCTTTGTGGCCTCAGTTGCCCTCTGACTCATTTCACACTGTCTGTGTAAAAGAGAAGTTTCTCCAGAGTGGAGTCTGGTTTTGTCCCTGCTTTCCGGGTTGAGTCTAAGACAATGTTAATTACACCCATGTCATGTGAAGGAATGAGCCTCCTAATTTGTTCCTGTGATTACAGTCCTGTGTTACATGTGAGCCTGTTTTACATTCTCTGCACTGAAGACAGACTAAGAGCAAGCAGGCTTCCATCTCAGAGGGGCCACTGCCTATGAAACTGGGCCCAGAGAGGGCAGGGTAGGAGATGGTGGGGAGGAAGAAGTAGAAGAGAGACAGAGAGAGAGAGATGAGGGGCCCTAGACAGAAGGCTTTCCAAAGCAAGAACAGCAGGCACTGGGGTTCTCATCAGCAGAGTGTGAGATCCATGTCTCCGTCAATGCCTCCAACTTGATTTTCTTAAGGATGCCATTCTCAGAATGTCACTCGGTGACTCAGGGGCTGGAGATGGTGCATGCATGAAACACCTTTGATTACAGTACAGGCTCTATGCATGAATTATGTTTGACTTCACAACAGTGATAACGGAACATCAAGCATCCCGTTTGAAATCCTTCCAATGGCCTCCTGACATGGCAAGCCCGCATGTGTGTGCGTGTGTGCACGTGTGCGCTCATGCGTGTGTGCATGTGGTGTGTGAGTGTGTGTGTGAGAGAGAGGGAGAGAGAGAAAGATACATGTGAGTGTTTAGAACACATATTTAGGCAGGAAACAGAGGCATAAACTTTTTATTTAGAGAAGCCCCCAGGGAATTTCAAGAGGCACGCGCTGCGGAGTGGCTAACCCCTGTGAGCTTTGTTCAGTTGGCTTTTGTGTCCATTTGTAAAATCTGTGGCATTAGATGTTTACCCATTTGTAAAATTATGGTGTTTGTAAATGTATGGTTCTTCCAACTATTAAACACAACAGCAAAAACTAAGGTAAACCTACTCTGGAAATATTTGATGTTTCATTTAATATCTATAACAGATACTTCCGTGTAGTGTGTGTGTCTGTCTGTGTGGTGTGTGTGTGTGTGTTTGGTGCCAGTGTGTGTATATGTGATGTGATGTGATGTTATGTGTGTGTGTGAGTGTGTGTGCATGATGTGTGTGTATGATGTGTGTGTGTGGTGTATAATGGCCAGAGGTTGACATTAGGTGACCCCAGTTTCTGTTAACCTCAGTACGGTTTTCACTGGACCCGGAGCTCATGGGTCTGGCTAGCCTGAAGAGCCAATGAGCTCCATGGACCTCTCTGCCTCTGCCTCCCCAGTGTAGAACGCACAATGGCAAGTGTGCACTGCCATTTCCAGTCCCTGCCTTTGTTTTTTAACGTGTGTCGGGGTTCAAGCTGGTGTCTGCATGCTTGGCCTGGAAAGTACTGTACGGACTGAGCCATCTCCCCTGCCCCTGTACATAGGTGTTGCCTTCTTTTTGTGGAAGTGGGGACTGAACACGTGGCCTTGTGCGTGCTGAGCCAGCACCCCAGCGCTACGCTATGTTCCCGGCCCGTTGCATATATACCCTTGATCTCTGCGAGTAGAAAAATGGACTGGAAATTTGTCAAGTTGAGAAAAATCCATAAAAAAATACTCTCCAGAATGTCCAGATATTGCTGAAACAGTTAGCGGGTGTCTACCTACTGAGTGCCGCCATACAGACCTCCTCTGCTGACCCGGGCTGAAGTTTCGGCCATGGCTAGGCTGAACTCATATCTCTGTCTTCATTTCTTCTTTTCCTGCCTCACTTTTCTCTCCTGCAGGAGGGGCCTTGCCAGCAGCCCTGGATTCCAGGTACTCAGCAGTCCCGTAAGCCGTGATGGTCAGGCTCAAGATGCCCAAGAGAATATAGAGCTTGGTCCTCACACACAGGAACGAGCTGTACCCAAAGGCGATGACGAACCCCAAGGCTTCCCCAAGGCGGTAGTTCGCAAAAGCAGCTTCCTTTTTCTTCTCAAACAGGACGCCGTACAGAGCTGTGGAGGAGAGACGCGAGTGAAAAGGTTGTATAAGACGCCAAACAGGACTCGGGGCCTGTGTGAGAGTCTGAGCGCAGGCTCCCAGTATCTGCAGAAAATGCCAGGCACTGCCCTATAATCCTAGTCCTGGGAGACAGAAGGGAGGATTTCTGGGGCTTGCTAGCCAGCTCACCCAGCTGAATTTTTGAGACTCTGTCTCAAATATTGAGATAGAGAGTGACTAAGACAGTGTTGGCCTCCACATGCACACGTGTGCATTTGTACACAGATATCACATACATACCCAAAACACATGCACACACATATACCACCAATAAGCACAGAGACACACAACAGGGTCCATTAAATTAATCCTGATAGAGAGACTTTGTCACTGCCAGCTTTCTTGAAAAAAAAATCTGGATTTTTTTTCTTAAAAACAAAATAGTACATAATTATGCTGACAGTTAGGTGAGGCCCTCCAGCAGTGGGCAGCACGGGAGAGGGAACATGGAGACGCAGAGCAGTCGCTGCCGAAGGGAGCTGGCCTCCTCTAGGGATAAAGAAAGAATTCAGTGTGTGTTGTTGTGGAGTTTGTGACCCTGTGGAAAAGATCATAGACTCAACCCAACAATAGTTAAAAGATTTATTGATTAGCTTCTGGCAGGATAAACCATCTCTGCGCCAAATTTGGGACTGCCGTGAGAAGGAGAGCTAAGGGAGGAATGGGAAGGCACGAGAAGACTCCGTATCTATGCAAGCCAGCAAAAACCAGTCTGATCTGCCAAGTGAAGGGGTTAAGGCAGCTCAGAACAATCCTTAGGTGTCTGCATAAGCAAGTTACAGAAGCAAAAAAGCAATTAGTCTTATAGCAAGTAGATGGTCACAGCTGTTCAGTTTTGGGTGGCGGTCACTGAGTCAGGGTTACTGGGAACTTATCTTCCAGGGGCTGGAGTCGGAGACGAATGGCTGGTGGGTACCAGGATGGATGCCTGGCATGAATGGAGTTTCTTTCACCCTCACAGTGTAAGACGAGGTGGAGCTCCTCACCTGTCCCCAGGACCAAAGGGAAATGAGTTATATTCACAGGAACCCATATTTGTCCTTCCAAGGGTATGCCGCCAACACTCAACAGTAGTAGCCTCGCAGGTGATGCCCACTGCCCAGTGTTTAGAAGCAGTCAGTGACACTTGAAAGTTCTTAAGCCTTTATTACTAGTTCTGTGACTATTATTATTATTATTATTATTATTATTATTATTATTATTATTTTGAGACCGGATTATTCAGCAAAACAATCCTGGCTGTCCTGGAACTCACTCTGTAGACCAGGCTGGCCTCGAACTCACAGAGATCTGCCTGCCTCTGCCTCCCGAGTGCTAGGATTAAAGGTGTGCACCACCACACCTAGTATGACTTTTACCTTTTTAATGTGCTCAACAGTCTCTTTTTTCCCATTTTAAATTGTCACACAGCACCTCTGTACATGTGTGTATATGTGCACTCCTGAGACCTCCTGGAGCAGGGGTCTGGCAGAGGGAACAGTGAGAGAAGCCATGTTTATCACACTCCCCAGCCTATGGTAATTTTTATTGGTTACAGCAAACTCAAAACTCGCACAGCCCGATGCTTTTCCGCTTCTGAATGAAATCACCTTTGCTTCCTGTGTTGGACAGGGCATTTTTGATAGATCTGGATGAGAGCGGCAAGAATCCCATTGCAAAACGTGGCTGAGTGGCAGGTGCATCAAGGAGGGGATCAATGAGGAAATGACAGGCCCTGGTGACTTGCTATGGTCTCTCCACACTCCAGATGGCTGTGCCAGCTCCTACTCACACAACCTCCCTCTTCACCAAGGCCGCCCTCAGCCCCTGCATGTGTAACGACATGGCAGCCTGAGGTGGGACCATGGATTCCGTGGCAGGGAACAAAGATGCCTTTAGACAGAGCTTACACTGGAAGGAAGTTTATTGGGGAAGGGAAAGGGAGAGAAAGAGACAGTGACCTGTCTCCTCAGAGAGAGAAGAGAGAGAGAGAGAGAGAGAGAGAGAGAGAGAGAGAGAGAGAGAGAGAGAGAGAGAGAGTAGGTGGAGCTTGTCTCTTAAAGGGACCTTTGCATCTGCATATAGACTTCATAGTGATGTAGCAGCCATAGGACCCTGGGCGCGTCCTGCCAGGTGACAGGAGTCAGCATAATGTCTCAATCCTAGCAGCACTGCCCCTAGAAATCCTGCTTGGCTTCCCATAATGGGCCAGGAGGGAGGACCCTAAGACGGAGGACTCAGGATAAAGAATGCCATGACACAGGATGGGGTCCCCAGAATGAAATATCTTGGGTAGAAAGGCCCAACATGGAAGGATCCTAGGATGGAGGACCCAGTGTAGAGACATTCTAGATGGAGGGCCCCAGGGCAGGAGAGTAAGAAGTCTAGGACTGATAACTATGAAGACTGAAACTGATCCATCTGGGAACTGGACCAGCAGAAGTGGCCCCGTCCCTTCCTCTCTGTGAACACAGCTCCACCAGAAGCTGCGTCCCAGACAACTGAGAAGCTAAGGATTTTGGGTGCATAGCCTAAACTGCCTTTGCAGAAGACCCGCGGATCTGGGCAGAGCAACCACTGTCTCTTCAGGAATGCCTGCTCATCAAACCAGCTCTGAGGGAGAGGTGTTCACATCAGCTATGACCAGACAGAGAAGGGAGGAGTCATGTCTGTCCATTTGTCCACACTGGTAACAACCAGACAAGTGAAGAGAAAGTCCATGAGAAAATAGACATCCATGCCAGAAGTATCCAGACGGATGGGTGAGGGGGCATGGCAAGGAGGTGACCATCCCAGGGTTAACTACACAGACATGGATGCCAAGTGCAGGGCATCACCCAACACAGATCTCAGAGCAGGAAATGGAGGTTTATGGCAAACTGGGGAAATCCCAGGGCATCTACCGTTTGTGAGCCACAGGGAACCCATGTCCTGATAGCAGCCAACCTGGCTATGAAAGATGATTATTAGGGGCTGGACCCTGGCTCTATGCGGACTTTATACCGTCTCTGCAGCTTGTCTGTAAACATAGGCTATTGTGAATTAATTATTGTTTTGCTCTCAGCAGCAGCCTGACCTGGCTCCCTCAGCTGTGCAGGGCACTTGAGGCTAAAGTGACCAAGACCCTGATTCCAGTCGTTAGGTGAGGGGATGTTGAGTGAACTGACAGGCGTCTCATCTGTTGGGAAGACAAATGGGCACTAAGAAGTCAGACTCTGTGCCCCTGTGAACTTGAAAATTAGCCCCTTCAGCAGCCAACGGGGCGGAGTGTATTTTTAGATGCGCATTCTATGTCTTAGACGCAGTGCAGTGGCATGTGAGGGTTGCTATAGCAACGACACTCGTCCTCTCTCAGTAGTCAGACTGGATGGACAGATAAGGTCAGATTTACTGGGAGGCTGCAGAAGCCCCCAAGCCCTGGGGCACCCAGCCTCGCAAAAGGAACCGTGTCTGAGTCCTACAACAATGACTCAGTTGGGGGAGCTCTCTCATGTCTATGAATAAGAAGAGAACATACTATCACGTCTGTCCTTTGTGTGTACATGTGCATGTGTGTGCAATCAGAGGCCAGAGGAGGACACTGGGCATCCTGCTCAGTCACTCACATCTTACTCCCTGAGACAGGGTCTCTCACTAGAACGTGACCTTTCGGTTTCCTTGCTAGACTGCCTGGCCAGCAAGTGTCAGCAATTCTCCTGTCTCAGTTCCCCTTTTCCAGTGCTGGGGTCACAAGCTCCAACCTGGAGATCCAAATGTCTCAGTTCATCGAGTTGTTCATGGAGCAAGTGTTCTGGTCCACTGTGCCATCTCCGCTGCCCCACAGGATACTGTTCTTGAGATGTGACCAAAACTGCATGTAATCTGCCACATCGAAGAGGGACAGGCAACCATCTGGATGCCGTGTGGGCGTGTTGTGTTGTGGGAAGCTTGGCGGAGCCAGCTACAGGAACTCGGCACAAAACAACACTCCTCACTGGGGTGGCTGCAAGCGCACACTTTTGAAGAAACTGGTTTGTCTTTTAACAACAAACATCACACTTTTACCTGTACAAAAGGATTGAAATTATGTGATTTTAAATTAGCATCCCTTATTCAATCGAGTCATTGTCCAAGACACTAACCGAACTTGAGTGCTCATAATATACATAAATATTGGGTCTTAGGTAATTTTCATAGTTTAACAAAGGTGCTTTTCCGGGTGTTTTCTGTCCATATAAAGAAAGGGGGAAGTAAAGTGATTATTCATATATTTCAGAGAGAAAGAAAGTGAGATGTTTTTACTGTGATAATTTTAAGTTTCCACTGTGCTGGAGTGCGGGATAAAGCGGGCTGTCTATCCAGGTGCCTTCTGTGCTTTTGTAAATGCTTTGAAAATTCAGTGAGTTCAGAAGGTCGTCCGCACACAGAGGATGGGGTCCACACGTGTTTCAGCGAACTCTTAGGCCTGTGTGGGGTTTGATGCAATTTCTCTCTGGTGCTGGCTGGATAAGCTAACGTCACTAGCTGATCTGCCATGTCACTGGCTTTTAATTCTGGACTTCTGAGAAGAGCTAAAGTGAGTTTCTGATCACACACACACACACACACACACACACACACACACACACTGAACCCATATATTCCTAAGAACAGGAGTATGTCCCAGCCCATGGAAAGTCTAGCTGTTTGTTCCTAGTTACTGACTTTGGTCAAAAACAAACAAAAAACTAGATGAAAGCCCCACCAGAGCACACACTGGCCATTTGGTTCAGCCTCCACTAAAGCCAACTGCACTATGGAGTCAGTTAGACCCTCTGGATCCAACTGTTTTAGATTTCTCTAATAGCACACTGGGATTACAGCAAGGACAAGCTCTGAAGGATGCGGGTCCACCGTCTGCGGCCACACGCTGCAGATTCAGAAAGAGTGGCTGGGCCTCCCATCCCTGGCAAGCCTAATTTCAAGGTGTTGCCAGTGTTTAAGCCTGATTGTGCTGGGAAAGGAGTAACTTATGAACCATATGCGTCTCAGGGCTCCCTCAGGCCGCTCACCAAGACATTTCAGATTCTGGACACAGAGCCCTTCCTTTCCTGCCCCTTGGGCACAATCCAGGCTGCTAGGCATTTAGGGCTGAGGGTTCTGACCTTGGCCTCATTATGTCATTTATGACCATCATCCGAATACACGCCCTGTCACCTGTCCTGCGCCGCGGCCATCCACACGACATTCCGTATCCTTCTCGCCTAGTGCCCTCCCTTGGAGTCCTCTGAGCTGCTGATCTAGGGTAGAAGTGAGAGCTTCCAGCACATCCAGTGCAAACACTCTGGTTCCTATAACTCATTGTCACACCACTGACCCTCCTGCTGATTCTCTTGGAGCCTCCTTGTGCAGCCCCTGGGCCTGGTGAGACGGCATTCCGGAGCCGAGCCACCCTCCTGTCCAGTCATGCCCCTGCCTTACTGGTCTTGCTCACCTCTAGATGGCACACTCTACCTGGGGAAAGGTCTCTCCCAGGTGGCTTCTACCAGGGCTTCTTCATAGTTATTCCAACTTTCTACCGCTAGTCAGTTCTCCAAGGTCAAGAGGTCATGTTCCCCATCTCTGGCTCTGTGGGTGTCTATAGGACTTTCTCACCTCCATTTCTGATCCTGACTGTCAGCAGGAGCTTTAACCTGCCCACAGGCATCTTCCTCCTCTGTGTCCCTGTCCCCATCTTCAGGATACAGGGTAACATGTGTGCTAGCATCCCACGTCCCTATCTGGATGCGCTATAGCTCCTCCCTGCCATCACCTCCTCTGGCTCCTCGTCTGTGCACACCTGTGAGCACTCCAGGGCACCCCATGCTGTGGGGAGCCCCTGGTCTCACCCGCCCCTCCCTCTGCATCATGTGTACTCAGACATGAGAACACAGTCCTTGAGACCTGGCTGTCTCTTTCTCACTTCCCTTGTCCCCAGAGTTGCCTTCTACTGGGGGCTTCAACTAGACATACACAGAGACCTTGATTTCCACCTTAGTGACGGCCTTCTGGCCTTGCTACCCTCAAGAGAGCTTACTGAGGGAAACTGAGGCACCATGAGCCTGTGCTGGGCACTCACCGTTGTTCTGTGTCTGCCAGACGGCATCTGCCATTCCCCACAGGCCAGAGAGGATGAAGAAGACAGGCAGCTGGGCTGGGTTCGGGCGCCACAGAAGGAGGATGATAATGCAAACGAGGTGAATGGTAGCACCTGTCAGAGGACACAAGACAGGACCGTGGGTGGCTGTCCCCTCTGCCTGGGATGGTGGGGACCTCAGGTCCTATACCCATGTGCTTGCGGATTTTCTAATGCTTTCATACAGCGCATAGAATCAGGATGGTACAGAGAAAGCACGGGTGTGTGGACAGAGGAAGCACAGGTGTGTGAGCAGAGGAAGCACAGGTGTGTGAGCAGAGGAAGCACAGGTGTGCGAGCAGAGGAAGCACAGGTGTGCGAGCAGAGGAAGCACAGGTGTGTGAGCAGAGAAAGCAGAGTGTGTAAGTGCGTGGCTGACTCTAACAGGGGACCCTCTGGACCATGAGGACCCACAGAACCCATAATCTCATCAGGACTCTGAACTGTGGGACCCCAGCCCCTGCTGTGTGGCTGGGGGACCGACAGGTTGTCTCCTACAGTGTGAGCTAGGCTTCTAAACAGTCGGGGGGTGAAGAGAGAGCCCTGGACAGTGATCTCTGGGCTTGTTCCTTGGGGCACAACTTCTGTGGCAGATCTCTGTGAGGCAGAAACAAGTACTTCCTTGTGCCGTAGAATATTTGTTTAACTGGGTAAAGATGGGCTGCATTTGTTTATGCTGTAGAATAATTCTTTGACTATCTAAAGATGCGTTGCTTTCCTAAGGCCCCTGATTGGTCTAATAAAAAGCTCCAGGGCCAATAGCTAGGCTGAAAAGGGACAGATGGGACTGGTGGGCAAAGAGAAAAGGGGACCTGGCCAGACAGACAGACAGACACAGAGAAAGTAGGACATACAGAATGAAAGACAGGTAAAAAGGCTCATGGCAAAGTAGATGAATAGAAACCAGCTAAATTAAGGTTAAAAAGCTAGTTAGAGACAAGCCTAAGCTAAGCCTGAGCATTCAGAATTAACAAGAAGTCTCTGTGTCATAATTTTGGGCCTGGCAGTCCAAGAAAGCTGGTTACACTTCCCCTTGTTGGAGGAAGGCAAAGGGTGTCAGGGGGCACAAGGAGAGCATCATGGGAGGCGGGCAATCGTGCTGCCTACAGGGCTTCCCTTTCTGAGGCTCTCACTGCCCTGTGTGTGCCCTTTACATGGGCCCGGGGCATATGCTGACCCGAGTGTCTACTTACCCGTCACATAGAGCGCCGCCCTGCCCGTGTACTTGGAGATCTTCCCATACAGCAGGGAGCACAGGGAGGTGACAGCCGAGAAGCAGATCATCACATAGCCCACGAAATGGATGCCCAGGGCACAGGTGGCATAAGACTGGGAAGAAGCACAGAGCTGCATTACTGGCGTGTACAGGCCTCCCTGTGGTTCCAGTCTGCAGCTACCACGTGACAGCTGACACGCTGATATGGCCCAGGAACTGCAGCTCCCAGCCTGGGAGAGCAGCACTGGTATACGGAAGAGGGCCTGCTTTGGGCCAGAATGGACAGACATCTGGACAAACCCCTTCCCACATTCTTCACCCTAGGTGTAGACACTATCTTATAGAGCATTAACAAAGACGCTGACATGTCCCATCATTTCCTATTAGGCCTAAGGACAGGTGAGGGAAATGCAACCTCCATAGACCGCTAGGGAGGCCACTGGGCGGCCTCAAAGCTTGGCTCCATTACTGGCAGAATCAAGGACATTTAGGATAAAAGGTTGGAACAAGGAGGCTGGCTGCATTGGCATAGCTGGCTGGGGCTGGAACGATGTGATGTCTGATGGGACAGGAGGCCCATGCACATTGCTGAGGTGTTGGGCTGAAGTGTTGGGGGCGTGTCCTGCCAGCTGCAGAGCCCAATGGTGCAGAGGAAGAGGGAGGATGAAGAGGAGGACGTGCAGGACATGATGAGAGGCGTGACTCCAGAGAGTCACCTGACGATGGAGAAGTCAGTGAGGTGGACATGAAAGGCCACAAACAGGACCAGGACCAGGGGGTGATCTAGGTAGACAAGCAAAGGGGGCCTCGGGGTGATTCCAGGTTACCCTGACCCATCTTGCAGCCACAGCCTCAGTCCCTCAGCCCACAGCACATGGCTGTGGTGCCTGAAGCTGTCCTTTAAGTCCCCTCAGCTGCTGCCAAGACATGGTCTCCTTAGGTCCTCGCAGCCATCCATCAGTCTTCCCTTGAGTGCTAAGAGCCTGAGCCATCCCACCTTCCTGGCTGGTACCCCTCTTCTTGGCTGCTGGTGTGGTCCCTTTCTAACCTTCTTTAATAAAGACCCAAGACTGATTCCCTCCACCATCAGCTCCCCGCAAATGGTGGTACTACTGGATGAATCCAGGATACCTAGATATTGCCCAAAGCACACTTGTCCGGCAATGACTGCAGTTTATGGGAATTCAGGTGAGGCTGAATGCCTGCTGTCTGCCTGCTGTCTGTCTGCTGTCTGTCTGTCTGCCTGCTGTCTGCCTGCTGTCTGTCTGCTGTCTGTCTGCTGTCTGTCTGCTGTCTGTCTGCTGTCTGCCTGCTGTCTGCCTGCTGTCTGTCTGCCTGCTGTCTGTCTGCCTGCTGTCTGCCTGCTGTCTGTCTGCCTGCTGTCTGCCTGCTGTCTGTCTGCCTGCTGTCTGCCTGCTGTCTGTCTGCCTGCTGTCTGTCTGCCTGCTGTCTGCCTGCTGTCTGCCTCCTGCCTCCTGCCTCCTGCCTCCTGCCTCTGCCTCCTGCCTCTGCCTCCTCCCTCCTGCCTCCTGCCTCCTGCCTCCTGCCTCTGCCTCCTGCCTCCTGCCTCCTGCCTCTGCCTCCTGCCTCTGCCCTAGGGTCACCATGAACCAGAGTGTACCAGGAAAGACTCTCACCCACCCAGGAGGGAGAAGACTTCTAGGACAAGTGGCTCCCTCCCTCCACAGCTCTGGGATTCCTTAGAAAGACAGAGCCTGGGGTCAGCCCTCCCACAGAAGACAGCAGTTGTGATTCAGCCAATAGAGAATAGCCGGCTTTGTGTCCCTACTGCCTGTGTTGTCCCATGTGAAAGACTTTCCGTGAGCACAAAAAAGTTCATAAGTGGAAGAGCCGGCGTTGGCAGGCAGCAAGGTTTCTAGGCTGGAATACACGGTGTGGAAGCTGGCGTAGGAAGGGATTTCAAGGCGACTCAAGGATTTAACACCTGCTTTAGCAGAATGGACGAGCGTTACACACAGCTGGCAGCAGCTACCTTTCCCTAGTTTTGTGCTTCCTGGGAAAGACACAGGCTGGTAGGAAGTTCTCCCTTCGGATGAGAAGTCAGAGGTGGGTGTCTCAAATCATAGACTTAGCAGCTATAGGACCGGGAACCTGATCCCACTCGAGGGCCCCTGGGCCACTGGTCTCAGGACACTCTCGGGTTCCTTTAGGTAGAGCACAGGTGCACAGTGTGAGCCCTGGGCTCCTTTCTCCTACCTTTGTGTACTCTCCATAGAGAAACCCTTGGTGGAGCCCACTGTACAGTGGCAGGAACATCAGCAGGCACAAGCGCTTGTCTTTAAAAAGTGTGAAGGTCGAGAGTACAGTGGACAAGAGAGGTGGCGATCTGGGCCTCGCCTCTCCTTCACTAGCCAATCTGTTTTCCACAGACTCCAGAAACACGGACACCAGCAAGATGGCCAGGACACTGCTACCTATGAGGACACACGGACAGGTTCGTCCATGAGGATCAGATGTATATTCCACCCCCATCTCCATGGACAGCTAGTCATCATAGAACCAGTGACTAGCTGCACTTGACCACATATGTGTTAGCGCTACGATTAACTTGTGACTTAGTTTTCAGTTAAAGTCCGCCATGGTGGGTCAGCATGGCCAACACCCACACAGTGGGTCAGCATGGTCATATCCCACATGCACTGGGTCAGAAAGACCATCACCCACACATGGTGGGTCAGCATGGCCAACACCCACACAGTGGGTCAGAAAGGCCATCACCCACACATGGTGGGTCAGCACAGGCATCAACTACACACAGTGGGTCAGCATAGCCATCACCCACACACGGTGGGTCAGAATGATCATCACCCACACACAGTGGGTCAGAATGACCATCACCCACACACAGTGGGTCAGCATAGCCATCAACTACACACAGTGGGTCAGAATGACCATCACCCACACATAGTGGGTCAGCATTGCCAACACCCACACACAGTGGGTCAGCATTGCCATCACCTACAGAGGAACAACATGCTTTTAAAGATGATAAAAAACAAAAGTTCCCCAAGCCAGATGATGAGAAGAAAACACAGCAAGGCACAAAGCTATGTGTCAGTCAAAGAGGGACATAGAAATCTATTGTGCATTAAACACCCTGAAGGCCCCAGCAGACCCGTGCTGTTTAGGGACAGGCCTTAGAGAGGGATGGGCTTAGAGGGACAATCAGCAGAGGGCTCCATGGGTCCTGAGACCTTTGACTGCACTTGTGATGATACGCAGTGTATTTTAATAAATGAAGCCTGCCTGAAGATAGGAGAGTAACAGCCCCACTGGTCAGCCTTACAGGCAGTGGTAACACACATCTTAAATCCCAGCCCTAGAGAGGAATATAAGATGGGAGGAGACAGCTCACGCACACAGTCTCATTCTGAGATTCCTGGAGGCAGGATTGTCATTTCGGACAGAGATTAAGTTAAGAGCTAGGGGCTGACTGTTTCACTTTTCTGACTTTCAGGTTGGACTCCAATTTCTGTGTCTGGGTTTTTATTAATTGTGCTCTATGCATTTGTACTTTGAGCCACATTAATGGGTTATCTGTGAAAATAAGAACCGAAAACTATTTCACCCTGAACATTCTGTACATCTCTAATCCCAAAACGCAGCGAGTAGCTGAGTGCGTCTTTGCCATCTGCCCACTGCAGTCTTCCGGTCCCCTCCATCCCCTGTACAGGAAACAGGTTTATGTGGGTATTGTGACATGCACAGAGGTCCCTCTGTCCCCGAGCCATGTGAGGTGCCATTTGTAACATCTCCTGGGCACTGCCATTCCACTTTCTGACAAGGGTAGTTCCCTCGGGATGGAAATGCCCAAACTCTGGGTGTGAGCTTCAGTCAGTGAGCGTGGGTCCTGCAGTCCCCCAGCCTTGCTGAGCCGCGGGCTTGACGAAGCCAGCTGTCTTTACAGATGTTGGCAGAGGTGGCCCACCTGTCTCAGCACCGATCATAGTAATCCCCTCTTTAACAAACTTACACCCAGCAAAGTCCGGATCCCCTCAGGGCTTTCCCTCCTGACTCAGCACCCTTCCTGAGTCACCTGACTGCACCATTTCAGCTGTGTTTATTAGGTTCTATGAGGCTAGGCATCTCCTGTCGGGGACCTGGGGCTGTGCCCCGCTGCGGAAGAACCACAAGGCCTCAAGGGAGGAGCCATAGCATCGCAGTGACCGTTTACATGAACAGGTAGGTGTCTGTACAGGGAAGCACTCTGTCCTTCCAATCATCCCAATGTTGGCTGTGGAAAAACGGTAGAAAACTTGTGTCTCTTCCTCACTGATGTGGGTGGCTCCTTCTCCATGGCCTACCCTGCTGCAAAAGACTTCTAAGTTTGGGGTGTTTGGACACGGTCTCAGGGAGAGCCTGTGAGTTCAGAGGGGCTTGGTCTCAGAAGTCACATCCTCAGAGGTGTGTGTATCTAATGCCAAGTGGTCCTGAGCCTTCGGGGGCGTGAAGTGGTGTCATGGAACTGAGATGCTATATTCTGAAGGCACACTCCAAGCGCTTCATTGTGAATGCAGTTCCCAGAGCCCCAGACCATCACCCCAGGGGGAGGGCACTCGGGCATTACTGCCCACTTTGTCCTGTCTTATTTGTTTATGGTAGCATACTTAAAAGAGACTCATGGCAGATTTCCAGGTATCAGAATAGGGTAATGGCTCCACCCAGTCTGGGCCATGGTCTCCTTATCTAAGCCAGCTGACCGGTTATTTGGATGACAGAATTCTCCAGGCATATAAAGTTCTACTGAGCAGTACTGATGACTCCAATTATTCACCAGTGCTACCTGTGGCCTTTCCCCTCACTACAAAGACAACAGTGAGTGAGGCAGCGAGGTCACGTGATGCTCAAAGCCTGACTTCTCTATTGCCTGACCCTGCCGACCAGAAAGCCTGCCACTTCGACTGATGAGTACCGCCATTTTGTACACCCAGGTTCTCTGTGGCTGTCTAGAAGTGGGAGGAGAGGGGACAGGGCAATCACTATAGCCCAGTGCTTTCCATGGGTGTCTGGTCCCCCACTGCAGAAAGGGGATGGGGGTAGATATTGAGAAACCACAAGCCTGGTGACCCCGTTGTCCCCATCACCACATGGATATAAATAGGATATCTGATGGACAAATGTCTAGGTTGAGGATGACCAAGGACAGCAGGAAGACAGAAGTTACTTGGGGTGCCTCCCTGGCTCCCCCTTTTTACTCCATATTCTACCCACACCCTCATTTTAGATCTGTGCACCTCCATATTGCACGGCCACAGGTAGCTTGGTTGGGCAGCATTGGCCGCTGAGTTTGCTTTTAGAGATTAGCCATTGAGATTGGCCCAGTCCTACAATTGGCTGGGGTTTTTTGCTTTATTTATTAAAGCAAGCACAGACATAGTCCCCCACTATCACAAATGAATTTGGGGAAATCACAGGGGTGACACAGTGCAATGAACAAGCACTACCCTGAGAAAACCACCATCGTGATCATGGCATCTCTTCGACCAGGTAAGTGTGGCAGGGTTTTCCATGGACAAAGTTCACTTACGGGCTGGAGAACCACAGTTAGAGGTTGTGCATCTGTACGTACCGTTGAAGATACCCAGGAGTGTGTAGGTTAGATGGTGGGAGGGGTGGTAGGTGCTATTGCTGACCTCTGTGTCCATCAGACATTCTTTGGCTCCACAGGACTTGAGCTGATCCTCTGGGATGACCACTAGGGAAGTTGAAATCAAGATGAGGTGAGAATTCTAGGGACTAAGTTGTATACTGAGGCCAAAATCGGCGGTGAAAGGGTGGTAGTCACATGGGGCAGGTGACTTTGTCTTTTCTGCTTCAGGAAACGAATGCTAGTTCTTTTATTTGTTAAAAAAAAAAGAAAGAAAAGCAAAACAACCAGTGCAGGACTGGAGAGATGGTCCAGCGAGTAGCATTGCTGCTTCTGTAGAGGATTCAGGTTTGGTTCCCAGCACCCAACGCTGGCGGGCAACTGCATGTAACTCCAGTTCCAGAGAATATAGTGCCCTCTCTGGCACCTGCTTGCGCATGGTGCATATACATGCATGAAGAAAAAAAACCCACTCCTACCCATAAAATAAAAATAAATAGATGTGGAATGAAGTGGTTGGTTTAACGGTGACTACCTACCTAACACGCACACACGTGTAAATTGAAGCTACTGTGACATTAGTGTTGATCCCTTGCCAGATCTAGAGTCACATAGGAGACAGCCTCTGGGCACATCTGTGAGGCATGAGGGACTGTCATGTAGGATAGATTAGTCTCTGGGCAATGCCAATGGGGGGATTGATCAGTTCACTACTCAGGGAGCAGCCCACGGCCCTTCCCTGCTGTGACACAGAGGCTGGGTTTGACATCAGTTTCTGCAGCATCTTGGCTGAGTGGCAGTGACTGTGACCATATGTGTTGCCCTGAGTCGTTCCTGCCTGAGATACACTGTCACTGTGGAGGGAGGAAGGTGGTGACTTTTGAGCTTCCTGCCAGCACGTGGCCTGGGCCGAGCCAGACTCATGCCAGGATGGAGGGAGAGAGGCCATCCTCACCCAGACTGCCCCTTCCGGAAGGCTCTGCCACAAGAATGGAAGGCTGGAAGTCCTCCAGCCTGGGGTCCCTGCTGGGTAGGGTTGAGGGAAGGCAGCCCTGGAACATTCTCCCAGTCGTGGGATAAGGAGTCTGACAGGTGGTTTTTAACACTGGCCTGTGGCTCAGTTTTATAGGGAAATAAGTCACGTAAATTCTCAGCAACTCCAGGGACCCACATCACACTAGCAGGATTTGGGGATGCCCAATTTCTTCATGACACCCTTTCCCCAGGGGTTCCCCAATATCCACAGGGTACCTGTGGAGAAGGCAGCGACTTAGCCTCTCAACTGTCCGCAGAGGGGTAGGATGACCTGCCTCCACAGTAAGGACAGGTATGGGAGTGGAATTGGACCTCACTTTGCTGTCATGGAGACCGGGCTATTCCCAAGGCTACGCAGCCCCCACGCTTACCTTTACTGGGCGTCTGGCTGAACACCAGTGAGGAAATGAGGTTGCCCCACATTCCAGAGGACTGGAAGATAAGAAAGAAGAGGCCAAAGTACTGGTTCACCATATCCTTGGCCAGCTTCCCCTCTTTCTGTGCTTGCAGATTTCCCATGATGGTGATGTAGGTACACTGGGCCGACCACAGAGGAGCTGCACCCAGGCCCAGCAAGATGGAAGTAGGGATCAAGGTGTACCTGCAAAAAGACCCAGCAGAATGGAGGAAGGGATCAGTATGCATCCACACAGAGGCCCAGCAAGATGGAGAGGGATCAGGGTGTGCCCAAAGAGGCCAATGTGGTCCACACTCAAAAGATGGATGTCCGTCACTGCTGGCTGAGTCCCTGAGAATTACCTATATCAGACTTCCTAACCATTTGGGCCATGAGGATGTGGTGAGGGCAGGGGGTTGTGAGGGAGTTGGGGAAATCCAAAGAAGAGGCCAGCACTGGGGTCAGGAGTATGGGAGGAAGTCGGCGGGGACACAGGGAAGGTCGAGAGGGTGTCATACTGTCACGGTGCTCAGAGGGACATATTCTAACTCAGTCGCAGAGGACAGCCATCTGCACGAGAGCGCAAGGCACACACACCAGTTGGGGTAGAAGTTGGCCAGGGAGAAGGTCATGTAGCAGCACATAGAGCCCGCCATGGTCCACTTGCAGCCAAGCTTCTTGATGAGGACAGGTGGGAGGAACATGGAGGACAGCATCATACTACAGTAGATGGTGCTGAGGGTCACCACGCCCAGGCCATCCTCATTGTAGAGGCTGCTCTGTGGAAGAAAGGCCAGCCGTCAGAGGAGGGGACTGTGCGGGTGTTGGTCCCAGGCTCAGGCCCCTCAAACCCTGAGTTACCAGATACCAGCCTTCTTACATAAGGGTCACTACTGCAGTGGAAATAAAGCCAGCTTCCCAGACTACCAGGAAGGACGCCGCCAGGACTCAGAAATGGCCACTGTGAGCCCTTCAACTGGACTTTTGCTTGGTGGGAGGGGTCCATGGTGGAGCTGTGGGGAAGACCCCCGACAAAGCAGAGAGTGCCCCGACAAAACAGCGAGTCATTGTATAGCCCTGCGCTACACAATGACTCACTGTTATTCCACAGGAGTGCCCCGCATAACACTGGTGTGAACTGACCCAGGCCGCTGGAGGGCACTACTGGATTTGTGGCCAAAGAAACCAGAAGAACTCTTTCTTCTTCTGCCACTTGTAAGAGAAAGTGAATGAGAGGAGGATGAGGGAGGGAGGAAGAGAAGAAGGAGGAATAGGAAGGGGAGGGGGAGGAAGGGAATGGCAAGAGGAAGAACAGAAGGGAAGGAAAGGAAGGGGGAGGAGGAAGGGGAGAAGGAGGAAAGGGAGGAGGGGAAGAGGAGGGAGGAAGAATGACAAAAAGAGTACAGGAGGGGAAGAGGAAGGGGAGGAGGGGAAAGAGACAGAGATACTCCCCCAGCATGCTACCTGCCCTCCCCCACGTTCTGTGCCCACTGCACTCAACAGACTTCCTCTAGCCCATCCCTAAAACCCCTACAATCTGTCTAAAAGAAGGAGTCGAGCACCGTCCTCTGAAGTGGAGTTGTCTGGGTACTTCGTGTTTATGGAGTAGCTAGAAGTGTCGTCCAGCCAGGTCATTTTACAAACAGTTTTGTCCTGGGTGTTTCACTCACAGTTGTGATTTTGCCTGCTTCCTCCACAATTCTAGTGAGACTCTAACAGCGTCTGTCAATGTTGGGATTTCTCTGTTGCCCACATTACTACAGCAAATTAGGGAAGGACTTTTGTGACTGACAATTGCTTTTGACTGCAGACCACTGGAAAGGAAGACAGGAGTCAGTATCTAAGGAGAATCAGAATTTCAGAAGCTAATGGCCTTTTCCACATGAGTGCCCACACTTTAATGCCTAGGCTGGCATCTGCTAGACAAGCTCGTCTGTGCAGTAGACATATAAAGACAAGCACATGGAGATTGCATGGAGTAGACCTGGTCGCATCAACATACAGCAGTCTCTCAATCAGGCCGAGGAGAGGCTCGGGAATGCTTTCCACTAGAGGGCCATGCAAGACTGTGGAGACAACATCCACCATCTTCAGCTGGTGAACACAGGAGCTATCAGAAACCAGAGAGCAGGCATCAGCATGGAGCTGGTGCTGCCAGTACTACATGAAACCCCGTCTTAAAAAAACAAAAGAAGAAGAAAAAAGAATGGAAGAACAGCAGGAAGGAAGGAAGGAAGGAAGGGAGGGAGGGAGGGAGGGAGGGAGGGAGGGAGGGAGGAGGGAGGGAGGGAGGGAGGGAGGGAGGGAGGGAGGGAGGAAGGAAGGAAGGAAGGAAGGAAGGAAGGAAGGAAGGAAGGAAGGGAGAAAAAGAAAGGGAAGGAAGGGAGGAAGGCAAACAACAGATGGATGGATGGATGGATGGATGGATGGATAGGTGGACAGATGGACAGACAGACAGATATCCCTTTTACTGTAATTGTCACAGGAAAAGTTGTCAAATCCTCCCCCACCCCAAAGGATCTGGGCCCATATGACCTAGATGCACATGACCTCCAACAACCTGTTGGAGGCAGCTGCATGGTTTTCAAGCAGACTCACGGACTTGAGCAAGAAGGATTCCATAACTGTTCAAAATGCAAATGATTTTGTCAAAGTTCATAGTTTTGCCTAAAGCTTCTCATAAGGTCAAGTAAGGATTAGCAAACTGACATTTCTGCCCAACCACAAAGCCCAGAGCACATAAAATCCACAATAGTTTCCCTTATCTCTTTTTTTCCATTCAAAGGCAAAGTGTCCTGAGCCTCCTCCTTGCCCCAGGGTCACATACACTTGGGCTGTGGAGCTCTGGTATCACTCTGTGGGAACAAGACTGAACCTCGTAGGGCTTCATTTGGAAAAAAGAAAGAATGTGCTAGGGAGTGCGGGAGATGTGGGTTGTGCCAGGGATGCGGGAATGTGTGGGTTGTGCCAGGGATGTGGGAATGTGTGGGGTGTACCAGGGATGAGGGAGAGTGTGGGTTGTGCCAGGGAGTGTGGGAATGTGTGAGTTGTACCAGTGTGAATCGGATAACATGATAAATATATCTCACCTGCAGGTTCTGCAGGCCTCCATAGGCTGTGAAGAGAAGGAAGAATCCACAGGAAACCACCAGGACATTCTTTAGGTTCTTCCCCATTACGCAGACAGACGTGTGTTACTACCAGCGGATGTCAGGGGATGCATATGCTTGTGTTTCCCTAAAAGAAACCAACTGGAGCACAAGAAATGGGACCATTACCATGCGGTCCCACCCTCTCTGAGTGAGAAGTAGGTTGGCCACTAAGGCTTTGGATAGGTATACACTGTCTTTTGCAGGCCTAAGTCTACCTCATGCTATTCTCTGGGGAGATTGACTTATTAATCAGCTCCTCTGCAATTTTTTCCCTATTACTTTCGGATAGGAATATCACATCTTACGTACCTTTGAGAGTAACTCCTATGTCCAGAGAAATTGCCAGTGGTGCAGAATGCGGAATATTCTTCTGTCCTAAAGAACAAAGCAGGTGCACACCTTTAATCCCAGCACTCAGGAAACAGAGGGAGGTAGATCTCTGGGAGTTCGAGGCCAGCCTAGTCTACAGAGTGGGTTCCAGGACAGAGAAACCCTGTCTCAAGAGAAAAAAAAATCAATCAAACAAAAACCAAAAAATGCAAAAACATCAACTTTAGATGCCTTGTCTATCTTCTGACAAACATTTACTGCGATAAGATCCCAGAGCCATGGACTTAGTAGTGCAAAGACGTGATTTCACCATGTTGCAATGATGCTTTGAGTGTTGAATATGGTATCCTATTATATTCAGAGAGAAATTTTACTTGTACCATTTCATGTGAAATAATTAGTATTTGAAATCTTGGACCCATTATAAGACAGCAAAGCCCAGGATGCCAGCCCAGAACGATGCTGGTTGGCCAAGCAGCTGCCAGTCATACGTGGTCTCTGAGTCCTTAAGACAGCTGGCACTCGCTGTGGAATTGGATTTGAGCTTCACTTGCTAATTAACACAAAAGATTCTTGTGGGAGCATGTTAGACAGACAGGCTAGGTCCAGAGTGTCACACGGTGTTCTACACACTGTACAAGACAAGTAAGAAACACCCCATGCTGCACCCAGTGCCACACCCTTTAATCTAGGGACTCTGGAGGCAGAAGCAGGCACGTTTCTGTGAGTCTGGGGCCAGCCTGGCTCACACAGAGTTCCAGGACAGCCAGAGCTTCCTAGTAAGACCTTGTCTCCCGAAATCATCCTTCTACCCAGTTGTTCTTAGACCATTCCCAAAATGCTGTGTCCTCCGTCATGTCTGCCAAGGATGAACCAAGCGAGTGAATCCTACAGCCTTGGTAACCGACATGACCACCAATAATGGAGACAAGGCTCTTGTAGCTTACCTGGTTCCTGGAAAGACAAGCCTTGTGGGAAACATGGTTTTAAATATTAAATGGGTTGAATATTTAAATGGGTTATTATTTCTGAAAACAGACAATAGAGCAAGACTAGGCTAGCAAGGTATTCTAATGTGGGGAAGGGGGTTACCACTCCCCAGTCAGTGAAGCAGTTATGTCACAAGTGTGAGAACCTGAGGCTGAGCCCCAACATGAGTAATAACACCATACATGGTAGGCATGTACTTGAATGCCGGGGCTCCAGAGGTGGAAAGAGGAGAGAGTCCTTAGGACTCCCTGACCCAGTCTAGCCTAACACGGTGAACTCTCTAATGAGAGAGCCTGTCTCAACAGAGGCAGACAGCATGCCTGAGGAGGATACCTGAAGCTGTCCTCTGGCTTCCACATGCCGGTGCGCCTGTGCACACACAAACACAGGAACCCTGGAAACAACCTTGCATCATCATCCTAGCCCTGAAAGATCTCTAAACTTCCGTTTAGGAAGCTGTGAGGATCCAAGAGGCTAACAGTATAGAGCCCTGGAGCCACCCTTAATCAGAGTAATCCCCAGCAAATGACAATACACAAGGTGAGCTGGAGCAACACAGAAAGCGATGCTTTAATGCGTTCTGTCTAATTTTCTGGAGATGTTTTAGTAGCCTTCAACTCCATCACCCTGTCTATAGTTACCCCAAATGACTTATGTGCGATGGGACAGCTTCTGGTGTTTTCTTTGCTTTTAGTCTCTTCCTCCATTGGTTTCTCAAACTTCCCAGGACTGTTTTGGGGTTGGCAACTGACCCTGAAAGCAACTTCTAATAGCTGCTGTCTCGGCTCCTCACAGTCCATCTAGATCTTCCAGGGAACTCGCGGCTATGAAATCCCCCCAAGAGGTCTAGTTTCCCTTTGGCAAGTCAGATCCAGTGTCCTTGGCTGCTCTTCAGGTTGGGAATTGGTTGGCAGCATCAATGTTTTGATCAATCGAGTCTTTCCCCCAGGACGCTCCTCATCTCTGTCAAGGGGGGATGATGAAAACAGAAAACATGGAAGTCTGCAAGAGATGATCTTCGAGAGATATCTGCAGAATCGCCCGATCTCTAAGGTGAAAAGAGTTTTAGGTGTGATCTCACGGCCAAAAGCTAGGATGTGCTTATTGTCCCAGGTCTTGGCTCCTGCCTGGACTGACAGACACAGCCCTACAGACCTACACTTGGATGGGAGGAGAGAACAGTAAGCTCTGGAAGCTGATCTGAGTGTGAAAGACAACTGACCTGTGAGCAGCCACTGTCAGCTTCCTCGGCATTTGTGTTTGAAATCTAAAAGTGGCACCAAATAAATGTTCATTGATTCTATTAATTTCCTGCAGGAAAATGAAACATGAGTATTCAAAGGATGGAGATTATTGCTTCCTTTAGGAATTCTGGGATTCTTGTGCTCTAGGAATGGGTATACCCCACGCTTCCTCCTTTTCCCTTTAGCAGACTGCACCAGTGCAACCGCAGCTTGGGAAGAAGTTTTCTCTTAGCATGTATCCCAGAGTTCCTGCAACCCCAGGGCTGACTGGCAACCCCACAATGTGCAGCAGACATCGCTTAGCCCGGCTAAACAAATGGCCTCCTGAGGAAACGGGGAGCTTGCCTGGACTACCAAGTTCTTCCTCGGTAAGGCAGGCACAGCCAGAGCCAGTCTGAGCAAAGGCTCCATGACCGTCTTCAGGTAACAGTGAGATCCTCCAACTGCTTCCCACCCCTTTCCAGAGAGCCCAGACCCATTTGAAGAACGGACTGTAGAGACTGCCCTCACCCTCTCGCTACTGATGAATCCCACAGAGCCCCAGGTTGGCAGTTTGTGACCACCTGGGAATCTGTGTCTTGATGTCTCTCAGAGGCTCTAGAACACATTCTACTGTTGACATTTGAGTGGCCTGATGGGTCAGCCACCCTTGACTGTAGATCCTGCAGAGCTACTGACCAGGAAATCTCACCCAACTAAGGCACAGCCATCCTGTACAGAAAAAGGCCAGACCAGGATCTGGGGGCTCAGTCCTATGTTGTGATATTTTGTCTGTGTTCTGACAAAAAAAGCTGGCTTGGAGGGAGAGGGCAGAGCTAGTCACGAATTAACCATAAAGGTCTGGTGGTCTGTACAGAGAGGAGACAGGAAGTGACAATACTGGGTGGATACAGGGAGGGGTCTGAGGATTCCGAGAGGTAAGAAGTCTCTGGTGGCTGCTGTGTCTCTGATCTCTCAGCTTTTACCCCAATATTTGAGTCCCAATTTCTTTATTGATGAAGACTAATTAGGTTTATGCTCTGCCTACTCCCCTCTTGTGGCAGCAGTACCCGGCTACCCAGAGCCCAGGATCCACTCCCACACCAAGCAAGACACCAGGCTCTGCTCTAGACAGCCTTGCAGCACGCCTGCGCACAGCGCCTTTTGTTTTCTGCATGTCTCCTTCTCTCTCCAGTACTGTAGACAGGGCTCCCCCTCCACATCTAGCCACAGATACTTCCTGAAGTCACAGATTCTTCCCGAGGTCACAGATACTTCCCAGGGTCACAGATACTTCCCAGGGTCACAGATAATTCTCAAGATCACAGATACTTCCCGGGGTCACAGATACTTCCCGGGGGTCACATATACTTCCCAAGGTCACAGATACTTCCCAAGGTCACAGATACTTCTCAAGATCACAGATACTTCCCAGAGTCACAGATCCTTCCCGGGGTCACAGATACTTCCCCAGGATCCTGCACCAGGTATTACTGGAAAGCTGGAGCTGGCTGCTGTCAGTATGCCCAGAAGCCTGTGTGCTCATGGGGCAAAGGGCCAGAGGAGGAAACAGATACAAACAAAACAACCAAGCCAATGTCGAAGTCAATCAGGCAAACTCGCACTACTAAAGAAGCTGGACTCAAGGGAAAGCAGCCAACAGAACTTAGGGCAGGAGACACACAGATAAATCAGCATCCACAAGGACGAGGGTGTAAATGCCATCACCACAGCAGCTCTGATCCACAAATGCCCACGGGAGCAGTCTCTGCCGTCGGGAAGGGAAAGCCAGTCCAGCACTGTCTCAGTGAAGCAGGCACTCGCCTTGTGCGTAATAACCAGCAAGTGCCGTGAAGGCCAAAATCTGAACAGCTGAGAGATCTCTTCCCAGTCAGTCCTCAGCACGTAGGCATGGTGCACACAAGTGGTACCTGTGTGCGTCCAGCACATACTTGTAATGGATTGCTTTGCCCCCGCTAGCAAAGTGGTCATAAGTTATCCTGGGAAAGCTCAGAGCGCGAGCTTCAGCCTTGCTCCCACTGATGGAGGAAGTCATTGGTTAAGTAATAAAGAAACTGCTTGGCCTCATAGGTTAAAACATAGGTGGGAGGAGTAAACAGAACAGAATGCTGGGAGGAAGAGGAAGTGAGCTCAGAGGCCATGCTCCCCTCTCCCAGGCAGATGCACGCGATGAAGCAAGCCACCAGGTCAGACATGCTGAATCTTTCCCGATAAGACATTGGGTAGTTTTCCTCTTTCTGGAGTCTGCCCGCAGACCTTCCCTATGACTGGCTTGGTAGCTCCTGGTCTGACCACGGCCAGCATGGTGGCACTTTACAAACAGGCTTTGCCATTGGCTGACACAGAAACAAACTCCAGGAAAAGACATAAAAGGTCTGAATAGTGCATTAAAAATGTAACCTGGAAGCCGGGTGGTGGTGGAGCACACCCTTAATCCCAGCACTCTGGAGGCAGAGGCAGGTGGATCTCTGTGAGTTTCAGGCCAGCCTGGCCTCCAGAGCCAGTTCCAGGACAGCCAGAGTTGCACAAAGAAACCCTGTCTTGTGCGTGGGGGTGGGGGTGGGGGGTGTTTAACCTGGAAACCACATTGGCACTCCTACACTCTCCAAGACTGAAGAAGCCACATGTCAATAACCCAATATTATTAAGACCATTTATAAAGACTGGTGCTGGAGAGATGGCTCCGTGTTTAAGAGCAGTTGCTGTTCTTCCAGAAGATCTGGGTTCAATTCCCAGCTCACACATAGTGGCTTATGACTGTCTAACTCCATTCCCAAAGGATCCAACGCCCTCTTCTAGCCTGCATGGGTACCAGGTATGTACATGGTACACAGACATACATGTAAGCAAAACACTCACACACATAAAATTAACAGGAAAAAATATTACTTGGTTTGAAAAATATAGGAAAAGCTCATTTTCATGAAAAAAATCACAGGTATATATGTATGTACACATGAATATTGGTGCAGGATATTTGATCAAACTGTGAGCCCTGAGCTTGCACTATTTACTAGAAAATCCTGTTTCTAGTTGTGGTGTGGTTTAGTCCTTGCACACACCTTTAAGCTAAGAGCTTTCTGCTTGAATATTGTAAACAGGACTTTTAAAAAGGCAACCATAGGTCAAGAGGCAGAGCAAGCAACCAGTTGACAAGAAGTGAAGATAGGCTGATCAATAAAAAAAAAGCCATAGCGAGTAAGAGGGAGACAGGAGGATGGATAGAGAGACACACAGGAAGTAGAGGAAGGGACACTGAGTTTGAGGAGAGTTTTCGAGGCAGTGTAGAAGAGGGAGGTTTCTGAGATGTCGGCTGAGGAGGAAGGTCAACTGGGTGTTGTTTCTGCCTCTCTGAGCTGGCAGGCTTTCACCCCAGCATCTGGCTCCCGAGTCTTTACTGGTAAAATCAAACAATGGAGATGTTGTTAAAAACAACAGAATACTTTGTAAAAAGTGCCTTTGTGAGACACATCACATTCTGTATTCAGCGTATATAGGTGCACATGTCTGTATGTGCATACTGTGTGCACACACCTACATACAGAGTCTCGTGTTTGATTCCTCAAGCTCTCCTCTGGGCAACTGAACTCACGTTCTATTCTATGTGCTAAACCTACATACTATTCTATTCTTTTAGAAGATCATCTAATTTTCCCAAGAAAAGTATTCCCAAGGGAACAATACTTCCAACAGTCAATTTTCTTAGGAGGAACTCTGCAAAACAGACCAGACACCCACTGAGTGCGAGAAATCCCCTTCTGCAATGGTCTGCTGGGGTCAGCCAGGGTCATGCCGTAGGTTCCAAATCCGGCTTCTTTCCAACCATCTTACATAGATCAAGTCACAAGAGTTGCCTTATTTTCACGGCTCACCCGTGTTCACAATCTCTGTTCAGCTTCCTGAAGGCATCTGTCCACCCCATGCCCAGGAACTTATCCGGACATTGGAAGGAGTATGCCACGACACGTATAGACATGCAGAAGGTGGGAAAAAGCAGCCTGTGTTGCCTGGGTCTTTGCCTCAGCGCATGTGGATGGGAAACACTTTTGGTTGGGCTATTTACCTTCATCTAAAAGGAAACCCCAAGCCCATTCCAGACCCCAGTGACCCCTAGCAGACAGCTGTGCAAATTGGCACAGCTCACCTAGTACGTGTCTCTGAATTCTGTGCCTTAGGTAGTGGCCTGCCACAAAGCCACGCCAGACCCAACCTCCCAAAGACCTGCCAGACCCCTCCTCCCAACCTAGACCTGTGGCTTAGGGGCTGCCAGCAAGACAGTCATCAACTGCTTCCTCCAAGGCAAAGGAACACACACCTGGTCATACCTGCCCATCCCTTTTGATCTGTCCCTCTTCGGTGGTACTGCCTAGCAGGGTCCCAAGGCTGAGATGGCCTGGTAAGGGTAGGGAGGCTGGCACCGCTCAGCTGAGGGAGAAGTCAGGCTGATGTAGCAGGGTACTGAGAGGGGGCAGGATTGTGACTCACAAGGGGGGGCAGGAGCTGTGCACTCACAGCCAGGGCTATGGGAGGGGCTGGCCCCCAGCCAGGGTGTCAGCCTCTGAGGCTGGGCAGCTTCTCCATGGTGATGTCAGAGCCCCCAGGTAAGACACACCCCCTAGTGTAAAATTTATGGCCCATTTTCAGGGCTTTGAACCCCGTCCAAGAATCACAAAGAAACAGGAGGCACCAGGCCCCTGGCTTCCTGAGCCAGCAGCTGGCCCTGCTCACCTGGACACTTGAGTCTATTTTAGGGCTGAAGAGGTACAATATACTGTGTGCCTTGCCCTACCTAGAACAAAAGGGGAAAAGACTGCAAACCCTCCGAGGATTGTGGATTTGGGGTGGTGGCTACGTTGGACATGCAGGGAAAACTGTACCCCCTGAAGATTCAGCCAATGAAGCATTCAGGGAGCAGGGAAATATGATTTTAAGAAACTATTTTATACCGAATTGGCATACCAGGCATTTTTTGCTTCTTGTCCGGAACTCTGTAAAACCAAAAAAAAAAAAAAAAAAAAAAAAAATCTACCTGGCGTTGACTACTCAGTGTCCAGGGCTTTTATTATGAAGTGGGGGTCCTTTCCTCACACCAACGCTGGATAGAGAGCCCGTGACTTTACCAGGCAGGAGTCCTGAAGCTGTGTGGGGACGGTGTGGACTCAGTCATGTGACCTCAAGAAGCTAGATGGAACTTTTATCTTACCCTGGGTCTTTAGTTTGTAGCTGGTAATGATGAGACCATCTCTGTGGCCCAATAAATCATTGCCCTTCCCAAGCAGACCTTGTAAGTTGGCTTTGGGAACCGGAATGAGAGCAGGGCTCAAAGCGCAGGGTGGGCACCCCGCCCCGTGGGCCGGCTGTTTGTCTCCACGCCGCTCTCGCCCGCGCTCGCCAGCCTTCCCTGGCCTGCAGTTCTGTGTCGGAGCTCCCGGACTCATTGCCCCGCTTTACTGAGCACCTGTCGTGGGTTAGTCACTGTACCGACGGGGTCTGGGGAGCTGAATGTCACCCGCCCTTGCGGTCCACAGGGAAATGTGCAAGAGAGCCCATGTTGAAGGCACAGAGCAACCCTCCCGGTTCTGGCGGAAGGAACAGGGAGTTGAAATGCCTGTGCGTTTATCTTGAGATCTCCTTCCGACAGCCAGGGCTCCCAACAGTCGGGAGACTCGCTCTGCAAGACAGCCCAGACTAGGAAGTATAGAGAGTCAATGGGGCCTGTGGCTGAGCTGGTTGGACTGGGGCTGAGGAGCAGAGTGGCCAGGAGTTGGCTCGTGGAAGACAAAGACTCCATTAAGGTAGCAGAGATCTGAGGCATTTGTAATCCAGTCCTCCTGTTCCTTCGTGCTTGTAAGTGGAGAACAAACCCAAGCCCACTGTGGTGTGTGTGTGTGTGTGTGTGTGTGTGTGTGTGTGTGTGTATGAGTGTATGTGTGTGCGCGTGCATGCATGTGAATGAGTGTGCGTGCGTGTGTGCCTGTCTGCCTTCCTGCCCACATGTGCCTGCATGCACCTCAGTGTCTCAGTGCAGAGGAAACAGACTGAGCACACATGGCTTGTGTCCTAACACCAGTGGTCTTAGGTGTCCCTCCACCTGGCCTCTTTCTTCCATCTTTCATCCACCCTTCATTTCAAGTGTCAGATTTACTCCTTTGCTGGTGTCTGAGAGGCAAGAGAACCCACGCTTCTACCATAGCCCACTCTGACGTCTACCGCACATAGCAACGGTCATGAGCTCACCCTACATCTCCACTCTCCCCCTTCTGTTGCTCAGGTGCGACTCAGTACCCGTGTGTTCTCCCACCACCTCAGGCTCACAGGTAGTCCCCTAACTCACCAGGGACAGGGTCACACACCAGCCCCTTTCCTCATAGCTGGCAGGGTTGGTCGGTGAGATTAGAACCATTCGACCTCTGGAAGTAGCAGGAAGTAGGTAGTAGGAGAGGAGAAGAGCGTATCCTGGTAAGCGGTGCGCTGAGCCGTCCCCCCTGTTCTAATTCACCCTCTGCACCCTGCCCCCCTTCTCCTGCAGACTGAAGACCTTTAGAGGTTGAAAGCCAACCTCCTGACATTTTCAGTGTCCACACACAGAGAGATCTGAGGCCAGGCCATTCCCATTCAGGGTCCGCCCTAACTCGGTGATTCTCGACCTTCTTAATGCTGTGACCCTTTAATACAGTCCCTCATGCTGTGGTGACCTCCAGCCATAAAAGTATTTCGTTGATACTTCATAACTGTGATTTTGTTACCATTATGAGTCATAATGTAAATATCTGATATGCAGGATATCCGTCTGAGATCCCCAGGAGGTCACAACCCACAGGTTGAGGACCACTGGCCGGGTTGAACAGATCGGTCACCTGACAGGCTGGCTTGCCTGTGATATCCTGCCCACATTCACATGGGACTCTGAGAGACAACGGTGAGCTTTCTAGATCTTAACGAGAAGGTAGAGAATCAGCCCCAGCTCTGGCAGGGAAAGTCCCCTGGGTGTCCCCCACTCCCTAACCCTAAGAGGACTGGGTCGTAGTGTTTTGTGGAACACCTGCCCCCTCTACATATCTCCCTCCAAATCCTAGAGCTCACCTGGAAGCTTCTTCACGGCCAAGAACATTGAGACCTCGTTCTGGTGCTGGGTGACTACTGCCCGCTGTCCAAGTTCACTTTATCTTTGATCAGGGCCTGGTCAATGGGAACCTAAGACCTAAGGCTAGAGAGGCCCTGGATGGAAGCCTGGGTGTGACCTTCACGACTTCTCCTAGGAAGTGACCTCCCCTGGTTCCTCTCAGTAACCACAGGAGTCTCCTCTTCAATCCTGACCTCCGTTGCTCACTCTCAGGCCTTGGCAAGGATGGCTCTGGGCTGTGGAGCAAAATTCAGCCTTTGGCCACTAGTAAACGTAACCAGGACCAGCTTTCCTCTAAATCACCGCTGGATCTTCCAAACAATAAAGTATTTATGGTGCCCAGTTCTACCCTTCAACCAAAAGTTACTGAACACTGACACACTCCAAAGCAAAATTCTTGAGAGTGAAAGGCAGGTCAGGGTCCCTCTGAGCCAGCTACAGACGGAAGCCACCACAGGCAGGGTTCAATGCGTAGTCACATGACGCCAGGCCCACCTTGTGGATGGGACAGGCTAGAGGAAGGGAGGCACCTGTACCCAGCCACGGGGGCTGCAGGGTGGGGAAAGTCCACCATGTCACGCTCCTTCCAGGTGGGGCCAGAGGGTGAGGCTTCCCTCCCCAGGAGCCGAACTCGGTACTCCCATGAAGCTCAGTACTCTGTCACACTCAGTGCTAATATCACATCGTCCAGCGAGCCCAGAGACACACTCAGTTCAGAGACATCGGTCAGAAGCCCGCGTTTGTTCGTCCATTACCTGAAACCAGCTGCATTTCTGGGGTCACATTGGCAGAATGTCTTCCAAAGCCATAAAATACAAAATCTGTATCATATTGGGCTTCCACTGGGGATGCTGGACACAAGCTGCCGCCGCGGTTGGTCTGTTACTTGGGCTTTTCTGTGGGACCCTTGTTTCCCTGCTTTGACCTACTTCCCTGAATGCTCTTTAGAAGAACACACTGGCATTTTGCTGAGTGCCAGTGTTGTGGCCAAGGGCCAGAGGCAATGCTGGGGATAGACTTGATCTTTGGTTTCATGGACTTCTCATCCGGTGGGAGGTGGCGTTACCATAGTCTGTGTTGTGGCATTCCTTCCCAAGGAGCTTACAAGTTTGGTTGTCCCTGCAGAGGGTTCTGAAGCTGGTCTGGAGAGCTGGCGTCTGAGTTAAAACTTGAGGGCATGTTCCAAGCAAGGGAAGCAATCGAGCCTGGGACCTAACGCAAGCCAGGGTGGAGGCAGGAGGCAGACAGGGAGTCAGAGAATCAGCAGCCTGAGGTAGAAACCTGGTGAAGTCAGGAGGAGTTTGCATGTCACTGACCTTTGCAGACAGGCAGAAGTCAAGATTGCATTTTGTGATATTGACCTGCTGTTTGTCTCTTAACTCACAGACAGCTTTGTTTGTTTTTACTTTTAATAGAAGTCTAATTATTCTCTACCTCCCCTCTATTCGCATTTTAATTTATTAAAGTACTTTGCCGTATTTGGATGTGATGCAGGTCCGCCTCCTTTTCTGTGATGCTCTGTGGCTACCACACTGTATGGAGCTAACATAGTTTACCTTGTAGCCAGTCCACTCCTGGTGACCATGCTGCCTCTGGAAGCGGACTAATCCTGTGCCATTTTTACAATCTGTGACCTCAAGGCTGCTCTGCCTCCCTCCCAGCCCACAGCACAGGTCTGCTCCTCATGTGCTCCTCTACATCTCTGCAGTCCACACAGCTCCTCCCAAAGCTGAGGTGCTCCCCAGAGCTCCTCACAGCCCCCCACACGCTCTCTGAAGTTCCTAGCACTGCCCTTCACAGATCTTGGCTGTCTGCCTGCTGGTTGGAAGACAAAGCTTATTGTGTTAAATTTTATTATTGTTGCTACTGTGTATGTGTGTAGTATATGTGTGGTGTGTGTGTGGTATGTGTGTATGGTATGTGGTGTGTGGGTGTATGTGTGGTGTGGTATATATGTGTGTGTATGGTGTATGGTATATGTGTGGTTTGTGTGGTATGTGTGTGGTGTGTGTATGGTATGTGTGTGGTGTGTGTGTGTGGTGTGGTATATGTGTGTGTATGTCCATGCGTGTGTGGTGTGGTATGCAGCCATATACATGTTTATGGAGGCCAGAGGTCTCTGTCGGGTGTCTTGCTCTATTCTCCCTGTTATTTTTCCAGGCAGGGTCTCTCACTAAACCTGAAGCTCACTGGATAGGCTGGCTGGACAGCAAGCCACAATGATCCTCCTGTCTCTGGCTCCCAACATTGGAATTACAGGACAGCTTCTGTGCCAAGCTTTTTGATATGACTTTTGGGGATCTGAACTCGGGTCCTATAATTGCATGGCAAGTA